CAGGAGACAGTGTGTGCTGTAGCTCCACTCCTGCTGATGAAGCCAAGGACCAGCACTGTTAAGAGGAACCAATTATCCTGAACTCACCTCGGAGAGTTTGTGCTGGGCACACATCAAAGTTACACAGCACATCCAAGTCTCCCATTCAGAAGGCTACCAGAATGGAAAGAGACTGCAGCTGGATAGGCTGCAATGAAATCCAGGGTCACCTCCTGCACAACAGCACTACAGCAACAGGGGGGCTTTTTAGTGTCAGGAGAAACACCTTCTTGGAAACTGCTACGGTTTCTCCATCTATTTTCTCGAGTATGAATGATGAAGATATAAATTATTTTAAAGTTAGCACTGATTAATATCCCAATCAACCACCCTGAAATCCCTTACAATACTGTTCCATGTATGTTTCCTAAATATTACTGGAAATCTAGGAAGAACTGAGATAATACTGATCATGTCCACAATGTACTGAATGAGCAGCTTTGAGTGCTGATAAGCTAAGTAAGCTTAATAGAAGAACTGCTTAGCAGAATTAAGAATTGCTTAACAGATAACCTATTTGAGCTCATACTTACCAAATGACATCCTAAAATTAGGAGAGAAAAAGGTAAGAAGGTATTTTTAAATTTTTTTAATGTATTAAGACAAACTTTCCTTTATTTTATACAGTAATATAACTCTGCAGATAGATACAACACTATAACTGCATTCAAATGTTTTTATAAAAACTCTTTTTTGATTCTTGGTCCTGCAAACTCTTTTTAAAAATGGTAAATATTTCTATTTCTATCTTAATAATAAATTATTTTTCTCAGCTGAAACCAAACTTCCACCATCAGATGGGCTAAATAAAAGATCATCCAGCTGACTTGCAGAGTGACTCTTTTTCCTACAGAAACCACATACAAGTCTGATTCATATCCTACATGTATTTGTACGTTAATTTGTACATTTCAAATATTCAGACACTTTCAGATAAGAACACAGTAGTGATATCACAAAAACCTGAATTCCTCTTAAAATGATTTAGAAATGTTAGCGTTGAGCAATAGATGTGCTCTCGTGTGCAAAGAAGTAAAAACACGTACTTGAACCCAAGATTCTCCAGTTCCTGAACTGTTATCTCCAAGAGAGTAAACCTCCAGAGTACATCTCCACATGGCACATTTATCTAAAGTGGCTGCACACATATAATGATGGCTTTTGTTTAGTGATCGTGGTCATTTTGAGTTTGTTTAAATACTGCAGCCGAATGCTTATAAACTAATCCCAGAACATTTTCAAATGCTTCAAAGCTTTTAGCGGGGGAACCTCTTGCATGGGCTTTGTAGATGAAGCTGACCACAGTTCACTGGAACCAGACAGCTCAGATAAGTAAGATGAAAGCAGACATTTCCTGAAAATATCTTGAAAGCTTTCCATTAGTCTGTGCCAGGGGTATACACTAAAAACAGAAAGTGCCCATGCTTGTACAGCAACCAATCTTCACATTGCTTTCTCCATTCTTTCTTGAACTACTGTATTTGTATCTATTTATCTGCTTCATTTGCTTTTCTGCAATGTTCTTTGGGGGAAAAAGATGCAACTTCTGCATTCTGGTTTACAGTACATTATAAAGCAGCTATTACTAGAGCAGAAAATTCTGTTTAACATAATAAACATCGCAACAGGAAGAAAGAGAAATCTACCAATGCCAAAATTAACACAAATTACAATAAATAAGAAATCTGATCTACAGATAATTTTTAAGAGTCACCTACTCCATCATAGGCACGAATGCAATTGTTTGAACATAATTCTCTGGCTGTCAAAGTGTACTCTTAAAAGGTCGATTCAGCATTGCTGAATGTGCTGGTCATAGGAACGCCTCAGGCTAGATTTTCAATAAAGACTGAGACTGGCTGTTCATATTTTATACAATAATTTGATTGAATAAATCCAACTGCTCACTAGGAACATCAAACACTCCACTGCTGCGACCTCCAACATTTTATCCTTTGAGACATACAGCCACAGCAGTCCCACTGTCCCGTTTCAGGCACTTCATTTCAGAGCAATGAATGAGAGCCCAGGTTTCCTTAACAGTCAGCAGACTCAAAGACACATAAGTACTTCTAACAGCTTCTCAAGGACCAGCAGACTACGGTGATCCAAGGTTCTAATTTAAGCACCAAGATTCGGTGTTATGACTATCCATCTTGCTGTATCCTACAAGGAGTTAATATGCACACTTGTGTGAAGAGACGACAGCACTGTCACACCATAACACAAGTGTGAAGCACTGATGACACTTGAATTCAATACCTCACCACCAACAACAGTTATTCTGTCCCGAAGCTGATCACAAGAAGGGTCGGGGCACTCTGAAAGTGCACTGTGGAGTTCAGTACACCAAGTCCCCAGCACGCTCCAGCCATATGCGAGAAGGAAGTGGTGAGCCACAACAGTGATGCACAAAATGGGGTGCAAACAAAGTCCAACAGTTGCTACTTGAAACAAAACAAACCTGCCCCCTTCCATACAAAACAAAAAATACTTGAAGTCTTCATAGGGTTTTTTGAGGTATACCTTAAAAGCCATATTCACTCTGCATTCTGTAATCTCTGTTCCTGCACCCTGGGGTGCTTGTGATATGGTCTGTCATCCACCTGGAAAGAGGAAGTATTATCCTCTTCCAGGGTGTTGCTTATGCAGTTTAGTATTGGAAGTAAAATGGTCATCCTATGTCTGAAACCAGGACAAGACTGTGAATAAATACTGTCAAAACAGGACTGGAGCTCTTGAAGATCCACTTTGACTCAAGCCCCAAACAACTCCCCCATCTAATGACATTACATGTGCTACAGTGTGCGTAATCTCTCAGTACAGCTAAAAGAGAGGACTTAATAGGGTGTACTTCTTTTTATGAGAAATATTAATAATATATGATAGGTTGCTTGGCAAACTGCAGGAGAAGAGACGAGGCCACAATGTGAGGATCTGTCTGAGGGATTGCCCAGGTCCTCAGTAGCCTTTCCCTGCACACCCCTGGATTCCACTAAATACTGAAATTTGATTAGAATTCCCAAATAACTAAGTGTTCTGCTTTAATCTTTCTGGAAATGATGCAAGATGTGTCATCTTGTTAGAGGAATCTTAACACTCGTTCTAACCCACCAAGATTCTTCCACATCCTCTCCTAAGAGGCAGCTGAGAGAATCTGTTCAAAATCTCAAGATCATGAGCTTGCCAGAACCTTACAATAAGGGGAAGTCAACAGAGGTTTTATTAATTATGCCACTAAAATAATATTAGAAATAAAGTGTACTGTACTTTAAGAGCAAATATAATTCATTTGTTCAGGGTAGACCCTTAGAAAGCAAACGTAAAAAGAGACTTAGTTCTCTGCTTACACTGATCGTTACCAAGACTGCCTACTGCTTGTATAACATTTTAAAGCATCTGTAAAACAATCATTAGTTATGTAAACATTTAGAGCTCATCAAATGCAGAGACCAGCAATATACTTTAACTTCTAATCAAGAAGTCACTATTTCCTTAACTATACAGAAACTACTTGAAAAATTCATAAGATCTGTTTCACAAATTAACTATTCAACCATAAGAATATATAGTAAAAATGACAAAAGATTTGTTCTTATAGTTGATAAAAAATTTATGCCAAGGCATTCAAGTAAAGTTACTTTCTGTGTTCTGATTTAATGACTCATTTGAGCGGTGTGTGGCTGGGTGACACAGATGCAGGGCTCGCTGAAGCCTGCTCTAATGCCTGCTGGTACACTCTTCCTTGGGACAGGAAAGCCAGAACAATGTGTCAGACTGCAGCAATATCAAGGCAAGTAAGTGCAGTGCTGGGGATGCTCTGAGGCTGGCCCACAATACTTCTTGACCTGTGAATGTCTGTAAGTACTTCTCTGTCCTACAGGCTCCAGTGACCCAGGAAGCCTAAAAGAAGCAGCAGCAGTGCAGTAATAAACAGGCTCTGGAATACAGATTTTTGCAACCTTGTAATTCAAGCTCAAGACATACAAAGACTGCTTGATGGCTTAACCCTACTGAAAGGCAGGGCCTGACACCGATGGTGTGAAACCACCAGTGATTTCTTAAAAGCTGAACTAATGTAAAATATTTAGTACAAATTTGTGTTCGTTTAACAAACTGCAAAGTTTGTGTCTTTACCCTCAGAAATGTACCTGAATTTGCAAAATACAAATTAAGGAACTCACTTGATGCATATGAACATTGCTTTTACAGGTCATGCATTTGTGTAGAAGTTTACTCGAAGACACTATAATAAAATCAGGCTTCCATTAGCAAAATCCCTATAAAGGATTTAATTCTATAGTAGGTATAACAAAGCCAACAAGGAACTGTAGGCCTTGTAATATCACAATCTTGAGCAATAAAGCTAATCTTCACAAAAATAAACTACTGGCTCCCAGTATTCCTTGGGAGTTGCTAAAAAAGCTTTCCCCTCTAAAAGAAGTTTGCTGAAATATTTAAACAAATGTATTTAGAAGCACACCACATCTTTATGGAAATAATTTGACTTTAATCATAGGAGTGAAATCTTTTAAGAAATCAGAAGTAGAATGAAAAATTAAAAGCTTAACAGTTATGCCAAATCCAAATAATACAATACACGTCATTTTGTCCTAATGGCAGAGAGAGGAAGAATGTCTCTCAGCAGCAAATGGAAGAGGGTGAATTATACTCCTTCATCCCACCAGCCCTCCTTAAAACCCCCTAAGGCTTAAGTTTGCTTTTATTAACATAACATTCAGTTATTGTTAAAAAGTTATTGCCCATTGTTAACAATTGTTGCAAGTTGGACAATCCTCTTTTGTCAAGAGAATTTAGTTCATTTTCATGAAAAAAAGATTTCTCCTGATTCCACAGTTAATTTCAATAAATCTCAGCTTCTTTTATCTGAAAATTAAATCTTGTTATAGGCTAGTTAAGATAGTTGCATATAAGAATATTTGACATTAAAAGGTACTTACACAGACAACAAAACAATAGCGATTAGAGTCCACTCAGGCATTTTGTGAATAATATTTCTATTTGTTAACCTGAAAAGTAAGTAAAAAATATCATTACATTTCAGAGTAAAAGTAAACAGATTTTAACAGCAGAATTTTAAGTCTACCGTTAATACACTGAGTTATAATGAAGCAATTACAGTTGTATCTGACCTATGCACCAACTTTCAGACTCCTTTCATCCTGTAATGGAGGAACTGCAGAATTTCCAATATGTCTCTTTTTTCTATATGAAAGTGGGATAAGAAAGACCAAAAAGAAGCTAATTCTTTGACTATGCTCACAAATAGTCCTGCCTGCTGTGAGCCCCACTGGGAAATTCTCCACAACTGCACGTGTTTCTGAAAAGACAGATCTTTACACTCAGTTTCCCTCCTGTTGGCTTCGGATCCAGATTTGCTGAGAGAGCTAATGTGGAAACAGACTGAATTTTATAAAATACCAGCACCAATCCTCTCATGATTCTCGTTTTTAAAATGGAAACCCAGAATTCTAACTTATGCAATGGGAGCCAGAGCAAATATAAGAGCCATATAAATGTAAGCGAGGTGTGAATCAAGAACCTCATGGGTGTGCAACCAAAGAGTGCTGCTGCACTGAACACCAGCTGACCCCCTTGGCTGACCTGCCTAATAAAACAGATCTGCTCCAAGTCAAGTGCTAATCTGTCCCACAGCAATTCACGTGTGAATTGCCATGGCTGAATTTCGACATGGCCCAAGACACACAGTTCCATGGAAAAGCCCCAGTTAAAAAGGCAGCAGTGACTGTGCCGGCACCCAGAAGAACCAGCAGAATTAATTTTATTCAGACAGATGGCACCATCCAACAGAAATAATGAGAGGGAAATGCCTCCCAGTGTTTGCTTCCTTCTTGCTCTCAGCTTCCCTTCTGTACAAATTCAGATTCAGAATGAAGATACCCTGTTCTTCACACTCACTCCTACAGGCACTGGTGAAGGTAAGAGCTTGTTTAAAATTAACTGTTTGGCAACAAATCCAAATCCAGGGTTTTCTTCCCCAGTAAGACTACTTTGAAAAAAACTTTTAATTGCTTTGGGCAAGTATATAGTTAACAAAAAAACCCCAACAAACAAACAAACAAACAAAAAACCCCCCAAAATTTGACAAATTGAGAAAATGGAAGTACTTGTAATTGTTGAAATTAAAATTCTGTTAACTAATTTCCCAAAATTATATTCAAAGTGTCATTAAAATGCACTTATGAATAGGATCTGTTATGTTTGCATTTATCTATTTCAGAAACCTATTAAAAATTAATAAAATAAATTTGTAATGATCAAAACAATATTATCCTATTTTTCTTCTCAAATCTCCAAGTCTTCAAACCAAAATAAGATTTTGAAGCAATGATTCCTCAAGCAGTGTCTCAACAGCCTGAGTTCTGTTAAATTATGAAAGGTGAAACAATGTTTTGCACTACATATGCAGGAATTGTCACATCTAACTAGAACCAACAGTTCTGGCAAATACAGATTATATTTGCTACTAAAAGATTAATGTTTAGCAATTATTATTTTAAAAAGCTAATTGATCTAGCTGGCAACAAAGCTTGTACCTGGTAAAGTGTTACATTTTTCTGGCTATAGAGCAAGAGCCAAAACAAAGGCTGAACATCTTGGCTCAACACTGATGACAGTGATAAACATTACCAAGAAATGTCTGATGGAATCATCCTGACAGGCAATTCACATGTAACATTCCAGTTAATCTGCTGTGATGAGACACAATGAAAGAGACAGCTCCAGGCCACTTGGGAAAACTCTGTCAGACAGAGAAAGCAGCTTTATTTCAATGCTCTACAAGGAGTTATTATTGATTAGAGCACAGGAAGGTGTCATTCTTGCACACAAACTGAGAGATGCAGTTAGTTGTGTCAATTAACTCTTATTCAATGTTAGTATTGATTGGCAAGGTCTGAACACTAGTCACTGCCATCAATATGCTCTGTATGAAGGAGGTAGTCAGAAGACACAGATAACCAGCAGGAGAGGGCAATATGGGTCTGCTGCTGTCCTACTGTCACTGGACTGGATGAACAGCCAGGCTCCCACCATGAGTAACCTTTCGGTACAACACTTGTCCTAAAACACTTTTGTGCAGCTGGAAAAAAAAGCCCCATTTCAGGCAGATCAGAGTAAAGCTAGCAACCTACAGGTGTGAAGCCTTAAATAATAAGGAGCAGTGGAAGGGCAGTCACTTTCCAAAACAAGCTGGGTGTCAACACCAAGGCCTCTGAAGAGCAAAGCTTTCAGAAAACAGGGAACTGCACGGCCTCTGTAAAAATGGTTCATTAAATGTGTCTTGCCTCCAGCCAAAACCGTTTTTTCAGAACAATCCATGAAAGAGAGGTCTCGGGATTCTGTCATAAGCACATAACGTGGAAATGTTAAAACTGTACAAAACTTTGTGTATGTGATTTGAGTTCTGCAGTGGAATATTTTCTGTTAAAGAGTTGGGCTAAATTCTCCCTCACCTACCTAAAGAAAGAAAACAATAAGCAACTTTCCAAAACGGAACGTCTCTGCTTTCTTGGCCTCAGCGGAGCAGGATACGTAAGCCAGGAAAGTCTGATGATCCCAAATAGCTGTGTGGGTCGCTTAGTTGTTAGTTTGTGGGTCTTGTGGTTCACTCCAGCAAGACACACTGCAGCCAGACTCGAGTGCTCCCACCCCCCAGCAGGACCCACGCAGCAGTTTTCATACCCTAGGAAGGAGCTCAGACAGAGCAGACGGATCCAAGTAGCAGAGGCTTACAGGGTACAGGATAAAGGACTCACAGAGATTCATAAGATGCGTAAAATTTCCACCCCAAATGACCTCCCAATTACTGATTAGTACCCAGCCTGCAAAGGAAGGGAATTCTAATAGGGTATTTGTAGTAATATAGGGGAGTCCAAGGTTAAAGCTATCAGTAAACAAAAAGAGTAAACCCAGAAATGACAAAAAAGACCATATACAGTTGGTTTTACTTTTTTAGACAACTTTAGTTGTCTTCCCATTTAACTACCATCATTGCAAATGATAGCCTAATTTGTAAACAGTGCCTGCTGTGGCAGCAGATTTAAGCACTGCCTAAGGGCCCTGTGCAAGAACTTGGAGAGAGATCACAACTAACTTGAAGTTATAGAAAAGAAACTCAGCAATGCTGGAGCTGACACCTTTTCCTCAGCTGGATTCCATTTCCTGGAATTTCAAGGGAACAATTTGATTAAAGGAACACTCTGCAATGGGGATTGCAAGATGGACATCAACATTATTATGCCAAATATTTATTCCCCTAAAAACCATAAAATACAGATGAAAATCTATCTTCAATATGAAATATTATGCCTTAAAGAAACAACCACACATATACAAACATAGTAATTTCTTCTCAGTTTATATATAAGTAGCTAATTTTCTCTTGATCTTTTAGCAAAGTGCCCTTACACGCTCTGGAGAATTATTTCACATCTCAGTTTTCGTAACAAAAGCTTACAGGCACTGAGGGACTTTGTTTGGGAAAAGCTCTAACCATTCTAAAATGTCTCCAGAGATGTCTCTGGTGTGTTTCTTAGCAGTGGTGATTGAATAAAATGCTGCCCAAAGGAGGCTGAACTGCAAGTGTTCCTTTAAAAACCAATGGAGCTGAAAATTGTTGTTGCTTAGTTCACCACATGCTCTTTTACCCTCCTTCAGCTAAGCTCTACTACAGCCACGTGTTTTATCTACCACCTCCTTTGGCAAGTTCTTCAGCCTGAAATATTTCCAGTACAAAAAGAAGGAAAAAGCATGAGCATTTATCAGTGCTCCTCCACAGTCATTAAGTATTCAAACAACATTAACAAAGAAATTTCTATATCCTGTAAATACAAATGCCATTTAAAATGTATCCCAAGTCTCCCTGCGAAAGCATTCAATCCAAAGCTTGAGAGAGCACTCATATTAAATAAATTTAAACCTACACACAGAACTGGAGATTCAATCTATGCCTTCATCTTAACATCCATGAGCGAGCTCTGGTGTATCAACAGACCTTTCCATAGCAGTAATGCAAGAAGGAGACAGGGCCCAAAGGTTTTTATTGCTTCTCTATTTCCTGTATTTTTTTATTATTTCACTATTAGTGACAAAACTCCATTTATTTGAGATATATATATTATATAACTTGTCTTTAACCACTCCTCACCCCAAACCCTGAAATTCTAAGCAACTGATATGGAATCTTCACAGGAAGAGAGCCCCAAGACCTTGCTTCTATTACCTTCAACTTACTTCCTAACAAAAAAAGACATAAAAATAAACTCACAAAAGTATTATCTAAGAGATCAGAAATAAATCAGGGGAGACTTTTAAAACACAATAAATTATTGCTACATGAGCTAAGTATTGGGATCAAAGCCCAAATAAATTAATTTGGTTCCACTCTTTAAATATATATATATATGTTTCAGAAGTCTATTTTGGCTTCAAGTCTCATTTTTATAAACCACTTCTAAAACTTTACAATCGGGCCACAATGTCTTTGAATAGCAAAAATTATTTAAAATAGAAGTTCTGCTTTTGAGAATCTCCAGGCCTTCTTCCATAATCAATCATACCCAAGTAGACTGAAAGACACCAAATGTAGTTTTTCCAGTTTTATCAATCCATAAGCTAAAGTGACTATTAAGCATTTAAACTGCAGAGCAACAAAACTGTTTTAAGACACGAAGATCCTATTCAAATAACAGGTACCTATATAGTGTATATATATTGCTTCAATATAACCGAAATTATCTTCCCTGGTTTCAGTATCGCCGTTAAAACAAAAGGTTAATCAGAACTTAAAAACACTGCAATCACAGAATCAAGGTCAAACACTAACAATTCTTTTCAATAAAACAGATTATGATCAGAGTCATCAGAAAGGAAGAGAGAATTTTTTGGGGTAAGAAATCCTGCCTATAACATCTCTGTTTTAGTGGCATCCTTCCAGCCCAGATTCCTTGAGGCAAATGCTGCATGAATGAGTTCTGGACAATTCACTGGTAAACCTCACACAGGCTGAGGATGTGGGAGGGACATTTCAAGAGTGACAACGTACACACAGTTAGCAATTGCTGTTGTTCTTTTCCTGACAATACTTGACGATGCAGGACGTGATCTATGTTTGAGCTATGAGAGTTGTGTTCCAAAGGAAACCTAAAAACATTCAGAGAAGTTACCACCATTTCGTTTTCCCTCCTTCTTTATCTCGCTGTTTCCAAATACTGTCTTTAGTCCTACTGACTGAGGCAGAAGCTTCATCTGTGATTGTAAAAGTAGATCTACGTCCATTTAGAATCAGGAACAACACAGGTCAAACTGGACCTTCTTCCTGACTCTAGAAGTTACTGGTAACAATTATTAATCACATTAAAACCATTTAGCCCAGCTGCAGGGAGCCAGAGCAAAGGAAAGCGACAGATCTCAGAAACTCATGCTTAATAGGAGGTGACAAGGTAGCAGAACCTTTAAAAGACTCACCATCATCCTCCAGAGACCACTGGCCTAGTTTTTAAAAATCTACAAATACTCCTGGTGACCTAGTCACTGCCAGGAGCAGGGAAAGGGTCGACTTGTTGGTCCACAGGGAATGTGACATTACCTACATGAACACACAGCTAGGAAAGGGCAGATCTGCAAATCATTCACTGGCATGTTTAATTAATCAATTAAGGAAGAATCTCTAACTAAAGACCAATACTCACCGGAAAGTTTTGACAAGATTTTTCAGCTCTGTGTAAACATCACCTGGAGCAATCTGAAGAGGGCCCAAAACTGCAGGTAATCTAGGGGGCAAAAGACACCAGTCAATGTGCATTTTCTTCCCTTTCTTATTTCTTCTCAAGTAGGAATTCTGCCAAAGCTTATCACAATTAGCAAAAAGAAAAAGAACGACTTTTGTGCAGCAGATCAGGCATGTAGTTTTTATTGCAGCTTCTTCTGAGCTGTGTTTGGGCCACCACCTTCACTTCACAAAGGCTTGTTTTTAAAAATAAGCTCTAGTTCAGAGTGAATGTAAAGAAGAAATATAATATAATTTCAATATAGTTCTACCTGCATTTTCTTACTCATTTCAGTTCCGAAAAGATATTCTTACAATTATGAAGATTGGAACTACAGGCCTTATAAATTTCTCAAAGGTTTATATTTACTTGGTTCAAGAATAACAATACAAAAGGAAACGACATGTCTGAGGTTTGCACACAGAATATACCTAACCTCAGACTTGCACAGATGCAACAGAAATATCACTCCACTGTGAGCTTGATAGTTGAAACCAAGATGACAGTAATCAGAAAATTTCAAAAGAGAGAAAAATACAAGTTTCTCCCTTACCTGACTGCATAAAAACTGATAGAGCACACACACCGTGCATAATGTTTAACTAGTTGTCAGTATTCCCAAATGATGGAAATAACATGCATTGTTTTTCACATTTAGGATTAAACTTTTGCCTCTGTTTACTTGTCTAATAGTTAATATCCTCTTGCATTTGAATTTCCAGCTATTCACATTCATATGCACACAGTGCATGGTGCATCAGTACCACTGGAAGAATCGAGATTTCTGTTCTGTACCTCACTGCACGTTTTACAGAAACTGAACACAGGACTCTTATGATGCTGGGGATATTCCCTGCTTTATCACAATGAAAACTGTGACAGGATCACTGCATCACCTCAGGAAATGTAAAACAATCCACACAGGCAAGACACTTGCAGGATAGTTTGATTCCATGATTGTTGCCTGTCCACACATGTTGCAGGTAGAGAAAAACAGAAAGGGTTTTTTTTCTTTTATTCTGAGGGGAAGTTTTGGTTGTGGGGGTTTTTGGTTTATAAGAAAAAAGCTTCTGCAAAACCTAGTTTGGCTAGCTAACACAAACTACAGGAAAAGTAAATACCCCTAACAAAAATCATGACCTTCAAAGACTCATTTATCTGCACTGCCTTAACAGTATTTTCAAGGTCCTCTCCACTTTGACAATTTAATAATTCTAACAGCTTTTTAATTTCAACAGAAATGCCTTAATTTATTTTCTGGGACTCCAAAGCCCTTTTATATATATGAAAAAGGTCTGATGTTTGGCAAATTTTAAGATTCAACTCTGAGGGCCTTTAATGCTTGTAGCATAGGGGCATACCGGTATCAGCCATCCAAACGTTGACTAGAAACTCTTTTAGTAGAACCTTTACTCAAAGGATTACAAGGTTTGAAAACGTTGTTTCCTTCTCTGTAGATTTTTTTTTACCAGTAATAGTATGCTTAATGTACAAGACAAATATTTGCACTCCTCCCAGTCAAGTTTTTCAGTTTAAAATTGAGCAGTTGGTACGTGCAGACTGTGCAAAATGACATCTGCAACTGTACCACAGGTGGCTGTTGCAGAAATAAATAAGTGCTTTTGGGCAAGACTGGGTTTAAGTTCTGACTAAGGCCACCCAGAAAAAGCCAGGCCCATCCTTGGACAGCGTGTTTGTTACTTAAAATGTTGATGAAGAAGCACCAGCTTCAGACTGACATTTAACAAAGTAAAGGATACTTACGCTTTTCTCAGTTTTTCAAGGACGATTCGCTTTCTGATCTGCATTTGTGCATTTGAATCAACAAGTGGGAAGGTAAGATCTTCAAGTTGATCATCCTGTGTTAGACAAAGCACCTTAGCAGCTATAACCTAGCATTTAATTAAAGTCAATGCATCAAGATAGTCACAGATTATCAATAAATGTTTAAACATAAGACTGCTCTTATCTCTGAATACAAAAAAACCCCAAACTGTAAATTTTTAATGGACAGAAGCTTGCATAACCTGACTCAACATACAGCGTGCAGCCAGCACACTTTTCTCCTTCCCTGTGTGAGACACTTACCCACTTAGGATGGCAGAAACAAAATAATAATTCTTTACAGGCCTATTCAGGCTTTACACAGCCTCCAAACTATTCCACTGCACACTTACTTTGCCTGTGCTTGGATGTTCCTCTTCCTGTGCGTGTGTCGCTGCCTCTTCAGCCAAGACGCACCTCCCTTTATAGAACTCTTTCACTCGGAGTTCAAGGAACTCCGTTTCTTCTTTTAACTTTTCGTAACTAGGCACAGGCTTCACTACTCCACCTGGGCCTGTGAAAGGTAAAGAATAATTCAAGCTGTTTTCGGACTCTCTTACAGCAACAGCATTAAGATCATCAGCTGTATCTAAGTCATCCTCATCAAGTTCTTCAGTCTCCTGGCTGGCAGGTGCTACGCACTCTGATGAGCACAAAGAAGTATAGTTTGGGCCATAGAGAAATTTTAAAGTTTCCTCAGTTCTCCATTCCATAAGTGTGTGCCTAAGCACTTCCAGTAAACTGCCTTTGGAATTCCTCAGTTCATGTTTTCTATATTCTGCGGAGTTAGCTAGTGTTCTTCTAAGATGTTCTGCCCCTCTTTTGCTCACACCAAGAAAAACTATTTGTGATCCACAGGTATTTTCACAGACTTCTGAAGCACTTGATTTCCCTCGAGTAGTATTTTTTGAAGGCGGTGCAGTTATTTCATTATGAACAGAGCGAGCACGCACTTCTTCCTGAGCGTCTAATTTACAGTGAGAGAGTTGTTCAGTGGCTTCTACCACATCTGAATCTTCAGTTTTAGGGCTGGGAGAGACTTTCTGAGCATGCTTTTTTTTGAGGATGCTTTTTCTGGGCAATTGCTGTGCAAAATCGGCTGAACTTGACTGACTTCCTGGTAGGACAGATGAAATAAATTCTTGCTCGTTATCGCTGCTGCTGTCACTGGCTGTGCCGTGAGAACCAGCTTCCCATGGCTCTGAAGGTATCCCAGGATTTTCAATGTCAGATGCTTTAATTACTTCATCACGTAGTTTCACCTCTTCTCCAGACCGTCCACTGTAACAGAAAACACCAGCTATCAACGAAATAAGAAATGGGTGTTACCTGCAGCAGCTTGTCATTCTCATGTAAGAATGATAAACAAAGCATTTTTCCCCTCATAGAAGAATGACTTTTTGCTTTAAGAATTATAGGTGCTCTTCTAGAAGTCTTCTTGAACTCAGAGTTGTACTGTTCTACAATCAAGATGACCAGAACAGAGACTATTTGAAGAAGTGAGTTCTCAGCTGATTACTGTCAGTTAGAAAAGTAAATAAAATATTATTAAGGACAGTAAAATAATATCAGACTTAGCAAGATGAATAGTGCCATTTTAAAATAAAGACAGGCATGTTAAAATAAATAGGAATACAGTACCCTATAATCAGGAGGACAGCAGAGCTGTTTGACCATATGTAAGTTTGCCACCTAATGGCCACGGGTTGCAAAAAAAAACAAACAAAAAGTCACAATGCACAGGGAGGTACAGAGAGATGACAGAGTGGTGTGATTTCATTTTGGCTGATACAGACATTTTAGATTAAGAAGTACAGAAGCTTTCATCACAAGTAATTGGCACAATTTTCTTTATAAAGAATAGATGGCATAAAATATGCAAAATACAAACAGTGTATTTGTTTCAGATTTCAACAGGCTCAATTAAGACACACAATCCAAGAGCAGCTGTACACTAAATCATACAGATCAAATATGCTGGCTTAGAATCACAAAGGAAAAAAAATGTTGTGTAGGTTCTAATAAGGTCTTTTCCACAATACAGGATATCAAAGATTCCCATTTCACCTGACGTGATACTAAAATTTCTAACTATAGGTGCATATAAAAAAAAAATTAAATGGATCAGTGTACCTCTGTCCCTCCTTCAGCAGTTCTATATCTGGTGGTCTGCAAAAAGAAGACACAGAATGAAGATTTTCCTGCTAGATCAATTCTCTTCAATTACACATTAAATATAAAAATAAGTTGAGTTTGGAAGGGACGCCTGAGGACCCTGTGGTCCAACACCCGCTGTTCAGAGCAAGGCCACAAGAGCAGGTTTCTGCTCACATGTGCACAGAGAGGGACTGGTGTGCTTGCAGCACCAGGCTCTTACAGTGAACAACATTGAACACAATCAGCAAGTCACACCAGTGTTAGTCAGAAAGGCTCTAGTCTGACCTCCAGCTTGTAATGCAACTGTCACCAGCAGAAGGTTTGATCGGCCGCAAATTCATGAAGCTTAAACCTTGAAAACCTCCAGTGATGGAGGAAAAAGGATACTACTCTCTATGACCTATGCATTCAGCTAGTTTCTTTTGCTGAAAACCAGGAGACTATGAAAAGTAGTGTCTTGGAGAATGAAAGTTGAATGAATTCAGCAGAATATTCTCCATGCAAGTCCTTGTTGATCAATAGTGACACCCATTGGCTCCACTCATTATTGCAAGCCTGTGTTTCCTTTGCTAGGAACAGACTGCATTACACTGATCCAAAATGTGTATTGCAGGAACAACATGAAATGGGCAATCTGAAATTCACACAGGAGAAAGAAACTCTCCATGGTATAGCCTGCTTTCAGATGCAAGCATTAACAGTCTAAGCTGAAGACCAGTGCCAAGTGCTGTGCTAAAGGTGATCAAGACATGCTCACGTCTACTAAATAGGTGTGAGTAGTACTGAGCCATGACAATTATTGTAATCCATATGGCAACAACACATTTAAAATGAACACTGTGCTAAGCTTACACCTTAACATCAGTTACCTCTGCTTCAGTTAATTCATTTTGATGCACTTCAGCTAATTCATGAGCATCACAGCTTGCACAGAGAAGTAACAGTCTCAAAAAGAGCAATGAATGTGTAAGATTATACTTACTCATCTTCTTCTCTCATCCATACTGGACTTTTAGAAATTTGAGCTTCGAAATATTTAGATGCTCTATAGCAAAAGTTGCTGCAAAAGCACTAGAAATTAAAAAAATTAAAGAAAGCAAAAAAAAAAATTACTAAAGCAAACTTCAATACTCATAGAAAGGTACAAAAGTAATTGGTTTTTATGCCTGTAAAATTAAGTACCAATTCATATTTCTTTTCAAGACTATGAGCAGGTTTTTAATACATCTGAGAAACCAAACGTATCAAGTAGGTCTATCCCATTCCCCACAAGCCACTTTTTTCTTCTTTTTCCACATTTTTCCGCTTTTTGTACTTTCATTACATACTGAGAAGCAAACCAGTGTTGACTTCTACATAACAATAATTAAAAAAACCCCAACAAACTGTTCAAAGAACAAGTCATAACCCAACAGGGTCATACAGTTTAGAAGACATGCGCTTAATAATGAAAAGACAGGTGTTTAATAATGAAATGTTGGTCAGCAACAGAACTTGTTTTTTTGCAATATTTGGAACAACACCTAAAATTTTGCAGCATCTTTGAAAAACTGACTTGCGCACTTGCATCACAAGGGAAGAAGACAAAGCATCCCACTTCTTCTCGGAGTCTTGCCTGGCTGCCTGAAAAAGCAATTCCTAGAATTTCATGTATGGTGGAGTTGTCACCAGAGGAAAGGAAGGGATGACAATGAAGAAATTTGTTCTGTAACTGGAAACATTTATCTTACAATTTAGTGTCTAAACATGTGCAGGTGACTGCATATCCTGTGAAGTGGCAAAGATGACTTTTATACAACCCCATGTCACAAATGTCTATCACAGATCAGCTGTACCACATTCAAACTGCTAGCCAAGCAAAATTTTCCATGTTATGTTTAAATATAGAAAATACGTGGGGTTTTTCGTTTTACCAAAGACAGCACCTGGAAACTGAAATGCACAAAAACCTTCTGCTCGTGAAAATGATTTTTTGTAAGAACCAAACACATTGGCTCTAAATCAAAGCCACTATATGAATGCTGTTACAAAATGCATTTCTGATGTTGCAACTATTAAATACATTCTAGAAACAAACTTGTTACCATACCTTTCTTTCAGTGATATCATAAACTCTGTTAGTTTTTGTTGAAATCTTGTACTTCTGCTTTGGCACCTAAAACAGAGTGTTTTCACCAGCAAGACTGTTATTTCCATGGTGACTACACAGAAAACTTCATTCTTAAGTGTAATATGTCCTGCTTTAACTGAATTGCATACTACAAACACCTTTTCTCTCAATTCTGATGTTGTACCTTCTCAGCTGTAAGAACCTCAATTTATCTTCAATCATATACATCTCACTACCAGTCGAAGACAACTTTAGATCTACAAGGAAGTCAGTGATGAATAAAAAACAACAGAGCTGCCGTGGCAGACACTTTCCTCATGTGTAAGTGCTGAGCAATTACAGACAGGTCCTTCCTTGATTCATGACATACATTTTTACAGCAGATGTATATGTATTCACATAATAATATTCCTGCATTGCATTACTTTTTCTCTTTGATCCTTCTCACAGACACTTGTGGCTATACTGACAAAAGAACAAGATTAGAAAATTTTCTCATGCACAAAGGAAGGCCGTGAAGCCCTAACTCATTGATCTTTATCACTGTCAAAGCAGATGCTAACTCATTTTGCCATGCAGTAACTGTTGCCTACTGATCCAATTTTACCTCTCACTTCAGAAGGATTATACTGAAATGGAGTGATATGACGCCTACCCCATTACTTGGCAGCATTTTAGTCTTTTTAAAGAAAATGCAAGAGAATCAAAATTGTGAAGAGATTCTTATAATAACAGCATTAATGAAAAGCAACTTACATTTTCCAGTTTATTTTGACATAGAGGATAACCACATAGTTTGATGATAGACCGTTCATCAACAATGTCTTTATAGTGAGACGGAGTAATGCACTTTCCCTAAAATGACAAGAAAATACTTCAACAACAGAAACTGGAAAATACATTTTTTGTACTCAAACATCTCATAAGCAGGTAAGTATTTTAAATTTTATCAGTTATCTAGTAAGTTTAATAAACAACATTTAAAACCTACACAGTAAAAATTATAAAAGGGTAAACAGAAAGAAGACAGACACGGGCACTTCTTTTTACATATACAAGAGCTTCATAATTTTCCTCTATTTATGTTTTGTACACCTATTTACCAGCTTTTTTACAACCTTAACAGGAATAATCATACTATTCCAGCAAGACTGTGCTGCCAGATAAACTGTGGTGCATTTATAGAAACTTTGCCTAAATTCACAGATGATGTGATGTAGACCTAAATATTTATACTTCATCTACCAGTCCAGAACCACAGAGGTATATAAAAAGGCTGTGATAATAGAGTGAGGATTCATAAATGTTATATACAGTCCTGCAAAACTAGGGCATGTTTTCACTGCAGAACCCTTGAAAACAAGGCAATCATCATCAGCTCATGAGAGAGGCAATCAATGGTTTGTCTATTTTAAACTGCAGTAAATTGTCCAAGAACTTTGGAAAAAAAAAGCAGCACATTAAGATACAAAACAGTACGAAAACGTGCGACACCTACAGAATTTAGAAGGAACTCTTCAGTAATGTTCTCCTCCAGGAGCTGTTCAACAATAGACAACGCTTTTCTCTCAAATTCAATCTTCTTTCTCAAAGCAGCTTCCAGAGCCGCTTTCCTATAACAGAACAGACACTGAATGACACAGAGCGCAGATTTTCATAAACAAATTTCCAATCATATCTTTATCTTTTTTCTGAAATACAGTAGCTTACACTTTTCTGCATCACACCATGTCGGTCAAACAAAGCAACAAGTAATTGGACCAGTAATTCTGTTATAACCACAAAGGAATTTCCAACCTTGTTTTATTTTGTTTTATTTCCACCCTGATCAGGAAAAGTATTGACTCTAACTGCTTTGCAATACACCACTCAAGGTGGCCCTACTCTTCTTGCAAGAGGGAAATCAGGAACTGGCTGGTGAAAAAGCTTAGGACACAGAATTTATGGAGTGTTTTTAAGGGAATAGGAGCTGGATAAGACGTGAAGAGTGGGAAGAAAAAAGGACATGATTGCATGTGAGGTTACAAAGTAAAAGAAAGAATAAATCAAACAAATGCTACTACACTAGATTTCCAGAGTGCTTTTTAATGTGAATAAGTGTAAAGAAGTTAAGATGGCAAAAAGCAAGCATTATAAGGAAATGCAATTGTGCAGGTTGGATTCATAAACTTTTAGTATATTATACAATGCACCTATGTGCATGCTGTTAGGAGTTACACAGCATCACTCCAAACAAGCCTGCACGATGTTGATGCTGATCTCCTGCAGGTAGTCATGGTACTCTGAGAAAGACGAAAGACATGCAAGGCAGAGAATGCAATTTCAAAGTGAGGTAAAATGACACAAACATCACTTTTTGTCAGTCAGAAACTATACCTCTGAGCAGCATCTTCATTCTTTGGAGCAGCTGATTGCTTATTTCCTAGAAATCAAATATAAAAATGTAGAAATACAGAAGTTAGTGTACTTTCTTTAATACTGGAAAATACGGGAAGATGAAAAACATTAAAACCCCTAAACCTCTAAAAGCATAATCAAGACAACTGCTTGGAAACCTGCTTTTGATGGCCATGACTTCAGCAGCTAGTGTTGCTTAGACACAAGTGTGAGGACAGGCAGACCCAACACCTCCCATACATTCATCATGTTCTGTATACTCAAAAAGATACGGGAAGAATAATTCTGACAGTAATTTTGTGCCAGCCACTCCCGCCCCGGCTCTCCGGCGCAGCGTTACCCCCGCCCCGCCCCGTCCTCTCGGCGGCCCCAGCGCTGGGTTTGCTCCCAGCCGGGTGCAGGGCCAGCACTCGCTCCCACAGACCCGCCACTGCCACGGCCGCCCTCGCTGCCCCCGGCCCGCGCCCCCACGGGCGGTGACACCGGGGCTTGGGCCCCCTTGAGACGAGGGCAGCGGGGAGGGGAGATGCCAGGGTGTCATGCTTCGAACACAAGGACGCAGCGCTCGAACCCGCTGCACGATCGCTGTCGCGGGCCGGGGCGGGCGGTACCCGCAGAGCCCGAGGGGACGGCGGGTCCCGGACCCGCCTCGCCCGTCCCGCCGCCCATGGCGCCACGCACCCGGCCCGGCCGAGGCCCACCGAGCCGTCCCGCCGCTCCCCCCGCCACAGCGAGTTGGGCGAGTCCGCCGCTGTGCCGGCCTGAGGGCACAGGGAGAGCCCAAGGCGCCAGGCGGGGGGAGGAGGGGCGGGCGCGGAGCCCGAAGCCCACCTGCGCGGCGCCGGCGGGGCTTGCCCGTGCCGGCCGCCATCGCCGCCATCGCCGCCCCGCCCGCCGACCTCTCACCCGGGGCGGAGCCGGGCTGGGAGAGGCGGTGGCGGAGCTCAGGGGTTCGGCCGGACGGGGCTGAGGTGAGGGCTGCTCTGTGGTTTTTAATTTACCCGCGTGTTACGGGCTGAGGCCGGCAGGCTCAGTGTTGTACCACCTAGGGAAGGGGCTGGGGTGTATGTTTATCGGGAGGAAGTTTGGTGAGTATTAATAGAACGTTTCATATGATCCAGATTCTGCCCACTTGCCGCTGAAACCACCGAAAAGATTTAGTTAGAAACCGGATTAAGTATTAAGGCCGGAGACATCTGCGAGCTGGGCCGGTAAATCCCTGGAGCAGCGCGGTGGGTGTTCGGAGCAGTCCCAAGGCTGTAAGTACCTCGTAAAGTTACTCAGGGGTGAAAATGCAACAGTATTTGCGTTCGAAAGAACATTTACGTTATTCTGGAAGGATTAGTAACATTCTGTGAAATAAACAGCTCAATTAGTACGGCATGTAGTAATAAAGTATGTGGTAATGACCAAGTGAAAATGACAAGAGATACAATGGATAGGTTTCAGCGACATAAAATGTTAAATCATGCCGTCGAGAATAGAAAGGGAGTTGTTTATTCTTTGAATAATTAAGGTCACACCCAGATGCTTTTTAAGCGTTCATGAATTGCACCCTTTGTGTAATCATCCAGATAGACTATTATCCTGGTCTGATGTAGCTTAGGTTAAACATAGGAGAAAAGGCTGAGGACCTTATGTGGAGATGCTGTGTTTTGATGAATAGATAGCTAATTAACCAGATGTAGGGCTAATTGACATTCATAGTGATCACATAGCCAGGTTTAGGCCCATAGCATTACTTGAAACTATAAAGATTGTGAGAGCTGCTATGATGTATCACATGGGATAACCAAGCTTGATTTTATTTGTAATTTATGGTCCTAGCTATGTAAAACTTTCTATATACTTAACATTGCTCAAATGTTTAACTTTATTGCTTTTAGTAAGAAAGGTTTGAATTATAGTACATAGAGGTAAAAGGCTTCTGAACCACCCCAACCTAAACATTAGAAAGAAGGAAATTATTTCTGATGGTGATTGGACTGTTTGTATAAACTGGCATGGGGGGTTCATCAGCTATGCACATCCCAGACACAGGGTTAGAGTGTTCCAGTCAGGGCTGAGCAGGAGCTCCTCTGCTCAGAGCTCAGTCCCAGGAAGTGTAGTGTGTCATGAGCATCCACACCTGGCATGCAGACTCTCCTGCGGTTTTCAATGTATGTGCCCAAAGTCGTAGCTAAAGCCTCCAAACTTCTTTAATGACCCAGATAATACTTGAAAAATTGCTTCCTTGTGCATAGAATGCAGGTTGTTTTTGAGTGTAATACTATCTCCTGCAAATATTAGGAATAGAATAATTTAGTATACGCTTCCTAAAAATGCATTTTCCCTTGTTTTTTAATCACGTAGTCTTCTTAATATCTGTCTAGGTTATTCTTATTCCTCATATAAAATAATTATAATGTAATTATTAATTCCATATATAAATTAATTATAATGTAATTATTTTTCAACATCTATTTTAAATTCATGTGATATAATACTGCACTCTTTATAATAGTTTTTGATGCCAGAAGAACACAGTCAAACTACAATGGCAGTTGACGAACTTCAAGCCATAATACAAAGATGTGTAAGTAGTTTTCTTTCCTTAAAAGTAACAAATGTAAGCAGTGTGCATTTCTCTTCATATATTATAAGTAAAACCAAATGACCTCAAAGCAAAGACAGTTCTTAGCAGAGTTCCTCATTGGGCAGCTAAGTTCAGCCTCCCCATTTCATTGACCTCTCTGCGGTGCTTATCCCAAGATGCTTGAAACCTTGTGCTTCTTGGAGAAGGAAGTGCTGTACCCAGGAACAAAAGCAGGTTGTTGTAGAAAATATATCTTCCAAACAGGATGCTGTATTCTACACTTAAAAGTGCTATTGAAATACTGCTTTGTCTTCTGAGTTAACTCTTAGTAGTTTTTTTAACATGTGAAAAATGTATATAAGTTACAACATTTGATTTTGAAATGAAAGCATGTATTTTCTTATTTGACTTTTTTAAGCAGGGAGTTAAACGTCCATATTTTCTTTCTAGCAAATTCTAGAAGAAGCTGATTTCAAAGGAGAAGATTTTAATCTGTTTCTGGTGGCAGGTCAGAAATGTTTAGAAGATGGATATGCAGCTCAGTTATTAGAAGTAATTCAAAATGAGAAAAATAAGGTGAGTTTAAGTTTACAGTCTAATAGTTGTGCATTAACACAATTAAATAGATAAAACTGCTTATTAAGAAGGGAAAGCTACTTTCACTGTGAAATGAGGCTGTACTTATAAATAGCTGATAAGTTGCTCTGTGTTAAGTGCACATTATTCTGTAATTTAGGTAGAAAACCCAAATCATGGTAATCTTAACAAAACCACTGATAAACTGTTTTTCAGTAAGTGATGCAAAGAGAAAAGGAAGGGCAAAAGCATAAGTAGGAGAAGCTGACAGTGTCCCTCTTTTGCAGGACAGGGATTTCAGGTGGTGTACTGGATCTGGCTGCCGTGGAGTTGACTTTCTTCATGGCAGCCTGCATAGGGCTGTATTTTAGATTTGTGACTGAAACAGCGTTGATAACACACCAGTGTTTCAGCAATTGCTGAGCAGTGCTTGTACAGCACCACAGCCTTCTCTGTTTCTGACTCTGCCCCATCAGTAAGCAGGGAAGTTGGGAGGGGGCACAGCTGGGAGAGCTGACCCCAACTGCTGAGATATTCCATACCATATAACATCATGCTCAGCAATAAGATTCTTGCCCCCATCCCGCTGAGGGGTGAGAGTGAGCAAGCAGCTGGTTGGTGCTTAGTTGCTCACTGGGACCAACCCACCCCAGATGGATATAATAATCATGGCCAACTTGTAAGAGCCAACTAAGCTGACGCTGCTTGAAGAGATATTAGAGATATTAGTGTCTGTGGGCACTTGGGGAGCTGGGAGAATATACCAAATTGTACAGAGAGATGAGGAAGTTTTTGTAGCAGTGTTACGTGGGGTTTGCAGTCTGGTTTTGAATTTTGTGAGTTTGGAGTAACCGCTGAAGATCTCAATCCCTTCAGGTTAAGCATAATTTGTCCAAGGACTCTTTCAGCAAAATTGCTCTGCTCAGTCCTGCTTTAAATGTATTGTCATAGACATTTAGAAGTGTATATTTATATATATGTTAATGTTAATAAATTGAAAAAAACCTATACAAATTATGCAGCTGTATTTATAGCTATAGGGAGAGAATACAGTGTAGGTCAAATACAGAACTTTATGGTTACAGTTGTTAAATTGTCACTGACAGTGACAGTTAATGGTGTTGGTTACAACCAGGAGATTGATCTGTTATCTCTTTTGTTCTTTATATATACAATCTTTATGGGTTCGAAAGACATACAGTTTTGTTTTATTCTCTGAAAATCTGGTTTTTAGGTTATCATCAAGAATATGGGTTGGAATCTCATTTCTCCTCTTGTTAGATGTATTTTCATGTATAAGCAAGAAGATGATAAGCGAGAACACTGCCTGAGGATACTAGATCAGTTGGCACAGGTATGGTTTTGAAATACAGGATTATAACACGAGAATAATAGGGAAGAGAGAGATCCTAATTTCCCCTCACCAATTTACAAAGAAAACAAGGCATGAATATTTCTGTGTTCTTTGTATTTCCCATAACTTTTAAACTCATGGGCCAGTTTCATCTGAAGCAGACAGAGGCTTAGTGTTCTCAGAGATAATTAACGTCTTACACATCTGAAATTAGTAACTGGGCAAAACAGAGACAAAGCGTTACCCAGAAGAAGGCAGCAGATAGCTGCCTTCTCAAAATTCTTGATAGCCAACTGCTGCAGTCAGAGCAGCCACAGCTAAACTGCCACTTACCTACTACAGATACAGTATTGTTGTCCCTGAAAAATGAGATATTTCACCCAGTATGCAAAGCCAAAAGACACACAGGAGGGAGGGATTTGATTTAGTTACAGTTCTGCACAGAAAGGAGTGCTGGATCATTAATGCACAAAGCTGGCACACCAAAGGCCAAATATTTATACAATTTGTATACAATTTGTTTCAAACAATATTTGCATAATGGATCTACATCAGTACTTGGATAAGCTGCTCTTGGCAGCTTATTCTCTGGCCTTGATTTAAAGGTACAGGGTATTCAGAGTTCATGTTCAGTGGGCAGGGCTCTCTGTTTGCAGGTGGGCAGCCTCAGCTTCAGAGATGTGATTTTCACATCATTATGAGTTAAGCTCATCTAAAGGACACAATTTTAGCTGAGTTAGCTAACTCGAGGTCCTCCCTTGCAGATATGCAACCCAAAGGAATTGTTTCTGGGTTTACTTGAGCAAATTGAGCAAACCTCTGGAGATCAAGTGTGTCAAACTGTCATGTTACTGCTTCAGCCTTTGCAGACGGGTAAGACGCAGCTTATCATACCATTTCTGAAGTATTTTCTCATTTATTATCAGTTTAGCCTTTGCTGGAATGGTTTGAGAATACATCTGTGCTGACAAACTTTACAGTCTTATGTTCTACAAAATAACACAAGATACAACTTTCCTACTTATATTGGCCTGCTAGAAAAATATTTTAGATGGTATTAATAGCATCAGTTGAAAAAGCAATATTCAGCTACTTCTTAACAGTTACGAGAATGTGGTGTAAAACACTCATCCTATTGTTACAGAAATAGGGAATTAAATGGATTTGTGAAATTCTTCATTATTTGACTTTTAAAACATACAGGTTCATATTTTTATAGTACAAAACTTTCATTTCAGTAGAAGTACACTGAAATACTTTATTGGTGAGGAGGAAGCATTATTCAGGCTTACATACGAAAATTAAAAATGTTGGATTTGGACACCCTCGAAGTAGGTAGCAAATGGTAGTTTCTGTTTTGATATGTGAGATGAAACCAAGTGTTGTGTATAAAGCTGAATTCTGACTATAGCACTCTCTGAGAATTAAACAAGAGACATACATGATTTTTTGGATGGGCAATCTGGAGTTAGCCTGCACTGAGTCCAGTTAAAGTGGAGAGCCCCAGGTGCTGCTTGCTCAGTCTGGGAGTGCCTCTGTTGGTTCTGCCATGGAGTGAAGACCAGTTCTAAGCAGAAAAGCTGGGCACTTTTTTTCCTGTGTCTCTGGTTTTGCCAAGCACAAAAGGAGTCAAGTAATAAACACATTTTCCAGGTCAGATAAATTGAGTATTATTTCACGTAGCCCAGTTCTAGAAAGGCAGATTTTTTTCAGTCCTCATCGGAGTGCTATGGAGAAAGGAGGAACATTGAAATGCATGATGGCTTTAATATTTGTTATTTGCAAAGACATGGTCATGTTAACTACAGCACATTAAACTTGCTGATGATGTTTTGTCTCCTGGGTTTGCTGATGTAAGCTCCTTCCCTGAAACTAAATGCTTCCTTACGTAGTCACACTGTTTTTCCTCATGTTTTCCTCTACTAAGTAATAACTTACTGTCTCAAAATCTTCTTTTTCCCCTCTTCTTGTTTTCTTTCCTTTCCCCAGTGCTTTTGAAACTGCAGAACAAGAAGGCCTACTCAGTGGGTTTGTCGTTGGCCATGATCATGAATCAGCTTACTTCCTTACCTGTACCTTACACGAAACAACAAATACAAGAAGACAAACTTGGTCTTTGTCAGTGTTGTAATGCAGTGGTGGACTTTGCTAAACCCTTTGTGAATGAAGTTGTTAAAAACATGGAAAAGTCGTCAGAATACGATGACATGGAGCTGAAAGAAGAATTATTAAAATTGTGAGCGTTTTATGTCAGTGTGATATATTCCTATTACTTTACAAAATGGTCGGTAGGCATTTATTACATAGGCAGTAAATGAATCACCTTTTATAATGCTGTCAACTTACACTAACTAATGTGGTATTTTGGAAAAGAAGCCCTAAATAGGCCTTATATATTTATGAAGTGAGAGAAGAAAGGTAACAATTTTTTTTTTTTTTTAGTACAGAGAAATAGTAAAGAAGTATTAGTTGCTGTGCTGTGAAGCTGATTTGGTATTCCTCTGCTTCTCAGATTTTCAACAGTGAGGATAATCATAGTCTGGAGGTGAAGTCTAAGGAATGCTTCTACAGAAGATGCTGGGCTTTTTAATTCTCTTTGGAATACCAGGAATAGAGCATCTTATGAGTATAGACTTTATTCTTGGTCATCAATGACACTACAATACTCTGTATTTGTGACCATATTAGTGATTTAGTTTTACCCCTTTTTATTTCAGCTGTATGAAAAGCCTGAAATACCCATTATTGGCAGCTCAGCTTGAACAACTTGAAGGCATTGAAGAACATCCTTTTCGGCATTTTGCAACTGAAATTATAGTAAGTGCAGTCAAAATTAATTACAGTGTTTGCAAAACCAGTGCTTTAGTTCAGAATTACCTGTAGTGTGTTCTAGAGCTCATTTTGCTTGCTTTAGTGGTTGGTGGGGTGACTTACTGGTCCTTTCAGATAATGCAGGTAGATAAAGTTCTAGAACTATTCCAGGTACCATCTGTGGAAATTACAAATCTTCATACGTAGTTTTGCTCCTCGATAAACAAGTTTGCACTGCTCTCTGAAGCAGCAGCTGCAGCCTTGCTCTAACTGGTTCTTTTTCTTGGTGATGTATGAATTTATTAGACTATCTAAAGGATCATCTTTGCAGTATTGCAGCAAGGTAGAATCTATGTTACCTTTAATCCAGGTGTTGCACAGAGTGAAATCTCTGATGTGCCTGGTGCAGTGCCAGCTGACTGTCAAAGAATCTAAACTGGTGCTTGACTAGAGCTGGAAGTTCAGTGGGCACGTGTCCCTTCCGTGTTATCAATACAGTTACTCTGGTTTTGAATGTTTCACATAGTAGCTTTATTTTATTACAGCAAGATTAATGTGGGTAAAGGTAATTTAATTCCAATTTGCAGCAACCCCAAGCCTTATGAGGAGATAGTCAGGTACAGTCCATGCATATATTGGAACACAGAGCGTGTGTATATTCTCAGAAATAGGACTAGATGTGATTAATAAAGTTACTGCACATAGAGCTGCGCTTTGTTCATGTTTTGAATATGAAATATAAAGAATATTTCATTTCTTACACATATCCAAATTAGTGGCTTGACCCCAGCTGGCAGGTAAGCTCCCACCCAGTCACTCACTTATGGCCCCCAGCAGAATGGGGAAGAGAATCTGAAGGGCAAAGGCAAGAAAAACTCAGGGGTTGAGAACAAGCCAGCTTAATGAGGCTGGCTCATGGTGTTATTTGGGAAGGGAATGACACACTAAAACTTGATGGGCTTCAAAAGGAAGGCCTGGAGCTAGCTGGGATGAGGAAAGCACACATAAATATGCTATATGTATGCAAATGTGCATGCACACAGAGGAGGCTGGAAGTTGCCTTGTGATGCAACTATGTTTTTTCTCCAATTTGTATTTAAAAATCTAAGCATTTTCTTCACAGAATTCTATATTCACATGTTAAGATTGTAAAGTGAAGCACACAAAGCACTTGGCAAAGCTTTGTTGTTATTTTTCAACAAAAGTTGGGTTTTCCATCATGATCACATCCACTTTTTTCCCACAGCGTGCCTCAGCATGGAATGGGAACTGCTGTGTGGATCAGTCAGGTTGTGCAATGAGAGAGAATCTTGTTCCCCAAACCTGTACTTCATTTATTGCAGGACTTTCAGGATGTGCAGGAAGGAGGCAGGGGGATTACCAGAAGATGATCTCATGGTTAAGATAGTTGAAGGATGCTCTGAAAAACTGGCTTTTTATCCTGACTTTTCTCTTGGGCACAGTCTGAAACCACGTTTTTAATACTAATTATGAATTAACATTTTGTTTTCTTAAGAAATTTACTTCTGGTATTTATGGGATTGGGTAGCGGGATGTGAAACTCAGGTCCGTAAGTCATGCTTTGGCCCCGTGTGTAATCCTGGTTTTCCAAAATGTGAGATCCTGAATCTTCTGTTTTGGCAACTCTGCAACAGCGAGCTGACCTTTGTCTCACTGTTTCTTTGCAGTGCATACAATAGGACTTTGCCATGTTAGGAACATTCTTCTAATGGTAGTTATTTTTGCTGCAAGGTTCTTTTTGTGTGCATATGTGTATGTATCATAAATATCACATTAATTTATACTGTACAAGAGAATGTTCTGTAAATACAGTTAAAGCTTTGAAACTTAATTGGTATACGGGTAGTTCAAAGGCAACTATAGGCAATCTATCATTCTTTTTCAGGACATTTTGTGGAATATAAGAGAATTGATGCCGTTAGTGGTTTTACATCATAAAGGCAAAAGTCCACGCTGGGAGAATCAGGAGTTTGCAGACATAGAGCGAAAGAATTCTGCAGATTCTTTGGCATGTCTGTCATATCTGATGTTTGTTCAGCATTTTGGTATCGAATGCTTTCCAGTGGTTTTTAGGTAAGACCTAATTTTTCTCTCTTACTGTAAGTCTGACGATTCTTTCTGAGCAGAAGAGAACTTTATTTTTGAATAGTTATGAATGAAAACTGTGTATTTCGCTGGTATTAGTTTTATGTCAGCCTTTATGCATTTATATTTATGTAGCTTATATTATTTATATAAAGAACATAGTTTTGCAGATGACTCTATTACAGTTTAATTTTAGATGAGCTGTCCTTTTAAAGAAACTGTCAAAGATTAGTCATGTGATGAAAATTAATATGTATTAAATGTTCAATTACATATTTGTAGACAGTTTTCATGTAAGAATCACCACGTGTGATTTGATGTACAATTTTTTTGTCTACTTCAAAATTTTAGAAAGATATTTTAATTTTTTAAAAATACTAATCCTGTCAAATATATTAATTATGTGCAAACATATATGGCTTATGCAGTTAATGTAATCTAATTTTTCTTTTTTAGCCCAGCATACCTTCTGCTATGCAATATGACACATATTGAAGTGCTACTGAAAAGGTAGAGTTTGTGGGATTTGCAGGTCTAGGTAATGGGTGTGATCTTTTATAGTTATTCATAGAATCAAATTTCAAACATACCATATAAGTTCAGAGAAGGTTTTTAAACCTGAGCTTTAAAATTGGAAGTTCCACTACAAGATGCCTTCTTCTACTAAGAAGTTTTTGAAAATATTTATGTATTGTTTTTATCATGTATTGTGATAGCATTTTTAGAAACTTTGATTTGGAAAATACAAAATTCAGGCAGTTTAAATACATGCAGAATAATTAGTGTATATTTACTTGCACTTCTGTAACAATGATTGTAGTACTAAAGGTGACTATTGTGATATTATTTATCTGAATGCATTCTGACATGGTACACAATCTGATTAAAGGTCAGGCTTTCTAAAGGAAACTTGACTTTTCTATATATTGTGATTATTTCACCTTCTTTAAGCAGCAGAGTTACCAAATAGCTTCTAGCAGTGCTATAGAAGGCAAGTTTCCCCCTTGAATGCTTGCCATTTCATTTTCCTTGTTAATCAGCATGTCAGTACCTGTAAGAGATGAGACATTGCTTTTGAGCATTTATAAATATTGAGGGGAAAAAGGTCAATTTGACCCTGAAGAGAGGAGCCTAATGTTTAATTTTTCATAAGCAAGTTTATTCTAAAAATCTTTGAGAGGAGTAATGAAGATACTATATTTAGAAAATAGAATGCAAATTGTTGAGGGACAAGTTCTTGTTGACTCCTGTTCTAATATTTCTTCTGAAGTATCAACAGTGTCCATTTACTAAAAAATTTGAATTTGATTTTTTTTTTTCTAGAACAGAAGAATCTATGTTATCTAAAGGACTTGTAAGTTGTTTTTTTGAATTCAGTTTTCATTGTTAGAATGTTTAGTTTTTTCAATTTAAAGAATGGCAAAACTCTTGTTTCTCCTTCTAAGAGAGGTACAAATGATAGTTCAGATAATAGTTCCAGAAATATTTAGAGACCTTATTAGGTGTTCTTCAGTGTTACAAATACTTATATTTATTGAACTTTACACTCCTGCATAAATGTTTAAATTATCACTATTATAACTGCAGCTCCTGGAAACTTCTGGTATCAGAATGAGTACTTTCAGCTGTTTTAGCCATGAAGCGTTATGCATATGGATTAATGTCTTATATATGTTCATATTATTGCCATATTTTTTTTCCACCTGCAGGATCTGTTTGAGAGCAGTTTATTGAGAATGGAAGATAACAGCCTTCTCCATGACTATTTAGAATTCAGAGATTTCATTAATGTACCTCAGGTAATTAGAAGCAACGTACTGAAGTCTTTAAAGTTTGGTTACAAATAATACGTCGCTGTCCTCTAGGTTCTGGAGAGAGCACATGCTACTGTCCTTAATACACCTGTGTTGTTAAATGGAAACCTTCAGAGTCTTGCTGCATAGAATTGATTGTCTATTCTACCTGCTGCAACGTGAAGCTTCAGTGACAATTCAAATATTCTTAGTGTATGTACGGGTGGTCACTGAAGCAGGTGGGCACAGATCTTAGTTGAGGGCTGGAACTTGCTCGGTTTTGTCTCTTCCTTGCCCATCTGCTGCTTGACTTCATTCTAATTGGACCCAGCAGTACAAGGATTGTATTCTTGTGTATCAGCCCTGGGGGTTCGACCACTGAAGCTCTTGTGAATGTCTTTGATGAGATTCTTCCCATAATCAAGTGTGCAGTGGGGTTTTGTTTGGTTTTTTGTTTGTTTGGACTTTTTAATGTCTTGAGTAGATTTTAGTGTTAATGCAATATTCTGTATGTAATTAGAAATTACGTTTTCTTTGACCCACTGCAGGATTTGGTGAAAATTATGACCCTTTGTCCCATGGAGCATCTGGTATGTAAAGTTATCTACAGAATTGGTTAAGTGCTGAATTTATTTAATGAGAGTCCATCTGATAACATCTCTGTTTTCTTTAGAGAAAGAAGAGTTTAAGTATTTTGCAGTTGTTCATAGACAAGTTTGACACTGAGGGAAAATATACATTATTCAGGTATGCATCCAAGTTACTGTGTAATATCAGCCTTAGTGCAGCCTAATTACATAGATACAGTGATTTCTGACAGTTTCCATCTAGAAGTCACATTAATTTACTTGTTAATTGTTTGATAAATAATGAATTTCAATTGCCTCACATAAAATCACCTGTCTTACGTAAGCCAGTGTTTGAAGGTTACAGTTATACAATTTCTCTGTGGTAAAACTCCCACTTAGTGAATAAGCCCATAATGACATCGAAGTGTTGAGCTTTGAAGAGATAATATCTTTGTTTTGTTTGTTTGAAGGTGTTTACTGAAGACAAGCAACCATGCTGGTGTGGAAGGATACATTATTAAAAATATAAAAGATCAGATTCACTTATCGTTAACGGTGAGGCTGTTACCACTAAAAAACAAGTTGCTATCTCAAAATTCTCTCAGTATTGTGTTGAGAAAACGTCCACAGCTTAAACTTTGAGTGATGCATTAAAAAAATCCACTTTGAAAAGAAACATAAGATTAGGAGATTATATTAAAAGTATTGCTTTGGCTTTTTATATGTGTATTTACATTCTAATTTTATGGTTATATTTTTACTTGCACAATCTTACTATATTTTTCTAAGAAGTTATTATTACTTTTGCCATGCTTGAAAATAGATGTTTCTTTCTTAAAGTGGAACTACTCAGTATTTTGGTTTATCACAGTTCCTAATTTTTTTAATATAATTCAAATCCTACAGTCCAGGCAGAATTAATAATTTTTTCTTGGTTTTTCTGATGATAGTCAGCATTTTCTTATGAGTGCTTTGCAAGCAATAAACTTATCAGAAGGAGTGGAGCTAGATTAAAGCCTTTTAAATATCTTATTTTATAATCATTTATACTGGGAACTTGGGAAAATTAAATAAAACTAAATTATTAACTTTTTTTTTTTTTTTTTTTTTTACTGCTTAGGGCCTTTTCCAAACTAAATTTGATTCTTTAATGTACTGCCTTTTGTCAAAGAGGAAAATTTAGTATATTCATTCATCTTTTATGCTGGCAAAATTATGTCAGGTGACAGTGAATTACTATTTATTAGATCATAGTCTGTCCTTTATATTGAATCAGCAGAGGTGAACAAGATGAAAACTGTTCCAAAAGGGGCTTGTACTAAAATTGAATAAAAGTATATTCTGAAATTTCACCTTTAAAAAAACCCATTGACACTGTTATGAAGAAGAGTCTCTGATAAAGAAAGTTAATTGTTGCATACCTCAATATAAAAAAAAAGGGTGCCTTCTAAAATTTGCTATGTTTATGTAAACAAATATTAACTGTATTGATGGTGGTACTCTATAAAGAAATGGAGAATTTTTTCTAAGGAAATAGAAAAGAATAGCTGGGCATGCAGAGACAAATTGGGGAGGGTTATGAGAGGCTACTTTGTGTACTTCAGTCACAGGTAGTAACCAGAAGATACAGCTTCCAGTGTTCAAGTCTTTTTTTTCCTTTTCTTTTTTAGCCAAATTATTGTTAAATTATGTAAGATTTAAATTTTGCACTCAGCTAAACTTTTTATATTGTTTTTTCAGAAGGAATATGACAACGTGTGGTTTACAGGACATCACCTGGTCTCCCTTCTAGATCTAGTACTTTCGCTTCCAGAGGGTGCTGAGACAGATCTTCTGCAGAACTCAGACAGGTGAGTTGTAATCACAGTTAGAGGCCTTTCTCCTTTTTTCATCATTTAAAAAGACTTCAAACTACCTTACTACAATGACAAATGCTGTCATGTAACTAATGAGGTGACAACATTAATGTATTTTAATTTTGCAGAACTAGAAATGGAAATGATAATTTATTTCCATGAACTCTGCATAGAAGAATGTTACAGTGCTATTACAATGATTTTTAACAATAAAAATGGATTTCCTCCTCCATTCCCTGAGGATATGAGACTTCAGATGTGAAATTACACTATTTAGCAAAGTATTATTTCTTGAGGAATATCTAATTTGTCAGCTTTCTGCCGAAGAGGTTGGAGGAATAAAAGCAATGTGGTATGTTGTCTTACACAAGGCAATAACAATTATGAGATGCAACTTACAGCACACAGCATTTCTGAGGCTGGTTCACAGGTTGCTGCTGGGAATCCAGTATCTCATGAATAGGAATACAGATCCACCTGAACAGTAAATAACTGAAATTAAGAAATAAAAAAATAACTGAAATACCTCTGAAAATCTCCCATATAGGACAAATCTTATATGGTGAGCAATGGTTGGGCTTGTAAATCAGTAAGGTGATGGAGTCCAGATGGACACATACCTGACAAAAAGGCAGAAGTATTATCTGTAATTGTAGTTCTTTTCTGGAAAAGGCAATAATAATTTCTGCTAAAAAGTATGGTAAAACAAAAGCAAAAAGCATATTTGAGAAAGCACTCCAAGGTAAAAATCCAATACAGTAGTAAAGAAAACTGTCACACTAGTTTCAAATCAACTTTGGATCACTAGAGGTGCATACTACAAATTCTGTGATAAGATTCTGTCTCTTCAGGGGATTCTTTCTTTCACAATCAGCGGCTTTCTCCAATCTGATGACAGTTGTTACTTGCAGAGTGTGAACTGTTGTATGGACATCACTGCACACTGGTGCTCTAGACTAAGCTGTATCGCTCAACAGACGAGCGTTTTGTACAAATGGATACTTCTAGGATATCTGGTTAATGAACAATTTAAGTTATTATCCCTGTAATATAAATCTGTGCTCTAGATTATAAATGGTATGTTTTCAATTCACAGGATTATGGCATCACTAAATCTGCTGAGATACTTAGTCATTAAGGATTGTGAAAGTGATAATCAAGTAAGTACTAACTGATTTGAAAATGATTGATTAGCTGAGACCTGAGAGCTGGATTCACGTCAATACTGTTATCTTTGATTCAGAAAACATGGTTTTTGCATTTTTCTTTGCAATGGTTAGTTGTCCAGAAGTGATGCTTTTAATTAAAAGCATTAGGAAATATGTGATGTGTTATTTTATTCTGATGAAATTTGTTTGAATTCATATTGTTACTGTAAACAAGCTAATCCTTTTACTCTGCCTCACAAACTGTGTCCGTAACATTAGAACGTGTCACCATAAAATCACATACCCATCAAGCATTCCCATGAGAAAAAATTTGTTACTCTTGCTTGTTTATTCGCTGGTATCGCTCAAAAGCTCCAAGTGGATTTCTGAATAATAAAAATAATAATAATGATGATGATAATAATAATAATAGACACCCTGGCAGTTCAAGAGATCCATTTTATTCATCTCTAGGAAAAACACTTTTTTGTGCAATATGCTAAAAGGTGTTAGGATTTCTGAGAAAATATTAAAAAATCATATTTAATTAATTTTTAGCCGTGCAAAACAGTATTCCATATTTACAGCAACTGTGCAGGTGCATGATAGGTACATATTAAAAGTTTCTTGAGGTATCAGCATCAAAAAAATTCTTGTCTGTAAGATATATCTGCTGAAGTTACAAAAGGAAAGGCCAGACCCATTCAATTTTCTGCTACACTGCTTTACTGAAAACAGCCTAGAACATTTTATGCACAAAGGTAACCTGCCAGCCTAAACTGCCCACCACTGCAGTTTACCCCTGGTTTTATTACAGCTCTGCCCCTTTACCTTCATTTCCTCTGTGTGTGGATGTCTGACTTTAGATATTTCAGACATACTCTGCACTATATATAAAAAACTGAAACTGTCCTTATGTATTTCACCCATGTAGTATTGTGCTACCTTGGTTTAAAGCAGCAGCTTTAGTTCTAATCTCCACCTCTTTCTTCTCCATTTTGTTTGTGTTTTCTGTCTGAAACAGTCAGGGACATTTGTTACACTTCGCACTTCTCTACCAGTACTTGTTCTCAACTGCTGTGTGGCTGATCAGTGCAGCATTTCAGGAGGGATCTGTGGATTCATGTGGATTTGTGTACAGTCAGTCCTGTCCACCTGCAGCAGATGGTTCCTAAGTGCTCTGATTTGGGTTGTGTCACCACAGCATTGAAGAGCTGACGGAATTATTTGTGTTTAGTTGTCTGAGGACCTTCCACTACCTAATAAATACTTATTCTAAGAGTAAATGCAGCTTCTGTTGACTCTTTCAAATCGTGTTCCAACAGTCCTCTGTTGCAATTCAGGAGCTTTTTATCCACTATATTGTGGAGTGAACAAGTATCAGCTGTCTCCTTAGTATTAAATGTTTTGATTTTTGCATTAAAATACTTGTTTAAATTAGTGACAGTTAAAAGAAAAATTGCTTTTCAGTTTTAAAGTGCAATAAAGTCTTTCTTGACTTGAATAAGCAATATCATGGTCATATGAGTATTCTAACCAGTAGATAAATATCCTAAGATGTTGTGTTGCTCTCTCTCAGTTCCTTGATTTTCTTTGTGGTTTGGACTAATGGATTCCAACGTGTCATGTTCTGTTTTCTAACATACAGAAAAAATTCTGATCTCCTTTTAGACTACTTTGAGATCAGGTATACAAGTTTTATAAGTGCCTAATAATGTTATTGGCCTAAACTGAATAATAATAATGGAACTTGCACTGATTTCCAGAACAGTAACAAAAATGGTGCATTTCCAATTTACTATTTATGTTATTAGTTAATCTGGATAGACTATGTCTATTTCTCATGTTTAAGGAGCGATTACTATTTAAGTAATCATTATGGCCCACTCAGTTTCAGGTAAATACATAGCTTTGAGAGGAAGGTGAAAATTCTTCTTTTATTCTTAATGAAAACTTCCACGTCGTAGCACTGAACTGCTCTAACAGTGCTGTCTAGTGCCTGGCAAAAAGAATGTCCCTACAGTTTGAGGAGAAAATAAAATCACAGCTGAGGGTTTCCTGGCAAAAAAGCCCTGTCAGTTCTTCTTGGCTTCCTCCCTGTCTCTCTTCATATAGTGCAAGTGGGGCAGAAAGAAAATGCCTCCCTTCATGTCAGTTCAGATATTTTGACTGCTGCACAACAAGTATTTCATTAATCAAGTTTAAAATTTTTTCCAGAGAGCTCTTTCCTTTTTTTAGCCATATTCTGATGGAAGTAATTACTGTTTTTCTTACTTGACCAGTTAACTTTGTGTCATTTAGTATTAAAATTTGATGGACTTTCCACTGTCATCAGTGGACTCACTGTGTTGAGGATTGAGAATTCTTATTTGTATCGTCCTTACTCTGCCCTTTGTGGATACTGCCTGAAGACAGGAGTTGTGTAAGTGGCTCTGTGTCTAAGGACACAAAGGCTGCTGTGTGTTTGTTTCCTCCACAGCAGTTTTGTAACTACAAGCTTGTAAGGTGCCCAGGCAGAGGAGTTTTCCTCTTGTGCTGTGTGACCCTGACCAGCCTTGGTTTTGAACACCTTTTTTTGTATCTCTTGCTTCATGAATGCCATCCTTGTGAACTCTTCTTCCACCCGTGCCAAACTGGGGAGAGGTCATAGTCACTTTGGCTACTGTGCCCAAGGATGGGTTAGTAGCATATCTAGTAACATTCCTACAATGCTTTTTAAATGCAGTATAGACATTTGGGGAGCATATTTATCAGAACTTTCATTTGGCATTGCGATACAGTGGAACATTCATTTAAATATTTGTTTCATTTTGCTGCCTAATTACCTGAGAGGAACCTACAACTGCTGTTTACTTGCTGTAGAGATTCCAGCCCAAGAAAGTGATTAAGTATCCCCTCCAGCATATCAAGATCCCTTCAGCTTTGCTTACAGAATCAAGCTTTAAATGTGCATTTCCATTGCTGTAGTTACCAGCCTACACAGCAAGTTCCCCCCTCACCCCCCCTTCTTTTTACTGCTTCATTCTCCAATCAACAGATGATGTAATGGAGAGGGAGAGCTTAAATATCCACATGATGCTATTCACTGTTACAAAGATAAGCTGAAAAACTTGTGCTCAAAAACTTAATATTGTAGTGCTTCATTAAAACTGATTTGTAACCTGTGTTCTGTTTGAACAGACTGGTGTATGGACCACACTCACCAAGATTGAGCAGAATTTTTTAAAACCACTGCGTGTAGGACTCAACATGTCAAAAGCACATTATGAAGCAGAAATAAAAAATAAGAAAGAAAACAGAAAAGGTTAGTTGTTGTTTTTCCCTGTAGTTTTGTTCATATCTAGAAACTTTGATAATCCTTTGGAAACAAAGAATTGGTGAGTGCTGTATAGATCATGTTTTATTTAGCTGTTGACGCTATTCCAAACCTCAGATAATAATTCAGGAGTTGCTATATTTGATATTAAAATTTTTTGTAATTGGTCAGAAAAATCTGAACTTGTTTATCTGTCATCACATTTGTAAATCTTACGGAAACCTAACAGAACTGTCACATGAACACCTTCAAAGCTTCTTCTGCATTTATCCTTTTGATTTTAATGTTACTCAGGAGCAACATATAAGAATACATGGCCCTTAGGTTTCGTACCAGGTGTAGGGAGGTTAACAAGAGAAGAAATAAGTCACACAGTGCTCTCTAAAGCCTGAAGCGTTACAATCTGGATTTTTTTTTTTTTTTTTTTTTTTTTTTTTTTTTTTTTTTTTTAATCTGACACACAGAATCAGGTTCTGCTCTGGGTTAAGCAGACACATTGCATGGGGCACAAGAGCTGTAGCTGCTTGAGGGGATCTCTGTATGTCAGATCCTCTGTTCCTTGTGGTCTCCAGTATAATTAAAGATGGCCTAAGGTCTGCTACTAAAAATGTCAGTACAGCTTTTTGCCCCTAGTCTTACCCTATTCTGTAGTAAACTATATAAGTGTGAGGCAAAGAAGGTTGTTTTTTTTTTTTTTTTCTGAAGGCAACCTCTGTATATCTTTCTAAAGGGAATCCTTCAAAATTAATCAGGAAGTTTTTTCTTTAAGTCTCTCTTACATTTCTCTAGCCTTTGACAAAGTATAAAGGGATTTAAGTTCGGAAGAGGACATCTAACGTGACCTTAAATGGTTTACCTTCCTTCCCCAGTGTATAATCTTTGTAAGAATTACATTTTATTTTAAGGATGTGGTCTGAACGTAAGAGGTTTTCCCCTTAGTTTTCAGACCTGTCCTTATAGTTTAGCCTGCTGCAAGTAATGTGTCTGAAACAGAGAAGCCTGCAGCCTTTTCTTAATAAAATAAGTATTTCATGTCTGGATTCATTAAATCAAACTTAAGAACCTCCTACTATCTCCCTGGATGTGGAAATTTTAAAAATTTATTAACAACTGACCAGATAAAATTTATTTTTCCATTCCAAGAGAATTTGAGCTGTATAAAATATTTTTGAGTTGCAGATCTTGCCTGTTTAGTGATGTAGACATTCGTGTTATAGAAAGTGTAGAGAGAGCATCCAGCTCAAACTGCCTTCCTCTGAAGGTTCAGCACTTTCCATCATTTTTGCTCAATCCCTAGGTTTGTGTTCCTAACAATTACTGTCTCAAAATTCTAATAATATTGAATATTCTTTTCATTCTAAGAGTCATGTTGGTTATTTTCTTCTACAGAGGCCCACAGTTCTAACACAGTTTGTTCTGTAACTGTTAGTGGGGAAAAGATGCCTGCCATGACTACTGGAATGCAGCTTCAGGTGAGTTTGCATTTCCTTCAGAGCTATCAGAAGTATTGCCATCTTCTTTTCAATGTGGAGACAAAAGTACATGTACAGTGAGTTAAAAAAAATAATAAAAGTAACACTAATCTTTTTTGTCATTTCAGGTTTTACACTCGGCTCTCTTCACGTTTGATTTAATAGAAAGTGTTCTAGCTCGAGTAGAAGAACTCATTGAAGTGAAAATAAAAGCTGTAATGGATGAAAATAGTTAGGTCAGCTGAAGTATTTGAATTAACATACTCCTTACAAGTTCATTTAGACTGGGAGACTTTAGTTGCAAAGGAGGCTACCAGCCTTTAAAGAGGAGCAATTTAGAATGGCCTCCAGAAGAATTGCAAATGCTGCTCTTGTTGCATGTGATTCACAAATAGGGTCTATTTACTCCTCTTCAGAATTTGATGCTTTCTCTTAAGTTTAGAAGCTAAGAACAAGGTTGGGGTATGCTCTTCTGTTGTGGCAAAGAGGTGTGGCTGGGCATTTATTTTTCTTTAAATTCTCAGAATTTGTTAGCTAGAGTTACTGACTGGTATTGTGAATTACAGACATTTTTATAAAGTGACTGAAGAACCATTAATTAAAAAGCACTGTTTCAGCATAAGTTATTTTTATTAGCATGGTTTTATGTTGACAAACAAGCTTCTATATTTGCAAACAGACTGTAAGGTATTGCTAGATAACAGTATAGAATATACCATCTATAGATGGTAAAACACTGTGGCAAAGGAAACCAGGTTTAAAGGAAAACACATCAACTTTGAGCCAAGTAAGATGTTAAAACTTAGTAACATAACAGATAATGCCTGTGTTTAAAAAGCAGTGTGAGATTTCATGCATATACCTGTGTATGCTTGGGAAACCTGTATTTTGGAATTGCTCTGATCATCTTTATCTTTAATGATAAAGTTTTCCTTAAGACATAGTAAATAGTTTGGGAAAGAAATTATTTATGAAGAGATGAGACTGTAAGTTCAGAATCAAGTTAAAAATAAGGATGACTTTTCTATAGTGCAGGTAAATCCCTTTTCCCCGTGCTTGGAATGCACGTTTGGTATCAAGTATGGTATTTTTCACTGTATAGTTGTTTAATATGAATTTTCATTCCAAATGCATATGTTGTATATAGTCTTTTTAAATGTAATTATATTTTTAAGAACATTCTATATTTTGTTTAAAATGTAGCCATTCTATTTATGAATAAAAACCCCAAACACTAAATTAATTACGGTGCGATTGGTACTCCTGGAGCATCTTCCAAACTGGACTTTTTTCTGTTATTTGGGCTTTTATCATTTCCATTTTGTAACGAGTATCATCTGCTTGTGGCTTGGAAGTTATCTTAGGGAGAAGAAAAGTATTATGAGTAAGGCACAGTAACTCCTAGATAATTGAATATTCTACATCCTATATTTCCAATAGTACAAGTGCAAAATTATTCAGCAGTGAAATCTGAATCATGTTCTGCAGTAGGTGTTCAGGAATGATGTACATAGAAGTGACAGTATTTCAGCAGGAGCTGGGAATGGTAGCTTGGGATTAGTTGGATGGTATTGCTCCCTTGGCGTATCTAGTAACCTGGGGCAAAAAGAAGGTGATTTTTAGGCCTTGTACCAGTTACTGATTCTTTGGCAAATGATGAGCTCATTAAACTGGCTTTGTATCAGTAAGAAAGAATGCAGTGGCAACCAGCAGACGTGATAGGTGCTGTCACCGCTTCTTACAGGGCTCTCCTGTTGAAGGCTGGTGCAAATGTTCTGAACAAGTAGAACAGCAAATTACTGCTGAACCTATAAACTTGAATCTTACAAGCTTTTAGGTAAATGCTGTATTAAGAGACTGGGCATCACTATATTCCATAAAAAGTACAATGTTCAATATTGTCATATGTATTTAACTTTTGCCATGCATTAGGTGAGATGAAGCTTATTAAAATGATGCATACTCTGAATAGGTTAATGCTTATTATTTTGAGATGCTCATTTCAGGAAAGCATAGAAGCTAAATTAGTTTTTGATTCCTTCCTAACAAGTCATTCAACCCACTCTTTCTAGTTTTGGTACATGGGATACTGCTAGTACTGATACAGTTCATAGCTAAATTTAGAGTTTTCATGGAAAAATGGCCTTTAAAGAGTTTCAGTAAATAGATTTAATTAATAATATATTGCTGATACTGGGTATGTTGCAGATCCACAGATACATGACAGTAAGCTGTAGCAGTAATACACTAGTGTGTGCATCACTAAAAATTCACAAGTAACTACTTGTAACTAAGTTTTAAGATAGCATTTTTACTTTACGCTGAATTCATTACATATTTAGATCTTATGCTGGTTCTACACTAGTAAATGAAGACATTCTAACCTAACAGTGGTAAGAGCCAAATGAGCTCTTAAATATCTAATGTGTCTTTGCAGATGCTATTAAGACCTTTTAAGTTACCTTTAACAATAAAGACTCAGCTAAAACATAAGAGGACCAATCCTACCTCAGTGTATTAATGGATTGTGGTCAGTATAACCCAGAGTTCCATTAAGGAAAACCAAATGTTTTATAGTTCTTGGCTTTTCCTGATTAATAACTAATATTTTTAAGTATATGCAACTGAACTTACCTTAGCCATAGTTAGCATTAATTTAACAGTTTCAGCAGGATTATGAACTGGTATTACACGTAAATTACTGCCCAGGAATCTGCACATCAAAATAAATTAAAGTTTAGTTTTAGAATGTGTATTTAATTTGTTATGCTAAAAAACTCAAAATGCATTCCCACATGTTGTAAACAACTTTTTACTCTGCAATTTTACTTACATAGAGACTGTTTTTATCCTTAGAAGTGAGTGGAGAATTCATGCTGTTTGTGTAGCCATCTGTCCCATTTCTGTACCACATATTTAGGTGGGATTTGGAAAGGCTCATTTCTTTATCTAGGGCTCTTGGACAATCAATCAGCACTTCTTAAGCATGTTTACACTCAGAGAGAACTAAACCCTCCTCTGTGATATTGCTGAAGACTATTCTCAGTGGCAATAAAAAATATCTGGGTTATTTTTATGGCTTTGGAAAAACACAGGAAAGTAAGACACTGTGCTAAAAATACTTCAGGATTTGAGCTAAATCTTTGTAGTGTACTATAAATAAAACAACCTGTATTCCAGACGGGGTTCAGATAAGGGGATAATTTACTTTCATGTAAAGGCTTTTTCACTCAAATACTTTGACCTAAAATTCACTCTCTTTCTATAAATAGTGTTATTCATATGCATTTGTTCTTGAGAATGGATTCTGAAGATTTTAAATAGTAGCATCAGTTGTCATTCAGTGGAGAGATCAAAGCTTAGCAAGCACAGAGCCTCTCCTTCAGACTGGTACTTGAAGTGTGTTGTAACAGTGACAAAACGTGAGTGCTGCTGCTGTTTTCTGTTGTAGAGCTAAAACAGGAGAGGGACTTAACAACAGAGAAAGAAGAATTTTAAATAAGCAAAAATGTAATCCAAGTGAATTGCCCAGCTGCTCAGTTGCATACTCCCCTGTGACCTCCCCTTGTGCCTACCACCTGCTCTTCCCTGCAATCTGGCTGATGACTTGGACTCACGATAAGACCCCATGCTGGTTCGGTATCTCATCTGAACTTGTCTGCCCTTGCTTCTAATTAGCAAAACTGTTACAGGCACTGTCCTAGCCTAAGAGTAGGCACTCAATCCCCTCTTGAGTTTCGCTAAGATCTGATGCAGGAACTGTGGTTAGATTTGCATTCAGGGATTAGACAAATAAATTGCTGCAATTTTATTAATACTAGAATGGGCTAACTAAAGCATGAAATGAACAAAGTGCAACAAAGAAACAGTTAGGCCTATTTACCGAGATCCATGAAAATCTGTTTTTCTGAACAGTTCTGCTTCCAGTTACAGCAGAATAGTGGCCATTTGAACACACGTCTGGTCTTTCCTCCAGGGTGTTAGAAACCTGTCACACACTTATTAGTGACAGGTTATTAACACTTATTAGTGGTTATTAGTGGAATGCTCATTTAAGCTACTGCTTTTCTCCCACTTCATCCACACTATACACAACCTTACAGAAAGTGCCCATGTTGTTGAAGAATCCTATAATTTTCTTTTTAATAATAAAAAACAATCCTTTCCCAGTTGCAGCAAAACCATAGACAAGCAGAAAGAAACAGTAATAGAAGACAACCTGAAAGTACTGAGGTGTTCTGTTTTTTAACAAATCCAACAGGTGACTCGTAGCTTGAAAGAATATGGCACAAGTTTCAACCCCACCAATGCAGAAGCTCAATCAGTGCTTTACATACAACAGAAGACTTCCAAGGTACCAGGTAGTAAAAAAGCAAATGCATTTAAAATATAATTGTGCCTTGTCAACATGAATTTGATATTGCTTGCAATGATAAAACTGTTTTTCTTTTAATAAAATTACTGACTTGCCAAATGGAATACAGTTCCAAAACATCGCGTTTTAGTGATCAACAGATGCACAAAATCTGTTGTACATTACCACGATCTAGATTGAGAAATTAGCCTTGCCATCAGCTGAGTAACATGTTCTTGCTGAATAGTGGCAGAACTTTTAAGACCTCTCATGAAAATTTATGGCATTTTCACAAACGGGTAATAGATTTCTTACATTTCATCCCATACACTCTGCTATTCATCAGCCTTTGGCAGTATGCCTGGGATTTAATGAAACTGGTGTTAGTTTCAAGGAGGTAAAGATCAAAGACTTCATTAAAATAGTCACTTCTTGAGGCCAGGAGTGACAATCAGCTGCAGTTAGGGCTACTGTACCTACCAGAAAATAGTTTTGACCGCAAGCATGGAGCACAATCTGATCGCTGTTGTCAGCAGGTATGTACAGAAACATGCAAGTTTTCAGGCTTCATTAGAAATCATAGACAAAAGTTTTAAACAAACCAGTTTTAATGTTATTTTATACCAAAAGTATAAAAACACTATTTCAATTGTTCTAGCTTTGTATAATAAGACACTGAAATCCAAAAAGATTACATCAGTATTCAGGGAGAACTTCCTGTGCATCAGTTTCTGCCCATTGCCACTTGCCCCGTTAATTCCTAAAATAATATTCCCAAATCTAAGACTGCTGCTTCATTTCTTCCTAGCAATAAAAAGTTTGGTTTGATGTGGAAATCCTACCTTTTCTGAATCCTGAACATGACACTCCATTCTTCTGGTCCATGAAGAGCAGCTGACAAAACCAGAAAACTGTTGCGATGAATGCCTATGAACCTCTGAATTCTTTCAGAAAACTGTTCTTCTCCTGTCCTAAGCAAATCTTGAGTGTCTGACAGTATAAATGCAACACCTATTGAGGAAAATCATGTAAATGTACCTAATGTGGCAATAATGGGATGAAGTTCTTAGCACAAACCCGGAAGCAGAATTCTTAATTTAACCATTAGTTTAAAAGGCAATGGAACAAAACACATGAATGAATTTACACATCTTTGACCGTGGAATGCAGTCATGAGGTTTGGCCACTGATGACTAGTAATTTTAAGATAAAACTAAAAATAACTCAGAGGTTATTTTTCTACCATAACATTAAAAAAACATTTATTCAATCCACTCAAAGTAGACATATCTGAATGCCTTTGAAAGCATATGCTGCAAGAACAAGCAACTGCTATAAAGGAATGAATTTAGGGCAAATGCAAAGGCTGACTGAAGAGCTCAGCAAGTCGTGTTTTTAAATTAAACAGTTTTAAAATCTTAAAAGTTAGCTAAACTGTCTACCCTGAAAAATGTAATTATAGCCCTTTCAACTAAGTTATTCTGAAAGGGAAAGCTAAGGAGGCTGAAGACTAGGAGGCTTAACAATTGAGCATACAGAAGACTTGGCTTTTGTATGTGTGCTAGTCCTTACAGTTCAGGAAAACTGCAGATAAAGGATCTCATGTACGTGTCTAAACCATCTTCTGCTCTAAAAAGGAAAGTAGATATTTCATATTTACAGTTTAAGTGATTTCCTAATCAAAGCCACTCAAATAATCCTTTCCCTGCCTCCTCTGCTTCCACCAGGTCTTCAAATTCAACTTGGAAGTTGACAGCCAAAGGTCTCGGTTCACTCTTAACATTTATAGCCGTGCATACTCAAGATCTTGATGGCAGCTTACATGTTAGTGGCATTCAGCATGTTGGCTCAGTTATAATAAGATTTTACTGAACAGTTCACCAAATCTCATGTAGCTGTTCTACAAGATATCCCCAGAAAATTAAAAAATAATGACAGTGTTTTGTTCCCAAAGTTCTCTGTTTCATCTGATTTGCATTCAATCATAGAACAGCTCCTTTCACTGCTGCACAACATTCCAACAAGACAGATTTTATTCAGTTTAGCACAGCCCACAACAGCACCTGATCTTGTACCTCACTGGAGTTTATGATTTAAAAGGACAAACTTTAAAGTACTGCACCAGAAAGAGGAAAAATCACAGATCCAGTTTCCACTGATTCTGAATATCGAACTCGGTGTTGTTGCCTCTGTAGAATTGTAGAAATTTCATGATCCTAAATAAATTTTAAAAGGTTATTTTAAAAATATGTTTTCAGCTCACAAGTTAAAAATATCCTTAAAGCATCATCTGAACCATTATAGACAGACCTTTAGCATCGTTGCGGTAGGATTGCGAATGGAATAAAAACTAAGTACTAAAGATGTTGAACATTTTCAATTAATGAATTTTTAAAGTATTGGATTGGAAGTTACACTGAAAAACAACTCTGTACATGCACATTCAGTTTGTCTCAGGAAGCTCCTGCATAATGCATAGAGAAGCTCAAATATTTTACAGTCTGTTTTTGTAAGAAGTGCTAAAGGAGTATTTGCAGAAGTGAGGAACACACAGTAGTGTGTTTCTATGACTCCAGTTAATTAAACTGCATTATTTTCACAGATGTCAGCATCTCAGTTGGAAAATAGTTCAGAAATTATGTATGGGACATGATTTTCTTTAAAGCTTTTTGACAGAATGCAATCCACTGAGGAAAACTAATAATCATAATCATCTACAGAATGGAAAGGGTGTGGATGTATTTTTCAGCTTGCAAAAAGCATTTCTGCAGTATGTTCTACAAAAGCTGCTTGAACTAACATATTTTAAAGGTTAAATCACAGAATCCTTTTTAGCTAATAACATGTTCTTTAACCTACCCATTTAAAATATAGCCAACCTGCCTATAGAGGAAAGTGTCATGATTTAGTGGAAGAGTACAAAATAAAATCTGTATAGCAAGTGAACCCTGAAGGAGACAGTAACCAGAAATGTCATGCTTTCAACTGGTCTGGAAAGGGAACACTCAGTGGCAACTGCTTATAACTACAATTTTGGAGAAAATGCACAAATATAAAGAACAGCTGTAAGAAAATGATAGCTGTACTGGAAAAAGAGAAAGCTTATAACCAAAACTGATACAGAAAGCCATCTTAGATTTGTATTCAGCTCTGTGTATGGGAAGCCCTTACTAACAGCAATAGTTCTGAATAGAGCTGAAGAGCTTATTAATAGCAATGGGTTATGCTGGTATAGCTGATGAAATCACTGCCACCCAATACCTCTCACCATATTATGGATTAAGTTGCTCTTGAAGCAGTTCCCAAACAGGCACAGTTTACAGGCTATAAATTCCAAGACACAGGGGCAAATAAGAATAGGCTTTAAACTGAGGTGATTCAGGAATTATTTCAACATGGTTCACCCATTTACCCAGCAGAGATGGGGTGATAACCTTGTCAGCCAAGCTAGCATGAGATATTTTTGCCTGTGAATCAAAGCCCTCTTGCCTCTAAATTCTCATCAGCTGGCATGAAATTGGCCTCAGCTGCAGAAACTAATTACCAGCTCATTGACATACCCTTTCACTTTACTTGGGAACACAGTCAAGGCTTCTGATGTTGACAGATATAAATATATATCAATTTCTGCAAGATTCACTATTTTAAACTGAATTATGTGCTTACTGAGTAATCGTCTGCCCCAGTGTTGATACTGTGTAGTAGAAAATAAAGTGTTTAGGGAGAAATTCAGAAAACTGAAAAACATTTCTGATGAAATTATTTATAGCGCTAACTGGAAGCGGCATCAGTGCGGTACAAAAATGATGAGCCAGGAGAACAATCCTAAAGCAGTTTAACTCAGAATAGCAGGTGGCAAGAATACTAAATAGCTACGGAAGTAGCTAGGAGAAAATATAGACACACAAAAAGAACCAGTACTCCAGTAGAAGCAGCTTCAGACTGTTTCATCCTCTGAAAACTCTATTAATTGACATTGAATAAAATGTTTCCACATATAGAATATAGGACATGATTTTTCAGCATTTCTTAGTGAGTCAGATGCTGGTCTTGACACGTGGTACTGTACCTGCAGAGCTGTGCTCATAATGACTGTTGTTACCCATCTCGTCTGCTCCTGCCCACAACTTTCTGTCATTTTTTTCAATGGTCTAATGGCTCTGCAGTGAGATCCCAGGTGACACCTTCTGAAAAGCTAGGGAAAAGAGAGACAACAATTTCCTGCCAATTAACGAGGTGTTTAAAGCACATGAACACATCAAAGAGCTGATTAAAAATCAGGGCATTACTCAGTTCCCCAGAATGTAACAGGTGCCTACTGCCAGTGAACTAATTTAAGATGGCAATTAAATACCTAAGTGGCTTTAAAGAATCTGCATCTGAGCAGGCTTCCTCTATCAGGCATAACACTGTTCTGAAAATATTCCTGGCTATGCATCTTGGCAGGCGTTTCTGTGTCCGCCAGGCTCGAGTGGAGCAGTTGGGGACACGGGAGCTCCCGGCAGGAGCGGGAAGCAGCCCTCGGGCTGGGTCTGGCCGGTTCCAGGGATACCTTTGTGCTGTTGGTTGTAAACTTCAGCCGGGCCTCTCCCCGATCTCAAAACCTGTTCCGGCGCTGATCTGGAGCCGCGGGTGGCGCGGCCGGCACAGCGAGGGCCGGCGGGGGAAGGGGCCGGTGTCTCGCGCTGCCGCCTCAGCCCTCAGGAGCAGCCGCGGCCCTGGAGCCAGCGCTGCCCCCGCGCCGGGGATGGCGGGCACGGCTCCGGCCACCGCGACAGGGCACGGAACTTACACACGGACGAGGAATCGCGCCGGGGCTGAGGTGAGGGGGCAGTGGGGCTGCCTTTCCTCCGCCGCTGCTCCTTGGCGGTGTACCGGGACTGGCTCCTGCTGACCATCCTGGAACTGCCCACATAAAAACGTCCAGAACCCGGTGTTGGCCTGAGCGCCTGCTGCTGTGTAAGGGCAGATTGTGACATTTTCAGCACCACTTTCAGTGAAAAAGAAATACCGAGTGTGTTAGAGCTTCTTTTTTCATCATATAAAAGGAAACAGTACTTCACATAGCAGAGTTGGAGTGCAATCATAAAAAGCACTGGAAAAGCATTGATTTCCAGCTCTGCTCTTCACCCAGGCATGAGTCTAGCTTCAAATACTATACTGAAACCGCCATTTTACTGAAAATCTGAGATTTTAGTAAAAGCTTTCCCCTTTAAACCACTTTAGAGCGTTTTAAAATAGAAGTGACCTCATCTATTAAAAATTATACATTTAAATAGCAAATTGTCTGCCTTGCATAAAAATAATTAGACAGTGATTTAAAAATCACTCTTCTCCTTTTTGTTCTAGACAAGAAGTGGATTCACACCCGATTTCCCTCTCCTGTTGGTGCAACGCATGGAAGTTATGGTTACCCTGCGCTGCAAGGATACGGGAATGTCATGCTACTTTTCCTAGTAAGTCAAGTCTTTCTAATACTGAATTTTTAAATTCCTGTGGAGCATAAATGTGACAGTCAGCAAATAAAAGGAAAATAACAGATGTATTTGGTATCCCAACTGCTGTGTTCTGGAGAGCTGTGACAGGACCAACCAACTGTGAAACCATGTCCTGTGACAGAGTGGCACCATGTGCTCTGACTGCATACAGAAATCAGGGAGCTGAGAACATCAGGAATTATTTTAAAGTACAATTATAAAGTAATAAGGCAGTTTTATAATGAGGGTTGATGATCCTGCTGACATATGTCAATGTGAATTTTGAATTCATGCATACTACGAATGAACTTGTGTTTCAGTACTAGAGAAAGCCTAGGGGTAAAGAGCAGTAACTTTTATTTAGTGGTTATACTTGATTTGTGACACTACAGTATATCTGAATTAATATTTTAGATTATGTTTAATGTGTACATGCATTAACTGAATTACAACCATTCAAATGGAGAAAAAATAGTAGGGAATAGAATGGAATAAAAAATTATTTCCAGTGTAAATATCTGTAACAGGTGAGTAGTCTTAAGTTTCTTCAGTGTAATGCTGTTAGAAATGGACAGTACATACAAGGGTACATTATTACATCAAAAAAGATTGTCATTACAAAGAAATATAAACACTGTATTTAGGCTCCTGGTATACCAGCAGATGCCTTTTTCCCCTATAGCCACTTATTGTGCATGAAGTTGATATATATATTCATATGAAAATACCACTTGAGAGGCATCAAAGTAGATAAGTGTGGGACAATGAAGGAAAACCCCAACCTTAACTCAAAATGATTCCTGTCAGTATTTTGACTCCAGTTGTTACATATATGTGTAAATTGTGTATCTTAATTACAGTTGGCAAAAATTTATACCAGAAACTTAATTTCTCCTTGTCACTTACATTTGACAATAGTTCACATTTGAAATAAAGACTCTTTCTGAGACGGAAAATTCTGAGCACACCCCCCCCACGTGTCCCATGTAAGAGCCACCCTGACATAGGGCTTGTCTGGTTCAAGTCTTACACAACTGGTCATGCTGAGCCCCTGGACTAGGAACTACTCAAGGGACAATTCTGGTAGAAGATTGTTCTGCAATACCATTCAAGTCTGAATCTCACTACACGACTTGCCTTTCTCTTTTTTTCAGCCTAATGTCACAAGATAAATAAAGAGAGCTTGGACTCAAAGAAAGTAGTTTTTTTCTGGTTTGTGTATTCTTCAGAGCATTCTCCACAGAAGTTTTCCTTCCCAAAAGTGACTTTTGGGGGATCCTGTGCTATCTGATGAGCTAAATTTATTTTACTACTTATGGTTATCTCTGTTGTGACATTTTGGTAGTCTTAGCTTTAAACCTCAGCAGCACTCCTTTCCACATACCCATATGGTACATTTCACGTACGGGTGATGGTGCAGGAGAGAGAAAGAATAGGGCTGAGTCTGGCAGCATATCAAATAATTCCTGGAAGCAGAGCAGAGAACCAAACCCATTTAGGCAGGAATAGAAAGATCTTGGGATTACAACTCCCCTATGATGAAGATAATGGTGTAAGCATTTGGATGAATAACTAATTTATGACAAGGTAAAATCTATCATCTAATTAGTGTTTCTCTGTGCTGTCTGGAACCATATCTCGTGTGTTCCACATCAGCACTGTTTTTTGATTTTGTGGGGCAGTTACACAGGTATCTTCCTCTCTAAGCATATGAGAACTGATTGTTGATCACCCATTCTGTTCTCCGATTACACAGTTGAAGAAAAATTAATTTTTTCCTTTTAGAGGACAAAGAGGAAGACTGAAGGTTAACTAAACACATAGAAAAGTAACGCTTTTTTTGGGCAATTTTCAGAGCACAAATAAAAATTTATGTCAGCAGTCCACAAGTTGAATGAAGTACAATGAGTCAGCATTTAACTTACACATAGGTTTATTATTTTCTGTCATACAGAAATCAACTAAGAACCTTCAGTATGTAGCATGGGGAAGAAAGGTTTTGGGACTATGGAACCATACAGTTATTCTGGAAACAGAAGACCATGTTGACAAGGAGTCATTTGGAAATATGATTACTTAGGCCCCAACTAATTATCTAAATCTGAAAAGCAAGCAGTTGAAAAACATGCAAGCATTCAGTTTGAGAGCTTAAAACCCTCCCCCTCCCTCCACAAGACCAAGTGGTCAAAATATTCTTGGACCATAAAGCCATGGACTATAGGTAGAGACTCCAACTTTTCTCCAGATGCATCCCATTATACATATATTGGATTAATCTTGATTACTAAAACATAATAATCCAGAAAATAGAGATTGAAGTTTTTTTCTCTACAGATACAGGAGGACATTTTGTTACAAGTAGGAAGTTTGACCTTAAGGTGGGTCTCATGTTTGTGGACATTAAAATTACCTCAGTCTATGAAGGTCACAAAAAGTTTTCATACCACTTACACTAGATATGGTTGGTCCTATTTATACTGATCTTAAGCACACTGATGTAACTCTACTGAGAGGCAGGATGCCATTCCACACTCAAAAGTGTTATTAAAAAACAAAGTGAAGAACTAAAATGATTTCATTAAGCACAACTGTATAAGAAAACCACGAAAATTCCTAAATAAGGATTGAATATAGGAGGATGCAGTAAATTTAAGTTAGTTGGTGAGATCAGTCTCAAAAGAGGGTTATAGAGCTAAGTTACATGAGCCAAAGTTTTTACTCAGGTAAGTAGTCTTTCTGTTCAGACACTTAAATACACTGATTTTTGTAGATGTGGATCTGATACCACTCACACTGACTGCAGCGGGAGCTGAGAACAAGTAGCCGCTTTCACTGGCGTGCAAAAGTATAAAATCTGATGGACTACCTGGGTCATTGGGCTGAGTGCCAAATTTGGGCACGTGAGCCTCTGTTCAGGTTAACCAGAATATGCACTCTAATGCAGTTAAGAGTCATCATCCTACTCTGACCATCAATGTCCTTGTTAAATACATCTGGTTACTGAGTTATTGTCAGCCCCTCCAAAGACTGAGGTTGGAGTTACTGAAGACATGATCAGTATTCATATTTTACAGTGCAACAGCAAAAGAAATTTTGTTGCATGTAATGTGAAAAGTTATGATTTCTTAGGACTTTGATTTCTCTAACTGAATAGTCTTCTGAGCAGGCAACTTCAGCAATAAATCAAGGAGAATAGGGAAGCAACTTAACGGAATTCCGTTATTAATTATTTCATACTTGAACTGCATCCAGATGGCTCATCAGGATTAGAAGCTCATTAAACTGAGTACCGTATAAAAGCCCAAGCATGCCCAGTGCCTGCCCCCAGTGCCTGGCCTCAGTGCCAGCTCCATTACCCTTTCTGAAAAACCAATGTTAAATGGAAAGCCAATCCGCAAATGTGCACGTGGATTCGCTCCTGTGTTTGCAGAATTGGGACCTAATGGACTGTACAGTACAGACTGCAAAGCATAAAAGGAAGGTCAAAGGCAATAAAATAAACAGGTGTGCATGCATGCACTGTATAGCTTCTTCAGTTATTGTATTAGTTGACAAACATCAAAAAATCAAAGAAATTATCAAAATCGGTATTTTTCCCCAGTCGATATCCTGTTACAGGTTTAGTTTCCTTAAACACAAATAACAGTTGTCAGTAGGAAGAAGCTTGGTTTTAAATTAGCTAAAGAAGGGATCTGAGCTGTAATTTTTCCAAAATTGAACACATAAAATCTTATTTTTCAAAAACTATCATATATAGCGTGTGTTCAAGAGAGAGATACGAAAATCAGTATGGGTTTTCTGCAAGAGATGAAAGCTTCTAATTATACTGGATTTCATATCTAAAAGCTCATTTCCAGGGAATCATCTGTTGTAACAAAGCTTCAATAATTCTCATTCTGTCTTTTGTCCTCAGTTCCTGTGTAGTCCTGGCATGAAAGTCATCTATCAATGTACAAATGTTAAATCACTCCAGTCATGAAATATTAACAGAATGCATACAGTTATGACTAATAAATTGAAGTCTTTCTAGCTGTAATTTGTCACACCTACAACTGTACAATGTTATTAGTAGAGTAAAACTAGAAAACTATGAAATAGATCTACTGGAAAAATAGTATTTCTAGTACATGCACTAATATAGGCAAGGCTTGAACCTGCTTCAGCTGAGGTCAACAGGCTTTGACATTAATGAAAGCAAAATAACGAATCCTTAAATGTCTTGGTTCTGAGCAACGATGTACAACGTAAGAGCAGTTCTTAATTCGTTCATGCAAAGGTTTAGATTTTCTGGAGCAAAGTAGAATGAACATGCTACTAATTATTTTTCAGATGGCATTAATATATACTGAAAGTTTTAAAACAGTCTCGTATAATCTGTACCTAGAACAGCTGTGTGGGGGTTTTGTTTGTTTGTTTGTTTTTACATATTCCCTGAAAGAAACTGGTGAGACAGTGCTAGAGAACACATCCTATGGACAGTCTTTGTGAGAAACATGTGAAGTTCTCTTGCCCTAATTCTTCCAAAATAATAATATTAATAATAATAATATTAATAATAATAATAATAACTGCAAACTCAAAAATTCAGTATAATTTTGAAATAATTTAAAACCTTAAAAATTGTGGGATAAGAGTATTAAACATGTACAGTTCACTTACCTATCATCCAGAATTTAAAAATATCACAAGCAAGCCATATTTCTTGTACTTAATTACTAATATTTTCCAACAATAGTCAAAGTAGTTTCATTATTATTGGAATATTTTAATCTCCAATAGCTGTTTCCCGTGAGCACTGTTTGTGCCTGCTGACTTTATTATGGTTATGTATTCTGTGGACCTTGATGAGGCCCTGGCAACCCGATCTAACTTTGAAGTTACCCCTGCTTTTAGCAGCAGGTCAGACTAGAGACCTTTGGAGGTGTGTTCAAGCCTGCATTTCCCCATAGGACTATACCTTTCTGTATATGATTCTAGAAGAGAATTTCTAAGGGAAAAAATGATGAATATATGGAGTGTCCTTTCCACTACCTACACCACAACAGCCAGTGTCTGGGTTTTATGCACTTATCTGATCGCTTGTAACAGCCCAGACTGCCTGCTGATCTCATTTCATGCTTACTTATCTCTCCTGATCTTCACTGTATGTCTGTCTCCACACTGCTTTTGCTATGCTATATAAACATGGTATAATCCATGCATTGAAAAAGCAACCTAAAATATATCATTAACTGATCTGCTTTTCTAACTGTTGTCTCTCTCTTAATGGTTAGGCTCAGTTTCCTTCCTGCAATTCTGTCATGCTCTACCAACCTGCCATCTGCCTGCCTTTTACTCTGCAAGCCAATATCTCATTTTGACCACAGTCCTTAAGAACACTTTCTTAACCAACCTCAGAACTGGTATTTTATATATCTGCCTCGTGGGCCTTCTCTAGTGAAGCTAGTGGTGCAGTTTTCCTTAAATCCTGTCATCCTCATTTGACTCCTGTTTCCATCTTTATTTCCTTCGCTTACCTAATGGTTCTTTTTTTTTTGAGCAGATTATTTGGAAGAACCTCCACTTTCCTTAGTTCCTTGTAGGTTTCCAAGTGTTGGGCCTCCATTTGCTTCCATTTTCCCTCTGCAATATCTCTTTTAGTGATTTATTCCACAAATACAATTTTAGCTGTATGTAAAAACCCTGCAGAGCTGCTTCTCCAGTCCAGATTAGACTCTAATTTTCCAAGTAAAAAAAAAAAAAGTAATTATGACTACAGGACCACTTTTTTGAGGTATAGTCTTTTTTAAACTTAATACCTTCACACATGAAAAACATCCTTCCTTATTTTTCACTTTCACAGCATCATTCAAGATAGGCAAAATCAGGGTCATTATCTTAAACTCTGATTTCTGAGTTCTCTAAATTTCACTGACAGTTTAGTAAATCAGGTGTTACTACCTGCAGGATACAGACAGCCTTACCATTCATGTAAATCTCAGATAAGCTGTCAGCATCACCTGTTAACAGCAACATTGTCTTCTCAGGCTTTGATAAAGCAATTTCACTGTTCTTATTCAAAGTACTACTGCAAAGTTAAATCCTTAAACAATATTTTGACTATGCCATCTCTTTAGCATCTTCACTGACACCCTTTCACTGTTTCATCAGATGCACCTACCTTGTCCTTACTTTAGAGGTCCTCCAGGACCTCTTAGCCACTATTCACTTGGAGCCTGGGACACTTGATTTGGTTGTTTCTCTGTGAAGTTTTCACCTTTTCCCTTCTGTCATGCTTTGGAGAAGAGGCCAACACAGTGAAAAAATCACTGCCAGGAGGCACGAGCAGGACTCCAATGACCTCAGGTGACCGATGCTATTAAACAGATAGCCACCTACACCTGGCTTAAAGCTTGAACATCCTCCTGAACGAGGTCAGGGTCAAGCAGGAAGGTAGTTTAGCTAGCACACAAGGCTGGGCAGGAATATAGGTTTTTCCAGCTCCCTCATTATCCAGCCTCCAAATCTCACCCTCCAACTTCCCCTTCTCATAATGCACACAGGAAAAACCCAACTGTTTAAACTGATGATGTGCTGAGACCATCGCTAATCAGCTAGATAAATATTGACACGCTCATTTTACTTTTCCATCCATGTGCATTTTTTTTTGTCTTTTGTCTTAACTTGGATTATAAGCACCCTGTGGGAAGTCTTTGTTTTCCTTCTGGGTTTGTACAATGTCTAGCCAGTGGGACGTTGGTCTGATTAAGCTTCACAGGCACTCTGGTAACGCAAATTAAAAACAATACCACTTTCTATTCCTGCTACTTCTACAGACACTATTCGGCTGTGGGAAGCTGAATTCTATGGCTGCGTATGTAACAACTGAACAATACCATATCCTAATCAGTGGTCTGCTGCAAAACTATTAAAGGAATTGCAGCAACATCATTGTGGACTTGAAGAGAGAAGCTAATTTAATTTTGATACAGCCAGAGAAGTAAATGCAAAGAAAAAAAAAATAAAGAAACGTCTGTATGTGTTGTAATTCATAGAACAAACAAGAAACTTCGTGTGTCACTTCAGTGCTGCTCTATCAACTCAGTAGGAGTTAAAAATATGGGCCAAAGCAAAAAATAGACAAAAGGAACCCTTCTTTCACTTTCTGTCACTTCTCCTTTCCATCACTTCATCTTCTTTAATGTGTGAATGCCCACTATCAGAATATCATCAGGAATTGAAAGTTGATCAAAGCTTTTTGGTGAACACGTTTTACTTAAGTGTTTTACACAGAAATTGCAAAAACACTGTTCTTCAGCCTTCTGTAAGAGCTTCTCTCGAGTTTCATCTCTTACTTCGGCTAATAATATAGTTCTTTCTTTTATTCAAAAGATTATCCCCTACTGATAAACCTTGTAAACTCTGAAAGTGAAAAACGGGTTTTCTTGATGATTTGCACTTCTAAAGGTTCTCCTAAATTCCTCAATATGACAACTGGGTTAAATACAGTGTATTACATTTATAATATTTTGAATTATAATATCTCAGACTATTGATGCTGCTGCTAAAAGGTTAGAAAGATTTTTATTATGAGACTGAACATCTTCCTTCCCTAAGTTTAGAGTCCTCAATTGACATAGAGAAAGGAAGGCTTTCCTTTTTTTCCCCCCTACCTTGATATTAAGGAATGAGGTAAAATTCTTCCTCTGCTTGTTCTGAGGAGGATAAAACATTAGTTTTACTTTTGTACCAGAAGTTCAACAAAGTGGCTTTCTAGATAAACTATTTTGCCTCAAAGGTCTTTATTATGTCAAATCCAAAGGTAAGACAAGTCATAACTTCTTCAGTCATACACTAGGGCAACTTCATATTTCCACTTAACTGAGAGTTTGTCTATGAACAGAAAGAAATGAAGTTTGTCAAAAAAATTAAGGTGCACTGCTGGAATCGTGCAAAAGCTTGCAAACCCGACCATGTTATCGATGGTTACAACCAGCTTAAGCTGTGTACTTATCTTAAACAGTTTCCACAAAAGAAGGATGTTAGTAGCCATTTACTGCCAGATGGCACCTATTTCAGAAGGCACTTCTGTTAATGACTAAGAGGAGGTAGAACACTTCCTGTTTAGACTTTGGGCTGTGTGAAAGACAAGCCCTACTGTTTCCATAATGCAGATATTTTAGAAAGCCCAGCCTTTGCAGGGGAAAAAACCTGTACCTTTCAGGAGGAGTTTTGACGTGGTAAGAATTACAGTTTCTCACTCCTTCCTCCTTGTCAAATCATAAAAGACAATAATCAGTCCTATGCCCACCCAAATAGCCAAAAGCAGCAGAATGAGCTATGAATCCTATTTCACTCTGAGTCAGAAGAAAGGTTATGTTGACATTTAGTCTCAATATGCAAAAGCTACACTAGAGATATTAATGACGATGCAAGAACCCTATTACTGCTCCAAAAATGTAGCATCTGTAAAAACAAACAAAACCTAATTCCTGAGAATCTTGCTATGCCCCAGCATCAGGAGGGTGCAAGTATTATGAATTGAAGCCAGAAGGTATTTCTAGTCAGTCAGACTTCTGATGTAACACTGACCACGACTTCAGCATCAGGTATATTTGTGGAAACATCAGACATGCTGTTTCTTAGAACAGGAGCAGCATTCTACCAACTCCTTTGAATTCATGCACTATGCCATTTAAAACATTTACTTAAACATGCATGTCCAAAAAAAGAACAGTGCTCTTCCTATAGCACAGACCCTCTGAAGTCTTATATTTAAAGGAAAGACAATTTAAAAAATTTATTGGAAACTTCTAAACAAACCAAAATACAAAAATTTAATCTGGAAGAAATAGATGAAACAAGCTGCTCACATTAATAAGGCCCAAGGCATATTCAGATTGAAACATTTTCTTTGAACATTAGACTGTGTTTCCATCATTTAAAGCAGTGTTGGCACACATCACCTTTTGACACAACCATTCTGAGTCTTTATTGTTGTAAAATGAAGTGACCAAATAGAGAGGGGGAAGAAAAGGAGGAGAATAGCTCTACTAATTGTGCATTCATCTTTAAATATTTGCTGAATGAGAACATTAAATGTCAAAAAAGAAGATAAAAGGGAAGGTGGAAACCAAGATTTTTCTTTCATGTCATCTAGTTTTTCTAACAATTCTAGAAAATACATGCTCAAAGTTCATTTTTAGAAAAGACATACATTTAAGTCTTGAAAAATTACCGTACCTGTAATTAAATCTAGATTATAAATTAACATATTTACCTCATTATATAAGAAAGATTGCCTCAGTATCAAGAATTGCTTGTTCTCGACTGATGCAGTATTTCACTATTGTATGGAAAGAACTCATCAAAAATAGATTTGGGGAATGGGTTGGAGTTCAGTTGCAAACAGTTGGTCACCTTAATGATGGGTTTCCAGTTCAAGAATTGTCCATTCCCCTTGAGGGGATGAACAGTCTTCGGATGAAAAGCTTGCCACCGTAATGCTTGCTGAAGAATCGTCCAGTGGAGACATGAGCTCCGTCCACCTACTGAATGTGTCAACTTGTGATGTACCCTGAGGATTTGAACCATCTCGTGCCAGAAACAGTGTCTGATTGATAAGACATTGTGCTAAGTTAAGGTCTTCAGGAACAGAGTTTTTGAAATCTATATTTGAGTCCTGCTCAGATAACAATTGCCTGAGAAGAGTCCAGTCCTGTTCTGCAAACTGCTGATCTTCAAAATCCACATCTAGAACTGCTGTTTCTGAATCCATCCTCTGCTCAATTGCTTCTCCAACATCCATCTCATATATTGGAGAGAGGGTTTTTGGAGGCCGATGTTCATACATGCAGGTTTGTGCCATTGTGTCATAATCATCTATGTCTCCTGAAATAATTCACAATACTGTACAATGTAAAAATTGTAGATGATCCTCCCCTCAGGGCTGTGTAGAGCAAAATTTAATTCATTCAGGAAGGACAATCCAATCAGGTTAAAAAAAGGGGGGATGGAGGGTTATACAAAATTGACAAAATTTGAGGCATTTATTTCCTATATAAAAAACAAAGTATGATTTATAAATTAAGTTAAAGTAGCAATCACCACTGGTAATTAACAATAACCTCCATAATTAGGTTTCTGATACAGAAAATGACAATGTAAATATACACTTAATGCACATGAAATTTCTCATTTACTACATAAATTAAATTTAGACCAGGAGGTGCATAGAGGGAATTAATAGAGAATGATTACTGAATGGTGACTTGAGCTATGTCAGCTTAGGAGAGAATTAAAACCAAAATTGTTTATCCACAGGCTTATTTCTACACTGCACATGCAAGGGCAGCTGCAGGCAAGGGCAAGCAAACTTAAAAAAAAAATAGTACAACTTGTAATGTCTTCTTGTTCTGTGGTCTGGCTGAACATAGATCATCATCAGTGTTTCATTGCTCTTGAATACACAATAGTTGTAATCAACACTATTGTATATTTTTGATGGGATAAACAGACTGCATTATCGATATAAAGAAGACAAAACACAAAACTAGACAAGTATTCATCTAGCTACATGAAACAAGTTAGAACTTCTCTGTATATAAGCATCAGTTCTAAGTATAATCTCTCTTTTAGGAAATAAGCTTTTATTGGTAAAATTTAGAATTTTAGACATCTCACAAGCTCTAAAGCAGAGTTCAAACCTGCTCCCACTGGTGTATATGGCAAATATTCAGTTATATTCAGTGGGAGAAGGACCCAAATTGGTATATAATATATAAATAAATAAAGTACAACAATAATGCATATAGCTGTTCAGGTAAACAGTTCAGTGCGCTTTAGTTAAGGTTATTACTTTAGTTATTGCACATCCCATTCAGACATACTATATGTTGTCAAGCAGACAAAACAAATACTAAAATTCCATCAAAAGTGATGCTGTCAATGTTAGATTGGATCAAAAATAAGTGAAGTACAGACAACTGCATCCAATCTTTCTTTTAGCATTACATAAAATCTCTTTTCTTGTGGTCAAGTTTCTCATTGAACAGCAGGGTATTGACGGATATTTCAAACAGACAAGCATTCTCTAACCCAAGTGAAATACTTAAAAATATTTAAATTTAATATAGTTTCAGCCAAAATTACTTCAGTTCAGGATGCAATCCCAGACAAATTGCCAAAGCCTTCCCTATTAATTTGTTTTTGAATGACTGAATGTTTCTATTTCTGTACATTACCTGGAAGTAAATCAGTATTAGCGCATTCAGTAGCTGCTGGTTGAGTGTCTCTCACTTGACCTTCCTGAGTCAGTATCTGACTCTTACTGGCTTCTACAGGTTTTGCAGAGCTGTTCTTTTGCGCATCAGAATTAGTTTCTCTCTGCTGAAGATCCAGATGACACGGTCTTTCTTGAGATTTTGCATCATTGTCTAAGTACTTATTGCACTGCTGAAATTCAATAGCAACCTCATTCTTCATATTTATTTTTTGTGTTTCTCCTGGACATGGACTAGCTGCTGAATAGACTTTTTCTGGGCAATTTTGTTCAGTCATTGAAGCACCCTCATTCTCCTTCCCTGGGATTTCAGTACCGTGAGAACTTGCACTTTTATCTGACCTATTGTCTCTATCCTTACGCTGTTTGCCATCCAGGAATCCTTCTTCTGTTTCCACTGAGTATCTTGAATAAAAGGTCTTTCCATGCTGCTCTTGAGAAACACTGTCAAATACTTCTGGAGTAAGAGAATCTATTGAGTGCTGACGTGAAGTATGAGTTTCCACTTTATCATCAGATCCCAATTCTTCACATTCATCTACTGAAAGTAAAACAGATCGTTTGAAATTTTTAGTTTTAGGAAACTCTTGGCTTACAGTATCATTTTCTGTTGCATCTTCAAAAGCTAAATTATCAATTCCTTGGAACTGTTGAGTGGGAACATTTGATGGAGGGAAGTTTTCTGCAACATTCTCTGCTTCAGATCTGTCATCTTCTGTTTCATCGGCAGAAGAAGAAACTTGGTCTGCCTCCTGAGTAAACTGTGCATTACCAAAAGTAGAACTTTTGCTCTCTCTAGTACCGGTCCGTGAACTCTCCTGATGGGACCAAATTTCAGGTCTTTTTCTTGGTATTTCATCATCACTCGTTGAATTAATACGGAAGAGATCAGAACCCTCTTTTTTCATTTTCACTTCTATTCTTAGGCTGCTGTCATAAATTTTTAATTCCTCAGGTGTACTCGTGTCACTGCTGCTTCTTCCAAGAAAATCATGACATAACATAGTGCTACATTTAGAAATCCCTCTTTCATTGGATCCCTCATCATCCTGAGAGCCTCCGGCATCATAATCTTCTGACCTTGGTTTTATATCATCAGAGGATGTGGTTGCACTGCCAGTATCTGATTCCGGGCTCTCTTTTGGATCTACAGCCCCATTATTCCAGTGGTCAACGAAGGGAGTTTCTGCATTTTCCTGGTTTTCGGGCGTTTCTGCAGGATCTATGAGCTCTGTGTAACTAGGTGAATATTTTTCTGTTATTTGTTCTGTGGAACATTCTGAAACATCATCTAAATCTGCTGTAACTGATTTATATTCAGTCAAGGACAATGTATCACACAGTTCATCGGCTGTAAGGAATCCCTCCATGTGGATCTGAGGAGATGATGTCTCATCCTCTTTATTGGTTATTCTGGAAAAGCTCGACAAAGCATTTTCACCATAGTTTAGATCTGTTTCAGAGTTTAATTTATCACTTTGCTCACTACAGACTTTTGTTGCTTTTGAATCTTTCACCAGTTCTCCTGGAACAGAAGCCTTTTGATTGGTTTCCTTGGAAAAGTCTGAATATCCATCACCGGCAGACTGTGCATGACAGTGAAATTCGGCTGTATTATTAATCTTTGTATCTTCAATCTTCTTAATTCCAGTCTGATCTTCACAGATTTGTCTTGTTTCCCTGTCATTTTGCACTGAAACGTGAAGTTTAGAAATATTTTCTTCTGTAACTAGAGAAGATTCAGATTGCATTTTGTATTGCACATTTTCAGTAGAATCTGATAAATTTTGTTTACTGGGTTGACAGGACTCCAGCAGTTTATCATCACTGCTGCTTTCCACCGCAGGTTTAGAAGATTCATTCTTGTCACGAAGCTGAGCTGCCACAGCATCAGCAGTGTTTTTCTCAAGTTTCTGTCCTGAACCTCTGTGCTCAGAGGTGTGCACATTCTTCTGGACAACAGGAGATTCACTCCTTGAATGTTTTTGGGCAGAGGACTGAGATTTCAATACAGCTGATTTCTGTTTCGGGTCTTTACTATTCGTAATCTCAGCATGCTTTGACGGAGTCAGGGTTTTAGGTGTTATTTTGGCAGTGGCTTTTGTTACAGGTGTTTGTGACTGCTTAACACTCTTCTTCTTGGCTGAAGGAGGTTTTTCTGGGAGTGCTGTCTGAACCAGATGTTGTAACACATTTTTTTCTTCATTATGTTTTGGAGACATTCCTGATTTCAGTGAATTTGTTGATTCCCCCTGAGGTCCTAACAAACAGTAAAAGAGACTATAAAGATTGTATATGCCAGTCACAGTATATTGACCAATTTTATGTTAGTGTTTATGTTGAGAAACAAGTTACTCAAATTTTCATGTAACTAAGGGATTTAGGGCTTATTAAAGAATGAAGAATTGAGATCTTAAACAAACAGTAGACAAAAATACCATCTTGCATTTACATGCTGTCTTTAAAACAATTAACAGAATATACATACAGGAATTACTTCAGCCTGTAACTGAGGTAGTCATCACTGGAGTAGAAAGCAGCAGCTCTCTAATAATGCACAGAAACACTGCACAGCAGTTTAGCACAGGAAGTGATGAGCACTGTATTCAATTTATGTTGTAGAGGAAATGAAAGGAGGCAGAAAATAATTACATTAGTCATAATGTGATTAGAATACCAGAATTAATGTCCCTGCTCAGTCAGAAAACACTGCATGATTTTTAATGACCACAAATTGACAGAACCTGTGTTTTCTATATCATAACGCATTAAAGATAATATAACTTGAATATTGGAGCTCCATCCTTAACGCTTGCTTTATAAAGCAGTGTTCCCTCTCTGTGGTCTATGATGTCCTTTCCTACTCTTGCTATCAGCAGCTGCTGGAACTGAGCGGCTGTGGGTCAGTGTCAGTAGTGCCACTGCTATGGGAAACAACCAGAACAGGCAGCCATAAAGGACTCTGCAGTCCATATCTCTGATGCTTGTTATAAATGCTCAACCTACAGCATTTCTGTTGGACTCAGTCATGGTTCCAAATGCAGAAGTGCAGGGGATCAGCAAATAGAAGACTCTGCAATGCAGATTAAACAAGCAAGAGAAAACACCAACTGCCAGTGAAGACTGTCTTTTAAATATTTTGAAGTTGACACATTAATTTGCATTTCACAGTTTAGGATTGTCACCAAAAATGAAATATGGAAAAATACAAGAATTCTTCAGAAGATTTTTCCAAATACTTGTGCTGAAAAACAAACAGACAAAACCCAAAGCTTTACATAACAGTGCCAGATCATTTAATTGCTGTATGAAACTTTACCTTGGTTCTTGGGAGAATTGGTAGGTGTATTTTGAGCCTTTTGTTGTACTGCAAAACTGGTATTGACAGTCCCTTTTTTCTTTAGGACTGTTTGTCCATTTTGCTCATTGCACCCTTTTCCTGCTGGTTTTTTGGTCAGACTGCAAGGAAATTATTTTATCCATTATTTCCAAGCTTAGATCTAGTAATGTTTAATTATAATTAAACAAGCATAACATTTTTTAATGTGCACACACATATAAACATTGAAAATGCCACCTAAAAAGTAAACTTTTTCAAAATAAAACTCCGATGTGCATCTATATTTTTAATGTATATACAAACATATATATATAATGACCCATTTGACAATTTCATGGTGCTTCAGCTGTCTCCCTGTCCAGTTTAGCCTGTTCCAGAAACAGTAAGTTTACAACCCCTTGTGCAGTCATTAACTGTTCTAGTATGCAGAATTCTGAACGACCTACAACAATTTTAAAATTATTAGCATGAAACAGTCCAACCCAAAAGCCAAACCAATTTTATCTTTATAGCAATGCTTCCAGTAGCCAACTCAAAGTGTTTTGGAAATAACATTCCTACAGACAACCATTCTCAGATTAAAAAGAACATGTTGACTAATCTAACAGTAAGTTTAATAGTCCACCTGAAACTTTTTTCCCCAAGCTCATACACACATATGAAGCACCATTATTGATCTGTAACATACCTGTTTGTTGTGACATTAGCCTCAAGCTCAGTCTTTTTTTTTTTGGTGGTGACTCCATTTGATATCTTCACAGATGCCTTTGTTTTCACTATTGTAAAGTAAATTCAAAGTTAATTACAGGGGGAAATGCATTGCATGTAAGTACTGAGCAAATCTAATATAAGAAGATCAGTTATTGAAAAGAGCATAGATTCTAAACTAGTAAAATGTTTACCGTTTTATTTGGCTATCAATTGACCATAAAGTCAGTTAACATAAATTACAGCAAAAGAAAGTAACTCCCATCAATCTACAGTAGATTTTTGTAAAGCTTCCCAGACTGGTTTTCAGCATATGACCAGCCTGAGGCAAATCAGAAGACTTAAAAAAAAAAAATCATAAAAAATTACCAGTCTGTTTTTTCCCTTCCTCTACCAACTTATCCTCTTTGGGTTCCTCTGTCTGTTCATTGACAGTCTTGATATCCACACTGGAGTTTGCTGACTTGCTGGAAGTTGCTGTTACAGTCACTAAGGAGGGAGATTCCTTCCCTGGGGTTTTTTTCAATGGTTTTGTTTTGATCTGCACACTTGAGGTTACTGTCAGCACTTTAGGTCTGGCACCTGCAACTTTTCCTTCATGATTCTTTAGTCCTTTGCCACTTCCAGAGTTTTTCTGTCCAGTTGCAGATGATGTCTTCTCTCCATCTTGCTTGGTAAGCATGCTTTCAGCCTTCACATTTCCATTATTTTCTATTTTTGTCTTTATAACAGCTCTAGCCTTTGGTGAGGCAGCTTTTTCCCCAGGTTTTGAATCCTTAGTAATCTTGGAAACTAATTTTTTGCCATCTTTTCCCTTTACATCCTCATGCTTTGAAGCCTTGTTAACAGTGTTCCTATTGGTGCTGGATGTATGTCCAGATGCTCCTAATCCATCCGATTTCATTTTATCCTGATTGGTGGAAGAATCTCCCCAGCAATCCTTCTTGCTGTGTTCTATCCAGGAACTATTCCTTATACCAACAGATTGAGCAGTAGTTTTATTTAGCTAGGATTAAAAGAAAAAAAAAAAAAAAAAAAAAAAAAAAAAAAAAAAAGGGCATCAGAAAAAAACCCCAACCAAAACAGAAGACATTTGTAAAACCAAACTGTCCATACTCTTACACTTCTGAAACACACCCACTTTTAAAGTAGCCCATAAATGTAAAGCAACAACATTCAACAGAGAAATAAATTTATATATATATATATTTTGTAGCTTGGTTTGCTGACTTTCAAGAATATAAAAGTAGCACAAATCACTCATGTGAAGTATTGCTCTATATAGAGGGGAGAGAAAGATCCAAGTAGAGTTTCACTTTTACTTTGGACAAATTACTCTGTAATAGATATTTATATTATTAGAGGCTGCTGAAGTAAGAAAACTTTTTTGAGTTACATGTGCATATTTTGCAAAGAGGAACAAAGCTATGCACTACTACAAACATAAACCCCCAAATTACTGTATAATACATTTAACCACTACCCAGAGTGTGTCCACAGAGAAGGGACAATGTCTCAGGTAAAGAGATGCCCTGAAATAAGGAGAATTAAGTGTAGGAAATGGAATCTTTGTGTTACCAGTGCCATAGCAATGTATCCAAGACTGCCAAATCATATGAAACCCATACTGTTTTTCTACCAGATAATAATGTAGTTTTGATTGGGAGTCTCAACAGAGGAGTTGTTAAGGGCACTAAAAAACATTTTTCAGGGCAGGGGGTGTAACAGACTCGGTGCTGTGGTGGCTCTAGTAATAATAGCAGAGATTCATTAGCTCAGTAGCAAACCATTTGCTCTGGGAAACAGATGAGTTTCATTATGTAGCAAGAGAGGAATGTGAGATTCTGAACACAAATTCCTCTCTTTTATTTGAGCTTATCTGTTTGAAAATGTAGCAGAGCACAGTCTGAATCCTAAGATGTTTGCAGTAACAGTTCACAAGAAAATATAGATTTTTCAAAAACAAGTCCATTATTAATTTAAAACAAATAATGAAAATAGTTTTGTTTGCAATTATCCAAGTGTTTTTAAAAATTTATATCCAAACATTACCTGAGAACTAGTGAATACAGGTTTTTTGCCAAGTCTTCGGTCATCACCCTTGTCAAATGCAGCTGTAAAAGGAAGAAGCATTTTCTTTACTATTTAGCAGGAAAGAAGGCAGACAGAGAACAATCCAGCCTACTCAGGCAACTTCATCTCAAATGAGTTCTTTGGGTCCTGTAATTATTCTAGGAAGGCTAATTTTGGTGACATGGCAAATGTTAAGTGGAAATACATGGGTTTATGTTTGGAACAAAAAACGTGGGATCTGTAATGAGGTCACATGGCCATAAGCAAGTTGTTTAACTCTTCTGTTTCCCCATGTTCATAGTAGGACTTTTGTTTATCCAAGCTTAATTCACTCAAAGTTGGTAGTGCACTGAGACCTTTGAAAGTGTACAAAATTTACAGAAAAGATGCTTCAAATTTAGAGTACTAATGACTTTCCAGTGATGTGTTCTTATTTTTAGAATATTTATTTATACTATATTAAGAAGAGATTAAGTACATTAAAGAAAATTATATTAGTTTTGAAAAGTGGTAAAGCCAAAATACCTAAATGTACACAGTGAGATCATAGTGCCTCTTTAGACAGCATGCAGCATAATGGCATGAGAGTTTTATCCCTGTGATTGTCATGTGGAATTTTCAGGCAGTGAATGCCTTTTTTTAATGTGATGTGCTCTGGGAGGAAAGCAGTTTTCAATAAAGCCTTTGAATCAATTGCACTTGTAGAATACAAAAAGGATATTTATAGACACTGTACAGAGCCAGAATCGATAGGTTTCATTTCTGCTTGTATTCATATTTCAGCTGAGAAAAAGGTTTTGCAAAAAATGGATATAAAAATTTAAGCATTCATTATGTTCTGACATCTTACATGGATACATTTTTTGTGTGTATAACACAAGTACAAATTCTGCTGAATTCTTACTGAAGATACTGAAAATAATTTTTATATAGGTCTGTAAAAATCACACAAAAGGTATGCTGAAAATGGCACCCCAGGGATCTAATCCTTTTTCTAGCAATGACTCTGCACATTAATACATACCAATATTTAAGACAAAATCCATATAAACTTGTGCCTAAGAAAACACAAGACATATACTGTAAATGAAAAAAAACACATTATCATCTGTCTTCTTTGGGCATTCTTCCTCCTCTATTATAGCCTTCTAATTCTATATAAGCTAAATTTCTAGAAGATAAACCACCACAGGAAATCTTTAAAATGAAAGTTGATTTAACTTATCCTAGACATATTTGACCTAAAGATTAATATTTGTCTACCAGTATTGTGCAATCATTTTGCCTGTAATTAAAACCAGATAATTTATGCCAACATTTCAGCCTGTTCACATATAAAATGTATGCTACCTCTGAGTTATAATTTAATCTAAAAGAAAACAAACAATTTCTGGCAAGATGGAGTTTGAACAACTAAGACACACCTTGATTTTCAACATTTTTATTGTACTGAAAGCACTAGTGCAAGGCAGCCTAAACATTATTCATAATAGGGACACAATTGTCTTAAAACACCCCAAATCAGAGACAACCCACCCTTGTTTCTAAAGCCAGCTCCTCAGCTTCTGAAGGATTTTATAATCCAAAAAGAAATCATAAACCTGTTTTACACAGCAGCAGTACTACATCCCTAAATCATGCTTAGAAAGACTGTTACTGCATCCTCCTCTCAGCATGCAATTGTAGAATAAAATTTTCATCTACTTTTAGGAATAAACAATTTTATAACTATCATAGCTACTAATGTCTTTAACAAAAAGGACAGTGAAATGTTTATTTCACCTTTGAATCAAAAGTGATTTGATTTCAGAGAAGTATTCAACACATTCTTTTCTAACACTGTACTATCAAAGCTAATACTCAACCACAACCTGAACTCCATCACCAGTTCTGCACCCTCAGAAATACTCGTGTACTTCAAAACAAAGGAGTGTTCAGAACAAAAACTCCTTTTTGTTGGAAGTGCTGTCTGTTCAAATGTGGAGAGCCCACCATGCAGCTCCTGAGGGGCTCTCTGCAGCAGCACACACAGGATCACAATGCCAACCAACCGAGAAGTCCAGCTATCTGCATTTGCTCAGAGCACCAGATAAGCATTATGCAAGAGACAAGCAATATTTATACCTTATGGGCAGAACGATAAAGGACACAAACTGAATTCACAGAACACATAAGCTGCTTTGTGCAAATTTAATTCATCCACAGCGCTTATCTCCTTAAAAATGAGGCAGATAAGGTTTTTAATCCTACTGCAGTGTTTTCAGTAATTCAGAGTAGCTGTGAATAAGAATAGAATCCATCTACATGGGTTTGGTTTCTATCATATATCCTCCTAAAACAAAAAGGAGGGAGGACTTTTCACAGAAAATGACTGATTCCCACATTTGAAACTAGCTAAGCATGCCATCATGCTTCTATTCTAAAACATCACTTCAAAACACAGAGCAGCGCAGATTTTGCTTTAGTTTGTATCAGGCTCTGCAATTCCATCTGCATTTTATCTACTAAACAGACTGCTAAAAAATTCTAATGCCGTTTGATGCCAAACATACCTGCTTGTATTTGCTGCTGATGGTCTGGCCTCACCAGCTTCCAGCCCTCTGTGTGACGAACAGCATAAAAAGACTGAACCAGGAAGACCCAGAGCTTATCACGCAGCGCCTGGATCTTGCACGTAAAACCCTGTGTTCAAGTAACAAATCAGCAGCTGGCGAGGGGCATATTGTCATAGCAACCAGTCATTATTCCTTTCAGAATCTACTTACTCTCTAAGCTAGATCAATGATGTCATCACATATATTTTATAATGGTCTGGTAGATGGAGATGCTGTTTTTGAAGGATTATTGCTCACCACAGTAATTTTTTCAATACTTTAAAACCTGCAAACTACAGCACTAGTAAACACTGCATTGCTCTTTTTTTCTTTCCTTTTATTTATTTATTTTTTAAATGAACCCCATAATAGCTCTTCACTGTCAGTTGTGTCACAACAAGGTCAAATACTCTAGGGAAAAAGAATGTATTTGATTAAATTTTCATTGCTTTGACCAAGGAGATCTACAATAGCACCAGACTGCATTAATTAATTTTTCATTTATTTTTCATTCTTTGTCATACTATTTATGAATTATTCCCAGAATTAGTTATCCACAGCTTAAGTATAATTACTTAGATTGTGTGCATGCACACGGTATGTTACACACATGGAGACTTACATCTCCACCCAATCCAAAAACACACACTGGATTAAGAGGCAGTCCTTGCTTTAGAGGACAGTCTTGAACAAAAGCAAATGTAGCTGTGACTTTCACAAAAAGAAGGGGAAGTACATAGAGAGAAAGAGAATAAGCTCTCCCCTGCTGTAAGTTTTAGATAATGTAACATTTTGATCAGCTTTTTCTCCTCACAAATTTAAAGTGATAGCAAAGATCAATAGGGCAGTGTTGCCCATAGGACTTCTATTTTCAGTAATACACAGGAACTTTTTTATTGCCATGGATGGGGTTTCTCTTGAAATTAAAAAATATGACAGCATTTTCTGTACTTCCAGCAGGACCTCGAATTTATGCAGATGCTTTTCTGTGTGACCCCAGTTGCAGGACTGAGCCACCTGAGCTCACACCACATCATCTGATTCGAACCATTATATGAAACAGTATCAGAACAGTTTTTCTACAAACATTGCACATTGACAAACCTACCATCTCCTTCACATTTGCAGAGTCCAACAATGTATCCACAGCTACAAGAAGAAAGCAGCTGTTTTCATTATTAATGCTTTTTTCAATTGCATTAAAAATTAGTTCTAGAAGGTCAGCTTTGCTGCTCATTGCCTGTGCCTGAGGAAACAACAAAAGGCAGCCATTTAAAACAAAAGAGTGTACTTTGTATGCAAAAGCATTACTGAGCAGCAAAGATCTGCTATCAAGCTGTGCAGGAGGTATTCCAAAGCTAAGCATCTTCCTTTGTATCCGTTCCATAACCCCCCTCCTCTCCAGGCCTCTACAAATCATCCCGAGGCCTGTAGCTAACAGAAATTTCAGGAACAAGCACACGATGATGAATTTACAGCCCCATGCAAATCTGGACTCAAAGACAAAAGGCTGTAACATCTCCCTATTTCTTCTTTTATTCTTCCATACGTATTAAAAAACATCTTCCATGGGAGAAATAAACTGGCTAGATGACTAGCTATGTTCTCACCAGAAGCTGCAGTATTGCCACATTCCTGGAGCTCACGACACAAATAAGTCAAAGTTTGAATATACTGGTCATACTCTCATGCTGTTTTCTTATGGGCCTGAAAGCTTTTTCAAAGCTGGTATCTATACTTACTTCTTTCCAACACAGAAACTGTCCCACTAAATTAACTGGAACGTTTGCTTAGCTGAGGTACATAACCTGAAAGCAGTGTCAGCCCTGCATATCAAAATATTTATGTGCTTTAAAACAACACTGAAAAAAAACACCTCCTGCCCCCCCCCCCCCAAAAAAAAAACCTTAGCACTGCCTAAGGTTTTTTTATTTTTTTTTTTAATTTTCCATAGAATTATATTTCAAAGCAAAAGCTGAAGCTATTTTGATAATTAGCAGTCTGAACTTCCCAAAATGTAATACACTTCAATTCATCTGGAAGCACAGAATAACTTGAGGGCACTTTTACCTGCAACAAAACAGAGAAGCCTTCACTTTGTACCACGTGCAGGAAGTTTGCAACGATAAATGTCACACATTCTTCATGCAGCCTGGATGCCAAAGCCACAGCTGCCTCTGTCCACTTCACTTGGGGGAGGCTGTTGATCAGCCGGTCACTCTCCATCAAAAGGAAAGCAGCATTCTTGTGGTTCTTCAAATAAAAACAGAAATTAGCCTCCTGCCAGGTCATTGCCTACAGAACTGCTGATCGTAAAACAGCTTCTGTTCAGTCACTGAACTTTTACACAAGGATCCAATCATGTAGCAATTTCCCTTCTTTAAGTAAATTTTATTATATATTTATTATACCTGCCTTTGAAACTAAAGCAGAAAAAGAAAAACCCACTGGTTCTGTTTGGCTGAAGTTAGGCAGTAAAGTTTTCAGTAGGTTTTACTGTATTTTTTCAACTGTATCATTACATACTGCAGTCCTGAAGAAAATAAGGCAAATGTTAAGAGGAGAAACTACTCTGAATAGAGAAAAATGTTTGAGGTCACTGGGGGATGCAATACCTTTTGAAATAAAACAGCTGAGTCAGTGTTTTAGGTAAGTGTGGATGGTCCAGCTTTCAGGATACACAAAAGACATTTTCACAGTTAGGAATCCTTTTGCTTTATTTAAAGGTGTCAACAAATATATGTCTTTCCAGATGGAGTTTTAACTGAACTTACCCACTTTGTCATCTAAAGTTTCTCTAAGAAAAGTTATGTGTTATGTTTCTAAGTACATTTAAAACCAGCAAAGAGTTTTGCTAATATTTATTACCATGGTCTGTGCTTTTGGTTCTTTCATGCACTGCATCAGCACAGTACCTGAGGGCAACTTCTACTGCCTAACACATCACTTGAAAAGAACTTGCAATTTATGGTTATCCACATTAGAATGGACTGAAAACTCTATTCAACATGACCTAGCAGGACACTGATAAATTGTGCAGTAAGATCAGTAACACTGCAAAAAGCAGCAATTCAGATAAATATTTGACACAAAATCCCCTATTGTAAATTCAGATCACAATTATGTTTGTCCTACGCAACTTCAAAAGAAGGGAGGACCTTCTCTCTGCATATTATAGTTAAAATAAAAAATCTGACCATCCATTGTTCAATTATATTTTTTGTTTTACTCATCTCTGGGCAAAAGCAGTTTGCTTCCATGCATCTCAGGTAAATTAAGGATTATGTACATGTTTATGGTTTGATTTTGCTCCCACTGGTCTCAATTACAAGCTTTTTGAATTGTCTAGAATTTAACCCCTGCTCACAAAGCAATAAGCATTTACTCCCATTAGACACTTCCAGTGAAATATAAAATGCCTTCATTGACTTCTAATTAAATCAGCACTTTGTGGCTCTAACTGAATTTTACTTCTCCTTTTTTTTTCCTAACCATTCTAAAGTGGAGTCCACTTATCTACAAAACCAGTAATTTTCTTGCATGGACTTGAGAAATCAGGGTTAGGTACTTGAAGAGTGCTTTGAACTGCACTCCCATTTCAGTGTTTCTGTGCTCATCCACTGAGGCTTCCCAGGGATTTTCTGACCAGCAATCTCCTTTTCTTTGTACCTTTTCTTCCTCTAAAGGGCTGCCCTTCATTAACCAGCTTTTACATTTCCAATATTGGTAAATGGAAGGATCAGCAGTTATACTCATTAACTGGGTATAACTGTTAAAAAGTTTTGCAGCAGAGAACTCCAGCAGCAGAGGAAAAGACGACTGTAACAGCAGCCCCTGCAAAATTAATGTCAGACTTTTTCTTCTTCCTCTCTCAAGCAGCCTTAAGCATTTTTGCAGATTGTGAAAGACTCCCCTGGGAATTCCACAGGTTTTTGGAGCTCAAAGCTCTCAGAGTTGAATGAACACTCAGCAGAACCGGTCTCTGGGCAGAAGAGGCTTATGCTTTATTGTTTTATTTTGCAATTTTAAAAGCTTTCAAAACTTCAGTCCATAAAACACCAGTGAATCTTGCAACACAAATTTTAAACCAATCCTATGGGATCCAAATCACACTTCTGTCCAGACTGGAAAAACCTTCCATAGAAGCTGGACATACACCTGGAGCACTACCAAGTACCACAGTGCCATGAATGTTCTGCAAATGCTGGCAAGCTTAAAGGTAGCACATGTATTTCAACCCAAACTGTAAGCACTGTGTCTTTATATACGAGAATAGGCACAGAGGGGAAGGAAGGCCCAAATATTTATCTTTAAACTGTTGTGATAATGTTGCACAAGGACCCGGAGAAAAGCCTGGAACTGTACCTACATTTGCTCTTGGCTATAGGACACACCTGAGGTAGTCTGGAGATGGGTGGTGGTGTAACTACAAATACCTGAAAACATTAATTAAAACGTCTCAAATACTTATGCAACATATCACACACAAAGTTATGTGTATATTCTATGAACATCTCAGCACAGTGATCCGATACAATGGCAGAACATCCAGTGCCTGAAGAGGTAACAGGTGTACAATTAGGATATTATAGTTCCTGTCTTTACTGGCAGAACTATGCATTCTGGCAGGAATGTTCAGGCTTTAGAGCTGGGGATACTCTTAAGCTTCTTTTGGTACAGCCACACAGCTCTGAAATCTCTCTGGTTTTCAGGCTTTCACCTGAATATGCAGTAGCAGCCACAAGGGACCTTACAGATCATCCAGTCCCAACCACTCTGCCCAAGGGCAGTGACACTTTCCACCAGACCAAGACCTGGCCTTGAACACTTCCACGACGTTCCATTAGGATGTCACAGCTGTGTTTCAAAAACTAATTTTCTATTATTATGCTGGACTTGGATACAATGATCACTAGCCTGTGTGCCATGAAGCATAACAATGACATTTCACATCAAAATCAGGTTTTAAATTGTTATTTTAATGGAAACTTTTACAAAGTATAAATGTGCTACAGATTTAGAATACCACTTTTGTTATCTCTTAAATTACACTGTACATCTAAACAAGGAAAAAAATTACATAGTGCTATTTTTATACAAACACATTACTTACCAAAGAGTTAATCAACATAACAAGACAGTTGTTCTGAAGTTCAGTGGGTAAATTGGCAAAGCTTCTCTCTGACAAACATTTTGCAAAATGTCTTCCTACCCATCTGTTGAAAAGAGAGCCACTCTTAGGTAAGGAAGATGAAAAATGTTTTATCTTCACTTGTTAGCATAAGTGATACACCTCTTAAGTATTATGAAGAAAAAGAATATTTCAAATAGGGGTTGGACTTGATGATCTTGGAGGCCTTTTCCAACCCAATCTATTCTATGATTCTATGTGAACATCTCATATGCCAAAATAAGCCCTACCTCACAAAATAAGATAATTTAAACAAAATGCAGAGAATGAAAAACAAACATTTTATCTTCTTTTACTCACTTCATGCAAGCAGCATATAGGTTTTCCACTCCCAACGAATGAGCAATAGCCATGCATTCTAGTACAGGTTGCTGTTTTCCAGGAACAGGCTAGAATTGTTAGAAAATTACCACAATTACTGTACATTCCGATTAACAGAATCTACAGAACTACAAAATCTTCAGTTCAAACAGAAGTCCTGTTAGCTACCATGGTATTCAGGTTTGTTTGCCTTTATGCAGAATATGAAAGTCATCTACTTCCACACGTCAGTAAAGAAGGATTCAGCCTCATGAGTATAATGCATGAAAATGCTCAACTCTAAGGAGGTATTTGTTTTTAAACTAATTTCAATTGAACAGAAATATTTTCTAAATATATGCCCCTGAAATATGATATGCAGATATACAGCATTTCCGCATCTCCACCAAGAACATTACATTTGCAATGGGACATGTTAAATTATACTCAGTGTAATTTAATATATTGAATTAATCGTGTGGAATACTGCTTTTCATCAGCTGGGATTTACAAGTTTCTATAAACAGGTGGATGATACCACAGGCCTTACTCCCATCATCAATCCCAGTGAAATCAGCAGACTCACACATAAGAACAGGGTCTGTACACTTAAGCTAACACCTTGACCACACAGTTATTAATTATATTTTCAATAGCATGTGTTAAGTAATAGAATCAAAATTCTTAGGTTTTACAGCTCACAAAGCAGCGCAAGAACTGACGTACCTTCTGAAAAAAGTTGCAGTAATCCCTTTTCAAAATGTAGATAGCTACTTCTTTTAGCCCATCCAGCCCATACATATCTGCAATGCCCAACATGCGACTGAAGAGAGAGCAGTGGCAACAGGAATCACCAAGTCATTTTGATGGATGCATTTTGCTTACAAGACAACTGACATACTAATTTCTCACCTCTTTGTTCAGCCAGAACTTACTGCAGAAATAGACCGATAACCAAGTGTGCCACTTGCCAAAGAACAGGCTTCAAACAGAAACATGCACTGACCTAATTATAAACTCCCAGCCACTGAGTCCAGTCTGTATAAAAGTAAGCCTCAACCACTAGCTGAGAAACTCCTTAGAAGCCTCTCAGTTTCTCTATTTTAAGGATAGCAAGTAAAAAAGAGATTTGTGCCAGCGGAGTTTTGGCATTTTGCAGGTTTTTTTCCAAGGATTACATAAAATGTTATGACATCGTTATGTCCCTTTCAAATATTAAAAAGCACAGTAAGCAAACTATTAATTATTTTATATAATAATCAATACAATAATGTTATTTTCTATATGAATTCATTACTCAAACATTGACAGTGGGGCATATTATGAACAATTCCATATTTTTAAGAAATTGTAGCATTTCAGTGGCAGAGTTCAACATCTAATATATATATGGTTTCTCACAGATCTCAGAAGTTACTTCACTAATACAGGATTATGTATAAAAAAGTGATTAAGAACTATCCCAGAAGAAAATGCCAACATCTAGAGTGGTTCCTATAGATCACCTTTTATAGACCTAAGACTCACTACTTAAGCCTTCTCATCACTTGAATAATTATTTTAAAATAAATTAAACATATTAACCATTATATGCTATCACACATTGTATATATTATTCCGAAAACTAAAAGGAAAGTACGGGCAAATTAGGAATTGCTTTAGTATAAAACATTCCTCCTGTTTTTCACTCTCCTCATACAGTATTCAAAAAATGGTTGGCACACCTTTTCCAGAAACTGTTAAATAAAGAAGATTCCTTCAACAGCTTTATTTTTGGAATTTTCCTTCTGACTTTTAACCGAGAAAATACAGAACAATCAAATGAACCAAACTACAACTAAAAAAATAATAAAAGTTGACATATACCCAACATCAACTTTGTCTGGGAAGTCCAGAATAGCTCCATATATAAAATGCAAGATGACACTCATTTCTGCATGGCTTATGCTGCAAAGAAAGCAAAGATACAAATAAAGGCTTGTCCAGAATAAAATGCACTACATTTCTTAGCCAAAGGAAGTTGGTCAAAAAGCTGATACGTCATCCAGCTGTTCTGTGAATGGAAGGTAAATGATCTCATAAAATTAAAGCTATTTTCAAGGTTACTGCAATGCAAAAATATCTAAATGGACTACATTTTGGGTGAATTTAGCTAGTCTTGATGAAACTTTCTAGTACTTTAAATCTTTGAAAATAAGTCATATGTAGACTAATACTATAACTATATTATTTACACTGATAATATTCAGAAAATATTTTTTTCATCGTGGCCAAGCTCTTTACTAGCAATGACTCAATTATTAATTAACTACATATTTTCAAATTGTTTCATAATAATTATTTTTTAATTCTTTCTTTTATGATACACTTATCTTTTCTGACAATAAATATACATTTTGTAGTTTTCTTAGAATGCCAAGTAGGAATGTTACATCTCAAAACTTAGAAAGCCTTTATTCAGATTAAGGAAGCTGGAATTCCTACACGGTGGCATTTGCATCCTTTCATAGTCCCAGCACCACAAAGCAGAAAAGGCACAGAATGCCTGTTTGAAATGATGGACACGATCTCCTGAACAGCACCTCATTGTCCTTGCGTACACACGGCTTTGTGTGCCATCTTCAGAGCCCACAAGTGCTTTGCACATCAGTGTAAATGGAATACAGTCGTGCAGATGGAGCTAAGGCCCTTTAAAACACTGAACATGTTTAAGCAACTGACACTGATGACTGAAAGCAAAAGGAAAAAAGCCCAACGTTGCAACATGCAGAGGAGCAAAATCAGCACAGCTGTCTCTGTGTCTCAGTACACACGATAGCCATGAGTCACCAAGGAGCTTTCCCAGTCTGGGCAGTTGTTACCTTATGCAGAGTTCTCATTATCTCAGATTAGGCCATACGTACTTTATTTATAAGTGCTATAAAAGAGAGCACAAAAATCAGCACTAAGCAGAAAAGTGAACTAGAAAAGGTAAAATTATGGATTTGATTCATTATAAAATTATGGATTTGATTCATTATAACAGAAGTTATGAGACACTGGCATGGAGAATATGCTCATATAAAGATTAAGGACTTCTCAGGAGAAAGCCTCTACTGAAAAATTAGGATAAAATTTTCTTAACCACTTAGAAATCAATTACAGAGAGAGAAGTGTAAATACCAGAGTAACTGGTGACTATCAGCCTCTAAAACACACCACAAAAGCTAAGGAATCAATGAAATTACAAGTATAATGTTTTATAAGGATTAGGAATTTATAACCAAATCAACAGACAACCTTCCTGATTTTGCAGCAGTATTATTACATTGACAGAGAGCTAAAATTATGGTCATTTGAGAAAGTATCACTTGGCCAAGCAATTTTCTATTAACACAGAGCAGCTACATTTTGTAGCACTGTAAGGTACACAGCTCTTCCTGAAGAAGACTGAGTCAGCCTACATCATGCCTGAACAAAAAAGCTACCATGTACACAGATCAGTATTCCTTTGTTCTTAAAGGAAATCTAATGTATTTCAATTGATTTTTTCTGATACTGAAAAGAACTAACCTGGCAGTCCCCAGCTTATTTATGATATCTTAAGTATTCATCTTACAGTGACAGCTCCATTGTTTTCAGCTCTCACACTGAAAGCCATTGTGAACAAGAAAACTAGATAAAATTGCTTTAGGATACGTTGCTGGAATATCATAATTAAACACTATTTAGGAAATGTAATTTGTCTTTACATTGTAAATATACACTTATTGTACAAATAAGTGTGAAAATGACATTGTTCAGACACTCATCATACTTTTCATGACATGTACAAGGCAAAGTGAAAGAAAAGAATTCTCAAATAAACACTAAAACATACTCTACAAAAAAGGATTAGTGCCCTTCTGCTGATGAAAAATCCTTCTCTAAATCATCTGACAATATTAACAAATACACTCCACACACAGTCATCCTGAAGTCAAAACAGTACTCAGTAAACACATCAGGCTGGAGAAAAGTGTCAAGGCAGATTAATCTTCAGTGCTCTGTACACAGCACAGTTGTGCCATATTTGCAGTGATTGGAAATTGCCTACCTTTGCTCCCACACGACTTGCAGAGACAACACTTACCCTTGAAGAGTGATGTGCTCTTGGGAGCTCTCAGCCCAACTTCCACTCAGCATAGCAGCAAAGTAACTAGATCTGGCACATAAAATGGCCCTGAGAGAGAAAAGGTAAACATTATTCCACTAGATACAAATCTTTATTATGAGACTCCTTGATAACATTGACTTAAATCTTTGCCCTTTATGCATTAAGGTGTCAGCTGTATACTGCATGCCTTTCCTTCCAGTATGTTTGGAATTTCAAAATGTGCTAGAAACAAACCCAAACAGTACTCTATAAATTTTTCAGTTAAAGCTTGGTTTTAGTATGACTTTGAGATTCACACAGAGGAAATTCATTCTCATAAGCGTTTTCCTTTCATATAAAAATTCCCATTTATTTATTCTGTTTTATTTAACAAATAACAGTAAATAACCTTGTGTCTTAAATTCTTTTTATACTACAAAATGTGTATTTATCAAAATGAAAAGAGAAGTATGTAACTTCTTGTATTCAAAACTGGCTGGCCACTGACCAGCACATCCTGAAAGTTAAACAGAACTTGACACAAACATATGCTAGAACAATGTGATGTGCATTTACCACACTGTTTAAGAAGAGTTAAACGCTGTTTAAGAAGAGGTATAAGTTACTTGTGTTTAGACTTACTACCCTTGTATATTTAAAAGGCATAACTGGCCATGGTGGGGCTAATTCAATTTACTACTACTTCCATCAAAGAGAAAAAAGAAACCTCAGACCAGTAGTCTGTGTAGCTCAGTATCTCTGCACTATCTGAGCCTTCAAAATAACACATAAGAACATCTTTGCAACAGGAGCCTCCTGAGGTGGAAGTGCAAGAGCAAAAAGGAAGAGAAGGTAGTGGATGAAAACTGCTTTGTGATTGCAGTCTTCCAGACCCACACCAGTTAGTGTTAGCCTTCACATATCTTATCTGGGCTATTGCAGCCATAGATAGCATTGTCATACATACATTTTCTTTCCTGATGCTTACTAAGCTTCCTATTATTTATAAAATTATTTTATGTCACGTATTTCCTGTGGCAGAAAAAGCGAAGAGTTATATTAGGCATGAGAATCCTTTCTGTTACATGTATTTGCTGTCTCTTAAAATGCTGCAGAGCACTCTCATTTTGTGTAGGAAGAAGCATGAAGAAGGCTATTTATGGTCTCTTTTCTAGTCATTATATATTCTGTAATCTCTCATCTCTCTTCCCTCCTCCTGCTTCAGAAGTCTCAATACTTTAAAATAGAAACTTCTCGCACATTCCTCCTGTGATTCATCCAGCAATTATAACAAAGCTTTTACAGAATGTTTCATATCTTAGTGAAATATGTCCACATGTAAATGGGTACTACATCATCACTTTGAACATGTGAAATTCTGGATACACACGCAATCTTCTTTTTATAAGATACAATAACACAATATTACAGAGATATGGAATACACTTATCTTCAATTTTTCATACCTTTCCAAATAAACTTTAGTAATGAGCAGTGATCAATCAACTTCAAGGGCATAGCTGGAAGCTGGTATTTTAAATGAGACAGGCACTCGGTAGAATACAGACAAGTATGCATTACCTAAATTTTATCAGTGTATAGTTACAAAACACATGGAGATACCAAATTATTTGAAGTACATTTATCTGTGCTTTCCTACCGTGATGGTTTGTGCCAATTTTATCACTGAACAAATGTGACTTGCTCCATGCAGAGCTCTGCAAGAACACAACACAACACTAGGAAAACAGAAGTTGGCAAGTGTCTCAGAGCACTGCCACTCACACTGGTAAGTCTGTTGGAAGTTCATAGGACTTCATGAGAAAGTAAGGAATGCTGAGACAAGTGGGTGGGAAAGTGTGGGGGCTTAAACTGTTTCCTGTTTGAAAACTTCAAATAAACCTCCTTAAAGTAAGTAAATAGTTCTGGTGCTTTCACCACCACGATATCCAAAGTTAGATTTCCCTTATTAGCTCCTGCTGCTCACATGACGCAGCACTAAAACAAGCAAGGCTTGTGCCTGTTTCAGAACTTCCTTGTTTTTTCTATGATTTACTGCCATATTTTTTGATGCTAGTTAAACTACATACATTGCTCCAGGCAGGAAGTGGCCTAAATTAACGAAGCTCTTTAGAGCTGATAGAATCTCTCTGTTGATTTTTTGTTTTCCAATAAGTATTTGTTTCTCAAAGTTACGGATCTGAGAATGTGTCTTCTTATAGCGTAGAAGAGAAGAAACAAACATGCTTAACTATACCACGTTCTGGAAATTTAGGATACAGCCCAGCTCTATTATTTAAAAAAATAAAATACCCACACACACTATTATGACGTGTCTTTTGTAAAGATATTGTAACGTCCGTAATAACCCCCCTGGCTTTGTGTTGAGAAAATACTGAAAGTAGTGCAGGGTTTTTCTAGTCTCTCTCAGTGATTTTTATACTCAAAGGGAACAAAATACAGGCTGTCTAGTTTGCTCTCTCAAATGCAGACTTATCTCAAAGGTACAAGAAATGGTACTGACACTTTAATTTGCTTTCCCAAGCTACAGGAGTACAATAAGCCAAAGTCCTTAAACGGTCGTGGACTTTAGATCTAATAAAATCTGCTGACAATCTTCACACCTACATCACTGAAGCAATTCAAGTAAAATCAGATTTTGTAAGCACAGATTCTGAAAAGCAGGAAAAAAAAATTACTACTCCAGAAATTTTCTACCTGTATGGAAATTTTATTCAGCACTAATAGCTGAATAGTTTAGGAATAGATTTTTCCTTTTCTTTACAGACCATAGATTATTTATATTTTATTATTTTATATTTATATAAAAAAGTTTTATATATTTATATAAAAAGTTAGCAAAATAAACCACACAGCACTGATACTTGAGTATGTACTCATCATATGAGTTTACAGTGGCAATCTTAGAAGTGCTAAAAGTGCAGTTGTTTTCACAACAGTTACTGTTGATAAGATAAATAATACTCATTACTATCAAAGTACAGCCACTTCAGACAAAAGACTTAAAAACTGTAACAGTTTAAAGCCAGGGAACAGCACCAGCAGTAATTTCCAACGGATACACAGTAACAACAGTGTTTTAGACTAGAAGGCTTTTGGGAGAAAATTTTTTACTGTAAATACTTATGTACCTGTGAGCTTGAAAATCTTTGCCTTCTATGCAAATATTAATATCTGGACAACAGCACTTCTTGAAGAGCATCATTAAGTCTTCTCCTAACACAGAGGCAGTTTCTAGTCTGGAATTACCTGCACATGGAGAGAAATAGCTGTTTTCACTCTGGCTGGTGTAGAGCAGACTATTCACAGTACACAGACAACTTAAAATTTTGAAAAGAATAATCTGACATGAAAGCTAGGATTTTCCTTCAAAGGCTTCCCAGATTTTGCATTTTACTTTTCATTTTAACTTGAGATATCAGAAATTTGACCAATGCTCCATATTTGGTACCTACAGAAGAAGTGTTATAGTTACTCTTTCATAAGCTTATGCAGCCAGTTCATTTTTTCTGCAGAGATAGAGAACCTCTGCATTAAAATAGAAGGCTCATGCAGCGCTACAGGCTTCCACCTGAGCAGATTTGCTGTGTGGTCCTGTGTTACTGACTCAGCTGCAGCAGCCAACACCTCTGGTGAAGATGCATTTCCTCATATTATTTCATTCACAGTTGTAGTACAGAAGACTCTGAAAGGTTCCAAAACCCTCATAAAACAACACTGGAACTAGTGCAATTTGCTAGGAAAGGAAAGGGATGGAGATATTCTGCTGTGGGGAAGTTCCACATGGTGAGGGCTTGAGTTTGCTGATGCCTGGCAAGTCCTGTCAGATTTATTATGCTGCACATTGGCTGGAAACTGTTCCTGCCAAACTTCTGCAGCAATTCCTTTTTTCAAAGTGTGAGAGGATGAGGTAGACCATAGGAAAGAATATCCACATAAACTGTGCTATAACAGTAATTTTAATTTTTGCCTGCATTTTTGTAACTGCAGAAGTATTTGAATCATTAGTTAAAAGACAAAAAGAAAAAAAACCACTATAATTCCAAACCCACCTGCAGTGTCTTTGTTGCTTTCTACATCAACGACTGCTTCTGGAACTTCCTCAACACACGATGAACAAGCAACTTCTTTCTGCACAGGCACAGCTCCACTTGGAGTATTCTGTTCCACAGGTGTTTTTTTGCTTTCTCTGAGACAATTTACATTTGTTTGAGTGTTCTGAAGAGTAGCAATGTTGTTTTCATGCATTAATTTGGGTTCCAGTACTTTTTTCATCATAGCCAGCTCCTCAGCTTCTTTAAGATTTTTATCAGATGAATATACAAGCCTAGAAGATGACACTAACTTTTACTCCTGTAATTTCTTAATTGATCAAACCAAACAAATAAAAAATGACATTTTTTTAATGTAAGAAAGTTCATGACCAGAAAACAAAACCTGGACTCTACAGCGTTTAAAAAACTCCCACCTTTTAAAAACTGTATCTCTGGAAAACTTATTTCTGCAATGCTTGAAAAGCATAAACAAGAACTACAAGCAAAATGTAATATCAGGTTAAAAGGAACTGATGTATAAATCTCAATATGACCAAAAGAAGACATCTGACTGTCCTTTAATGTAATCAATTCTACACATCCAAAAATATAAAACCCTTCTAACATCAAGGTTACAAGTACAAAATCATAATAATTGTATAGAGATATAAATGAACTTGGGAAATAAATTTTAGTTTCACAGGAAGTACTTGAAAGCACAAAAATTTGCAGTTAAGATCCCTCAAGAACTTTAATTTTGCCCATATAGTAATTCCAGCTTCCCACTTTCCCATCTGTTTCACCAGCTTATTTTTGGCTCAAGATCTGGAAGGCTAACAAAGCCTGCAGTCTGTGACTGCGAAGATCTTGTATTTATAGAAAGATACTGCACTCCAGCAACTTAATGGAGCCTTACAAAGCCAGTGTGAACAGATAACATGCTTTATCCGTGGTTTCATACCAGATAGATGAAGTTAACAAAGTTCAACAAAAGAGCTGCAGTTACTTTGGATGTACCAGACATGTACTTAGAGATCTGCATCGAGTCACTCATTCCATGGCTTTTTTGTTAATACTGGGAACACAGTAATTTGAGTGTGCCATTTGGATACTTTCCTATAAAGGGGCAGAGAAAACAGAGAGAGAAATCATCTTCCTTCTTAAGTCCTTCTGAAGTATTTGAAGGATTGAGATTGGTAGAATGTTTTGTGTGTATCTGATATAGGTCCTTATCAAGTGAGAATGGAGAAACAGGAATGCAGGGAATAAGAATTCTAATATTCTATTAGATTTTGAAAGCAAGGGCCAGGAAAAGGTGTGACAGGATTTCACACTGAAAGACTGATGGACCCTTTTTACACGGGGATTTTAAGGTTGTTGCATCTGTATGTGTATTCATAGAAATTCAGCAGGTTATCTCCATATTAGAGTCCTGCTTAATACAGACTGTAAATTTACTATTTTGAAAGACTCATGGAAGCATCCATTATTTTACTTCAAAGACAGCAATAATGATTTTGGCACATCTTTTAGAAATTTCCTTTTATCTTAGTTAAAATCCCATTAGATGTTTCCAGAATGCAAGATTCTTCAGTTTTCTGAAACCTGTTACAGAAAACTTTCCTTGGCAGCACCATCTATTTTATAGACTCATTTCTAAAGCAGAGTGAAGCTTTCTAGACTGTCTTCTATGGAGTATAAAATGATGCATTTCTGCATAAACAAAAGCTAGGGAAATCTGTCATCCACAGCAAAATGCATAGCTTGGACCTTGGAGCTCAGATGGTTTAGTGATAATGTACAACCATCTCTTTAAAACACAGTTGCTGTAAGAAACCTGGACCCTTACTGCAGAATTATGATAGGAATAGCTTTTAAAAACTGTTCCAAACCTCATGAGTAGGCTTCATTCAATGTGACATCCTAGTTTCATAAGCTAAAGTACAGAAGATAACAGTTCTATAAAGTTATGAATCTCTTCTTTAAATCAGATAGAGGTGTTGTCAGAAGGTCTTAGATCTTGTCAGTTTTGAACTAAGTAGTTACAAGACAGCAGTTTTCATAGACTTCTGGACAATCTAAGAAGGCCTTACCACCCTCACAATAAAGAATTTCTTCCTAATATCCAATCTAAACCTACTGTCAGTTTATAGCCATTCCCTCTTGTCCTCTCACCACATGCCCTTGTCAAAAGTCCTTCTCCAGCCCTCTTGAATAAGCACCCTTTAGGTACTGGAAGGTGCTCTAAGGTCTCCCCAGAGATTGCAAAAATATTTCAGCAATACACCTGTAGCAGTGAATCTGCCTTAGTGCAAGTCAGGCCTGTCATATGCCCAACTTCAACATACCATAATCACTTAAGAGTCTTCCATTTCCCTTTAGTTTGCTAAAAGAACCATCTGCTTGATTTTTGCAGCCAAGATGGTTGTTTTAACTTAGTTGATTTCTTGACAGGAGTATTTCAGTAAACTTCTTCTCATGAGGTGCAATATAAACTGCTTCACTGCCTCACCCAGGTGCTGATTAGATTTTCTTATTTCTTGTAAAAGCTCAGCATTTCAGAAGAACCCGATCCTTAAGCAGTCATGGTCCCAGTGAAAGGTTTCTACCCATTTTCACAGATCGATTTTTTTTTCCTTGGGACATAAATCTATTGCATTAAGATTCTGTGCTTTCCAAAGCAAGATGTTACTATCACACACATACTGAATATACTGTGACTTGACAGTTTAGCTTCTCAGCTGCCTCCGATTGAGATTAGACAAACTCATTGTTTCTATGCATGTGGAAGACAGATAAGGTTGCCATTGTTTGTTATGTGTTTAAAGCTCACTTTCATCAAAATAAACAAGTCATCTCGGTGAACACTTTCTTCCCTCAACAGGATATAGCATAAAATCTGAGCTACCACCTTCATGTTGTACATTACTTATTTCTCTCCTCCCCTGCCTCAGCAAAGTCTTATTCTTCTCAGTGACTAACTTAGCTCATGTTTATAACCACAAAACTAACCTGGTGCTGTAGTGACAAACTCACACCAGACAGTGTGGTTGTACGAACAAAAGCCATTAAGTTAGATCAACTTGGGTATTTGACAGAAGCAGATTCCTTAATCCCTTGGGCAATAAAAACTTTGATTCACAATAATTTGTTCTCAGTTTTCACTGTTCTTTGGACATAAGTCTTAAGAGAGCACTTTAATTTCCACAGTTCAGGACATACTGTTTCACAAAATTTAAGACAGTTCCCATGTTGCCATATTTGTAGGGCAAGGTTTGTTAACTCTATTTGTTTTAGGAGGGATGATCACTGGTTCCTTTATGTCTTAATGCAGGAAAAAAATTAGTTGTTGGGCCAAAAAAGGCACCTGTAAGTGCCACAGAAAGCCCTATGCAGTTAGCTTGTCCCACAAATCAGTCACTCAGAGAGGATGAGCACGGTAGGCTGCACCACATCAATAGGCATGAGCAGTAAGAGGATAAAAGGGAAGGACCATATCAGAATAGTCTGTATAAACCATAACATTTCAAGAACACGGGAGGCACACTATTCTTCTGAAATAGTGGTCTGCAATCACAACCCACTGGAGGGGAATACATAAGCCTAGATGTTAAGGGTAAGATTGCTGAGGCATAAACATAAAGGAATTCAATGTACATGTGCAGAAGTCAGGTTTGTTTCCTCCAAAGCAGCCATTATTCAATGTGGACTGTGACAATCTAGGAATCAGTAAGAATAAACTCATGCACAAGTTACTTAAAGAAATATTTCCCTTTTTCACTACTTTGTAATGCAGTGTTATGGAACTGTAACCAGAAATTGTATTTAAAGAACAAATATTCACAAACGTCTTGTATTTGGTGCAATGGTTTTATGAAAACCTCACATGCAAGAGAATGTCAAGCTGAAAAGAGTTAAGCCATCACCTTCTGTAACGTCAGCACGATGTTGTGTAATTTTAACAGGTACCTCACCTTATCGCTTGGGGATTTTTTCCCCCCTGCACACAGAAAAGATTCTGATAGACATGAGCAACTATGAGGCTGCAAGAGGTGTGGCCAGGTGACAGATGAAGCAGGAACATGCTATAGGGTATCTGCTGTATTCATAGCAGTTACTACAGCCTAAGGGTTTTTTATACAAAGGAAATGTTTGCAGAGACTCTACAGAAAGAAGTTACTGCCATCATGCTGTCTAGGAGTTTACTTCCAGAACGTTTGTTTCTGCCTGCACTTAAGAGAGATGTAGCATCCTTGTACTGCCTGATACAGAACTCTGCAAGCATAATACAGTCAAAGCCTTGGCTGGTCTACATTGAATCGACTGCTGGTATTGCAGACTAACCCCTGTGGCAGTAAATGTCACAATGACAATTGTATTCCTTTGTATTTGATTGTACTTATTGCTTTTTAACTGGATCTGTCATTAGGTCTCTCTCTGTCCTTCCTTGAATCAGCTGCCTTTAATACAAATATCAAGAGACAATAATAACTAGATTTTTTATTGCTAAAGCTGTATTTTTTCCAACTGCAAGGGAAAATAAAAAGCTGTTTGCCTCCCAGCTCACAAGACAGTAATGACCTAACGATCTGTGACAGACTGTTGTCCTTTGGGAATGCCAAGTTTTCCTTCCTGAGGCACACAGCAGAACCCTGCCTAGGCAGTCATCTCCCGCCATCCACCTACTTGGATTGTTGACACTTTTCTAGTGGTGTCCTGAAGAGTGACAGGAGGCTATTGGAGGGCACAGTCAATATTACATTAATCAGGCAAAAACACAGGGTGCACAGTGCCTACAATATGGATGCTGCACTTCCTGGCATCCTCAGATACCGCAAGTGCATGGAGGGAAACAAAACACTGCTTAGTTGCTCTTCTATTTCATGCTGGAGCTCTGCAGGAAGACCAGTATGAAGCTCAACACATCCTCCCTCCTGCTCAAAAATGCTCAGAAGTTTGGCAAGAGGAGCTGCACAGCCTTCAGCACACAAGTGACACATAGCCCACATCTCTCCCGATGAAGAGGGACAGAGGCCCAAAGGAAGTGAGCCTCACTGAGACACAGGCCAGATACAGCCCGTGAGAAAACAAAATCCCCAAATCCCCAGGGAAAGACATTTTTTACTTGGGAAGATAAAAGAAAAGCTGCTACTAGAACTTTTGTAGAAGACAACATCTTTCTCTCAGGAGCTCAGCTGCAGCTACAGGTCTGTTACAACTCATCATGGTGGTTCACATGCTCCAAGAACTAGGCTGGCTTCCAGTAAACCTGAAGCTGTAATTTAAAGGCACTGTTTTGCATTTGTGAAGATTAATTAATTTGCATCCTAACAAGAAACCACTGAGATTCAACAGCCACTGATACCAGCAGAAGTAATTTCAACAATGAATTAAACTCTTTTCAACTAAGGCTACTTCCTTTCTTTGGACCAAAGAAAGGACTGTTGTCAAACTTCAGTGCACTCTGTGGCACAAATTTTCACAGAATGTGCTAGATTAGAGGTCTCAAAAGGTGAAGTATCAAACAGCACTGAAGACTAAGTTAAGAAAAAGCAATCATCTTGGAAAACACACTTCATACATAGCTTAGAACATATGGGGAGGTTCATTTGAAGAATCACTGTGAAAAGATAAAAGGTTTATAAAGAGATGAGCTCAGTTTAAAGGTGCTTTCAATACCATCCTTTTTGGAGAACATGCAGGACTCCAGACATCATCACTTGCCTTCCAGCAAACACAAACAAAATTGAAAGCAAGTAACAGTGGACTGTAGGCATATTAAGTGCTTACCATTAGGAAAACAAAAAAATGCTATAACAGTATTATTCCAAATAATTATGTCCAAATTAATTTAATTTTTTTTTTAATGTGCATTATCATGCTTCTCCATTAAATTCTTACATGAATGTGAAAGAAATTAGTTATACCAAAGTAGTAATGGAGTCAGGAAAAATACGAGACAAAACCCATGCTGTTTTGTTTCTTACTACTTGTTTTGCTAATGCCCCTGCCAGCCTGTGACAGTAACGTAACAAATGCCTGTTTACCAACCTGTTCCACTACAATGATTCTGTGTTTCAGCTATTACTCTGGTTCAAAAAGTTTTCTTTCATAATTATCATAGCTTTAGTACACTGAATACATATTTTTAGCTATCAGCGCCTTATTTACAAATTTAAGGAGAGAATGAACAACACTAATAGGGAGAGGTCAGACTATTTCAGGCACTAAACTTTAAAGCTACAACACCCTCCCCCCTTCCTCTTGCCAACAATCTCAAGAGCCTGCAGGTACCTTCATTTTCTAGGCACATCCTGAACTCATGCGAAATCCCAGAGTGCCTACCACTTTACATCAATGCTGTTTTAGGGAAAATAGTTGGCACTGCTGCAGCTTTGTTAGAGAAAAGCAAGTCTTTGAAAGAAGATGTTGCATGTGGGGCAATGGGAAAACAGCTGGCAGTGCAAAACACGCTGGCCCTTGCACCAGTCCCTGGGGAGCAGCCAGCCACACACCTCCCTCTGGGATCCCAGCTTGGATCAAAGCTGTGCCGTCTCTGGCCTAGCCCATGGCTCAGTGGGACTTGATTGATGAGTTTCTAACTTTGATGCATTTTCATCCAACTTGATGAAGCCTTCCTAGGCTTCTGTATCCATAACTTTTATTTTATGCATGACCTGACAGCAGTTTTTCTTTTCTGTTTCCATTAGGGAATCTTGCTAATAATAAGGGTGTTAGCAGGTACAGACAATCTTAGAGGGTATATTCCGGATTTTTGCTACTTTTTCCCTTTACCTACTACAAAGCCTTTACACACTCTAAAAAGCATGCTGTGGTGGAGAGGGATAAAGGTAGAGGAAAATAAAAAAGTTACAGGAAAGTTCTCTGCCAACACTGTAGGAAGGCTGTGAGAGTACTGCCTTGAATGGGAAAAGCTTTACAACAGGTGTTAGCGCCGGGAAACAAGAAGAGACAGGACATGAGAAGCGGTGTCAAGGCCACCTCATCAGCTCCGCCGCGGCCGCGCACTCACCGCAGGAAGCGCCGGATCTCGGCGGTGCCCACGCCGTCCAGCCGCAGCACCTCGGGGGGTGGCTGCCCCCCGCCCAGGGCGGCGAAGAGCCGCGGCGCCCGCGCCAGCAGTACCGCCCGGTGCGCCCGGAGCGCCGCGTCGCCCACCCGGATGGTCACGTCGGAGCGGGTCCCCTCCACCAGCAGCCTGCGGGACGGCACCGTTACCGCTGGTCCCCGCCCCGCAAGGGACCGCCCCCTCCTCGGCCGCCGCCCCGCGCCCACCTGCCGAGGTCCTGCCGGAGCTGCTCGGCCAGCGCCTCCTTCAGCCGCTGCCGCTCCGCCGCCGCCGGGCCGCTGCCTTTGGGCGCAGCCCCGCCGCCGCCGCACCGCGCCATGTGCCGGCCGCCGCTCCGCTCCGCGCCCCCCGCGCCGGCAGAGGCGCGGGGCGGGAACCGGCAGCCGGTCCCTTGGCAGCGGCCCGCCGCGCTCACGGACACAGCCGGGACGGCGGCCGCGGGCCGTGCCCGCCTTCCCGCCAGGGCAGCGGGAGCACCGCCGGGAGCAGCAGGAGCCGCGCGGGGCGGGACGCGGCGCCTTCCCCGCTCCGCGCGCGGGGCGTGGCTAGCGCGGCCCTCCGCCAATCAGGGCCGGCGGCGCCGCGCCCGGCCCCGCCCCCCCGCGGGGTCCGCGCTGGGGGGCGGGACCTCCACCCCGGGGGCGGGGCCTCTCAGCCCGGGCGAGCGCGGCTGCCGCAGGGAGGGCGCCCCCTGGCGGCCGCCGCTCCCCCCTGCCGGCCTGGCCCCGCCCGTCCGCGCGCGGAGCGGCCCTCAGGGAACCGGCGCTCGACACCGCCCGCGCCCCCAGCCTGCAGCCCCCGCAACTCCTGCAGCCCCCAGCCTGCAGCTCCCGCAGCTCCCGCAGCCCCCGCAGCCCCCAGCCGGCCGGTGCTCTGCGGGTGCTCCCCAACAGCGGCTGCCCTGCCAGAGAAATAAAGTGCTGCTCAGGTAGTAGAAGTCTCTCTGCGCCGCCCTCCTGAGGCAAGGGAGAGCCTTTTCAACTTCAGAGTAAGAAGCACGTAACCATCTAAGTTGATAAGTGCTGAAAATATTCAGGGGAAAAGGCCTGAAGGCAAGTACCAGCCGTGAATGGAAGAGGCGAGATGGATACTACTGTCGTGATCCTGAGGAGACTCCTGTGGGACTTGGTGAAGTGGCCGAGAGGGAGCGGGTTTCCAGCCCCGAGCTGACCCCGGGCAGACAGCACAGCTTGGTCCTTACTTGCAGGGTCACACCGAGCGGGGAAGAGACTTTGGAAACCCAATAGGCAGGTGACTCACCTATTCTGCGTCTCATATTTTGTGCTTCTTTTTCCTTTATAGTTAGCATCCAGTTTTCTTCCCTCCTGCCATCACGTGCAAGTTAATTCTACTCTCTGTTTCCATAATCACTGTGTCTCTTCCTCCTATAAACACACGGGCTGGGCAGCAGTTCTTGGAGACAAGAACAGTAATTGCTGACACAGGAAGGATAATGCCAACAATGAGGCATTATTTTCAAGAAAATACTACAATCATAGCATGGGTGTCCAGGCTGCACACTGGACAGACACTTCAGCTATTCAAACCCAGTTCTAAGCTTCAGCAAGAAAACTCTCCACAGGAAGTCAGATAAAGGGAGTTGTGTAAGTTGCATTTTATTAGACAGAGCTGGATTTGATACATGTTACATCTTAGTTTTCCATTTTTCTTGTTCAGACGTGTTGAGTGTACAGGTTTCCCATTTTTTAGTCAAGAAAGAAAAACACATTGCACAAAGCAGCTGCATTCAACAATACAACAAGATACATGTCATTATTCACTTAAAGACTAGAAACGTACCCCAGAAAATTTTCAATCGTTCAGTATGCTAAAATATAGATAAAAAGAGTTAGTTACTGTTTAATGGTAAAAGACATTAAAAAAATTCAGGCAAATCTAGAATGAAAACTTGTGACTTTCTTCAGTATGGCACCACTCTATTGTTTCATTATAAATTTGTAAAAGGCACCACACATTAAAACTGTAAAGCAAGAGAGAAAACAAAACCAAGCAACTTTCCATGATTTTCTTTCTGTACAAATACATATGTATCTTAAGGCAGGTGTTTTTATGTGCAAAATACAAGTATACAGGTAAAACCAATGTTGGTATCATATATTCTCATATTCACTTCTATTAGCTGTAACATTAGTGTCCAAATATACAGTACAATGAAAACACTTTTCTCTAACAGAGCTCAAAATAGAAGGCAGGCTGGAAATATGGCCCTGATAACAATTAGGTTTTAAATCTGAAGAGCTTTTACGTAGACCCCTTAAAACATGTACAGTCATTCTCTTTTTCTTTTTGTCTCTTCCTTAAGAAAGGTCCATATCAACTTGTTCACTATGTCAGGTTGATCCTGCTGGAGCCAATGACTGGCTTCAGACAAAATAGTTAATCTGAAATGATTTTTTACATAAATCCTCGTAATTTCTGCCATCTCAACTTCCATAAACGCATCTCTTTCTCCCCATAACAGCAGGGTTGGCATGATGACTTCATGGTGCTGCAGAGGTAGGCAGCTTTAAAAATAAAACACACTTAGTTATGTCTTACTTTAACAAAAAATCACTATGACATATTTTAGTCAACGTAGCTTTTGAAATCAATGTAGTGAATCTCATTGCAGACTTCCTAAGTTTCAAGATATCTTCTGCAATACCAAGAAAACACTGTGACTTAAAATTCTTTAGTTGTTTTAAGGATGGGGAAATTGTTAGAAGGTAGTTTTACTATAACAGGTCTCTAATCAGCAGTTGATTGCAATAGAGGTCTCACTTTTGGAACATGAAAGATGCTTCAGCACAGCTCAGGAGCCTCATGACCTCTGTAAAAGGGAATTTGGAACAACATGGCCAGAATTTTGTAGGTCACTTGCTTTCCTTTGGTTGATGAATGGCAAGTTTCTGAACCTGCATTATTTACTGAACACCAGCCAAACAACCTTACTGAAAAATACTTGCCCAGCAAATGGCAGGCTGCCATTGCTGCACATGATGGAAGACACCAGCTGGAGTGTTTCAGACCTATTCAAAATTAAAGATCATGGAGTACAGCTAAAAATAAAATAGTTGTAGAAACAGATATTCTATAGAACATTGATGTCCAAAATGCTGAAGTGAACTCAGTTACATTCACCCTATGAAATTCATGCAACATTAAAAGTGCATCAGAGTTCCCTTTACAAATCACCACAGTATTTTTTTGAAGGCCTGAGACTTACATACCTACATCTTTCACATGCCGTGAAGGAAAACTGTTTCTTAAAGATTTGCTTTTCATGAAGTCATAATCTCTCTAAAACTGCAACATCACAACCCAGAGTTTTGTCAGACTAGAAAGCGTTAAAGGATAAATACATTAAAAGACATTTGAAGAACACTTTGAAGAAAAGCCCTTAGAAAGTAAAATTATAATAAACATGATACTACCACAATGGCCTACTTAAACTGTCAGGAAAAAAATATTTTCTTAATACAATTATTTAGAATTGAATGTTTAATATTACCTTATATTACACATATTAAGAAAGATGCAGGTAACTAAAGACTATTTCAACCTTAACCCACCCAAATTTATTCCAGCACATCTGTTTCAGAGATGCTGAAAAATTTATCTAAGATCGAATTGCTTAATTTTAGCCACATATAGTAGCAGATTGTGACAATTCAAAACAGATTCCATTTGATCAGATAAAAATCTTTGTTATATTAATGCCCAAATAGGAATATTTCAAACCAGTAATATATAAAAAAGATTTTCTGAACAAACTTCTATGACATACTGAAGTACTAGTTTTAAGCTTAGGAGTTAACTAAGAGATTATGCTCTGTAAAGAGGAAAAGACAATGGCATGCATTAGTTTAAAATAAGACAAAGAAATGGAGACTTTGAAGACATTCTTCCTCTCTACTTACATCCTGGATCTCTTCACTATTTACATGTGTGGTTTTTTCACTACTGTAGGGTTTACTATTCTGTGCCTTGCAAGATTTGTAGCCTCACTTACTGAGGTACAATCTACCAGGCTTTTTACACATGCTGCATACATAAATAACCTGTCATTTTTCACTGCCTATGAGCTACACTGTATGTCTTCTCAGTCTGGAATATGGGAAATTATATCATGTCTGAAGCTTCTAGAAATCGCCTTTAATAACGATTAACACACGGATTTCACATTTAGAAAGGGAAGTTCCACTCATTAAGTGTTTGAAGTCTTTGAAAAATAGACTCAAACCTTCATACAGCATTGTTATACAGCTTTTCTGTAAACAAATAGTGAAGTACTTCTTAACTGCTATAAGAGAACTAATCCCATTTTCTAAAAATATGGCATATCAGAAGAACTTCAAGCTTCAGCTGTGTACCTATCTCTCTTAACCAAGCATGACAGAAAAGCTTTATGATTTTTATTCTCAAAGTGTTGGAATCTAAAATATAGTGAAGGGAATGGCTGCTGTGCTATTTATAAAAGGATGTGTTGGTGATGGATGGAAGTAAGTTATTTCAATCATCCATTTTGAAATAACTTTCCAGAAAAATTAAGCTCTGAAGAATGAAACTCCAAGTGGATAGTAATGAGTTGGTAACCTTTAACATGCAGGTCACCAGTACCAGCCCACTGGGAGTTAGGGTGAATAAAAGTCATTAGCATCCAAATGCTGCTTGACAACTCCTATGAGAAAGGGAAAATTTCAATCCAGTTTTAGTATTTAACAATTCACATCCTGTAAGGTGCGACCATCAGAATTGGTGGCAAGAACTGAATGAGCTGGAGACTAATCTTTTCTTTCCGGTCCACAGCCTTCTGCACTGTGGCTGACAACAGCTAAAATAAAATTCTCTGAATTCCTTACAGGTATACTTTCATTAGACAAATAAAGCAAACATTGTGCAAACATACACACTAAACATACAGAGGAATTAACAGCTGTGAAGATACTTTCTGATTAATAACTGATACCAGACTTTTTTTGAGCCTGAAAAGGCCTGAAATAGTTTAAACATGTCAAAGATTTGTTTCATCTGAGTCGCACAGCCATTCAGCTATTACAGGCATGTCACTGCTGCTGTCAGAGGAGCATCTGGTTAATGTGCAGGCTCAGTGATGCGAGGTGCTGTGCCCAATGTAACCAACAGGGCTCCGGGCGCTCACGCCTCTCCAGCTCCTCATTAGCCCTTCCCCGGGGCTGCTGCAGAGCAGCTGCAGGGCCGGGAGCGGCTGTGCAGCCACAGCTCCAGTGCCCTTGGACAGCCCAGCTGATGGCATCGACCGCTCTCTGCGTAGCTTTAGCTAAGTGTGCTGTTCCCAGCACGGCCATCTCATTAAGTGCGCAGTCTCATCCGTGCCTGGTGTTATCTTTCCACTTTCTCCTTCCAGTTTTGCCTCTTAGCCTGTCCAAGACAGCACCTAGCTCAGATCCTTGTTTTCCTCACAGTATTTCCCTGCTGATTGTTCTCCTGACAGTGACAGCATGAATGGCACAGAAAGGTGGTATTAAATTTGTATAGGGGAAATGAAAAGTTAATGTACTTCAAATATCTACTGCCTGAGTTGAGGGAAAGAAGTGAATGGTCATTTTAAAGAATATTGGGAAGTTGGTCTTATGTTAGAGAAGCATGCAGGACATTTATCACTGCTGAAGACTGGACAGTAAAGGAAAAACAAGTTCAGTGCCACTCTTCTTGATACAATCCTTCAAGTTAGTGCTAAAAGTTACAGAGTTTAAGACCTTCTGGCCGTGTTTTTGGTAGATAAAAAGGGCGTGTAAGAGTTGGTTTTATAAAGTTACGAGTAAGGGTCATGTAACTTGATGTAACTTGATGCCATATTATTTAGTAGTATTATCTAATAGTAAGCTCTTGATAGATATTATAATTACTTGATATGAATTGTAATACAAACAGTTGATATTAATTTTGTAAATATTATTTAGAGATGGATTTATGGAACTGCCCTGGGTGCTGTGAATGAGGGAGGGCCTTTCCTCTTTAGATTTTGGAACAAAGATTTTCCTTACCTGCGCTCTAGTTGTTCTGCCATTTTGTATGGACCCCACACAGCACACACGTGGCCTCACCTGCCTCACCCTGCCCGCACCTGGCACCTGGGCAGGCTTTGGAAACAGAGCTGCAGTTCTCCTCCTCCGCCCCAGCGGCAGGAGCCACAGTAACACTTCTGGGCTCCAGGGGACTCTGAAATATTTTCCTCTGCTTGAGAAGGTTATACTGACCTGAAAATAGTCCTGTAATGGTTAATGGGTCCTGTTAGTGCTCCAGGTTGTGAAAAGACATACAGATAAGCTTCGATATCTTCTGCTGTTAATCTGCAGCCTTTCCTTCCAATTCCAGTGGCCTGGCTAGTAAATAAACTTTTCAGAACCTACAAAAGGAAGAATAAAAAGCTATTACCTAAGATAGCTGGAAAATGTTATTCCTCTCCTTCAATGGGACATATCTTTCTAAAATCTATTTGTACATATTTATAAATCTGTTTATGTTCAGAGTTGCAGAGGTTTGACCTGGCTGGATTCCAGGTACCCACCAAAGCCACTCTATCACTCCCTTCTGTGACTGGACAGGGGGAAGAGAAAATATAATGAAGGTCTCAAATGTTTTTTTAGAGAGCTATGTGAAAAGCACATGGTTAACTTATTTCTAGTGTAACTTACTTCAGAATAATCAAGTAGAGACAAATGCCAATATTACCCAGTTACTGAGTTCTGCATCCTGACCCGCCACTTGGGAAAGGGAAAGGCAAAGGCAAGTGCAGGCACATACTTTTTTTTTTTTTTTTTTGGGATGGACCCCAGTAGGTGACAGGGCTGGAGGGAAGATGATTCATGAGCTCCCCAGCTGGCTGTGCCCTGTGTGCATGCAGCACTGGGAGCTCTGCACTGGGCTGTGTGAATGCAGGAGGGCGTGTGCCTGCAGCTGCTTTGGCCCTTTCTGTAGGCTTGCACTCGGGTTTTAAGGTTACACGAGGTGCTGGCCTTGGGTCCTCGGGCAGAATTAATCACCTGGCTTAATGTGATGGCCAGACTGCCAGGCTGCCTGCCCTGCAGCAGGCTCAGAGAGGTAAGAGAATGTCCCACTGCCCATGGGAGCTTCAGATAAGTCAGCAGGAGTTCCGCAGGCACCAGCCATGTCCCAGTGTTAAGGGCACAAGTAAAACCAGCTGACTCTCTAGGTGGAGTAATGCACTGAAGTGCTGGAGGTTAAAAGTATGTACCTGAACACCTCCCAGAAGTGCAAGAGTTAACCTCAGAAACTCTATGTACTTATATCCTACTTTATATAAAGCTTAAGAAGAAAAATCTGGAATCTCCATATTTTTTCTATTGATTAGAACTACATCCGAAGGGATCAGTGTAGGTGGCAATTCTATTACTCACTGTTAAATATATAAACAAGAGCATTCATTTTGCTCACCTTGAAATCATTTAGTGTAAACATGAATTCAGGAAACCATGGCATTTGGAAAAAGAAGTAGTAACCAGATTTAATCAATTGTGATGGATGTCGTAGAATGTATTCTGAAACAAAAATGCCCATGAATTAAAAATGAAAACTGATGACTCAAACAAAATTACTGTTAATATTACTATTTTTTAAACTTAAAGGAATGTTTTAAATATATTACATTAAAGCATGCTATGTGACAAAAGATGATTATTGTTTCAGGAGTAAATATATGGTGTGGCCATTAAATCACAATTCTTTTATAAACAGCCAGCAAAACAAGTTTGCCAAAGATTAAGTGAGGACAGTGACACTGGGGAGTTTAATTGCATGATAGGTTTTCACTTAGAGACCTATTTGTGTAGCTAGTCCAAATAATTTTTTTCCCAGATGTGAAATAAAGGGCATAAATAAGAATCTTATTTCTTTCATCAATGATGTGATGCACAGAAATCTGTAGATGATGATCCACTGACATTCTAAAGACTGCATCACTCTTGCTCACAGAAGTACTGCATTCACAGCACAGGAGATATCTCTGAAATATTAACTCTGACATGAATAAAAATGGGGTTTAAACCAATGCAAACTGAAGTGTCAGCTATCTTCTAAATGTTCATATCTTACGCATTCTTAAACTGCATTACCCATTATATTTTTCCTTGATAGACCATCACTGCTCACTTTACTTTTCTGTACTATTTATAAACTGTGGATTTTCATTTAACCCACAGTGGAACAAATTTGATTTAGGGAGAATTTATCAAACTACAGAACAGATTTTGTACTTTAACAAATATGCAATATTTTAATAAAATGTAACTGTCTTCTCCACAGCCTGACTTCTGCTCTCAGTGAAAATACTGCAAAAAGCTCCTACTTGCTCACGTGATGAACAGACCTCTCCTGGGGTAAGTGTGGCTTTACTACCTGGCAAAAGGTACCCAAGAACACTGTGAGAACAACATATGTGGATGGTTCTGATTCTATAGTGGTGTAAGGTCAGATTTACATTCAACTGAAATGAAAATTAAAGCTGCACTGAATATTCTTAGCTATTTCTGGGGAAATGAGGTGACTTGTTAAGTGGAAATGGGTAAGGCCAGCAATTGAAAAAACTGAAATTAGTGAGATACTACTTTCATTTTCATTATGGAATGTTGATATAATCCCTATGAAATGTTTTGTAATTCTGGGTAGTAGACAAGCTCAAAGTTTATCACACAACAAATTCTGCTGGTGCACCTCAGTCCTTGTTTCAGCTCAGTACTGGTACATCTAGTAATAGTACAAGTACTAGGATAGTAGCATCTAGTTAGTAGCCTGGAAAGGCTGTCTTCTCCTAATGAATATTGTACCAGATCATAAATTATTGCTTGTCACCTAAATCGGGATTTAATTCTAATGTTTGAGTCACATTTATACAAAGGCTGGTTTATGCAGATTTAATAATGCAGTGAGGCCTTAACCAAAGTGTAATACAATATACACCCCTCTTCAGGGAATTTTATCCTGCCAAAGTGAAATAAAACAGATTCATGTGTATGAAAATTATGTTTGTAGACCTTCAAGGACTACAAAAAAAATCAGTAAATTTTGTTGCAAGCACTCCCAACTTCCTACAATAAATTTATTTCCAAAAGTCAAATACTTGATACCTTAATACTTTATAAAATACAGTCCATATTGTGAGAGGTGTGGAGTACTGGCAGCTTATCTACTGACCATCTAAAGGGGCAGGTAGTTGGTTCTCAGAGCAAACATAATCGTAATGGAAGTGCACAGTGAGTACTTTGGATTAACAAACACTACTATAAAACTCACCTGTGAATACAGAAGGATGAGGGAAATTAACCACAATGAGCTTAGTCACCATTTCAGGGTAACAAATAGCCACTAACCAAGCGATCATTCCTCCCCAGTCATGGCCAATCAACACACACTTGTTGTATCCTACCACATAAACACAGATACATGCTTTTATTTCAGTGGAATTAGTATCCATAGAAATTATCACATACAATCATGATTTCATTATTGCACAAAATAGGCGGTTCAGCACATTTGTTAATGTAACTTCAGAACTGCCCTGCTTCCATTGCAAATGGTCAGAAAATATAGCCCACTGGTATACTTAAAAAATGTACAAATATTTTAAATTATTTAATTGGACTTCATTAAACTTTAACTGTACTACCTCCATGTCAACCTAAAGTCACTCAGAATCCAGACTGCCTCCCTGTTTACATCTTGGCCAGTGCAGGGTCAGACAGACAGTTCAACCTGCAGTCATGATAATGCACGTACATTTGTCATGCTTAGAGAGCCTGGAGTTTGGAACTATAGACAAAAAGATGGAGCCATCTGCTAAGCCCCTCCTGAACAAAACTAATCCTGATGAATTTCTCTGACTATGGGAGGTTATCTAACACCCAACACCACCATTATGCAAAAAGTGGGCATTATACTTCCTAGCCATATATACAGCATATACATACACACCCATATATATACTGAGTAGGCCCACAGCTTTTCTCCATAAGCTGTTTTGTTGGCAGTTTTAAAAGTTGTTGACATTCCCATACTTACTCTTCCATCAACAAAAATGGTATTTAACAGCAATAAAAGGGTCATGTGCTTTTGATGAGTTTTGATGAGTTTGAATGACTGAGTTTTTGAAAGTCTAACTATTGCTTCTTTAAGCACTGCTGGAATATACAGTATAGTGTCAGATACCACCACCCTCCTCATTGAGGACAAACACTACAAATGAAACATAGAAAAGCCAAGATTTCTAGAATTCTGACATAAATTTGGACAGAATTGTCAAAAACCCTCTTGAACCCCTTATAAACCCTCTTGAATAGAAATCTTTTGGAGCGCTTTTGATATAATCAGGTTCTCCAAAAGAATTTAACTTGGGGTTAGAACAAAGATAACAAGCCTCTGAAATACCTTTTCTGAAAAATTTTAAATCCCTATGAAATTGAATTATGCTGAGAGCACTTCTCAAGCATAACCACGCCATTACCATGGAGATTAACACAACCAGCAAAGGCTGGAAAATGTAAACACAGTGTGGGACTGCCTGCCCAATCTTTTGACAGTGCTCAAACATCACAAGCAAAGCAAATTCTAAATTCAAACCTCAGAACTGGAATCATTGCTTTACTATTTCTTCACATGAAATGAAGTAAGTGGTTTTACTATCACTGGAGTATCCAGGGAATTAAAATGACTCAGAGAATGACAATCTAATCCCTTGTGTTGCTGCTGGTAGGAAATACCCTTCTCCAGGTGTTACAAGTTATCGCCCAAACAGCGAAACATCAAACCATCAAACTGAATTGGAGGGGCAAATTTTGCAGGCTCATTCAGCTCTAGACCATTACACTAGGTATTTGTGTGTCCCTTGTTCTCCCTTCTGTTCCTCTCTCTGTTGTGTAAGACAGAGTGATTCAGCTCTGGAGAACTGACTACTCTGCAGGAATAGTATTTTGGGAGGGTTTTTTGTTTTGTTTTTAATAGAGCAGATGTACTCTCATCATTTCTATAAAGCCCACAATATTATTCTGTCTTGTTTGTGCAAGAAAAATGTCATCTGATTTAAATTTTTTGTTCTGGAAGTGCTAATTCAGAACATTATCCCCCTAAGTGTAAGTGGTTAGGAGCAAAGGCTTTCTTAGGGAAAAAGACCAGAGGTTTGTACTACTGCATTTCACAGCACAAAGGAAAGATTTTTTTTTAACCTCATGATGGAAATATCATCTTTACCTGTTGTTTATCCTGACATACACATCATAATTAGAAAACAACCCTTTTTCATTTATAATAATCAATAAAATACTAGTATCCTTAGATTTATACGTATAATGTATATATTAAAAATATGCAGTTTAAGAGAAAACAATTCTAGATCTTTATGAGGTTTTTCTCCCTAGAAGATCAAGTCACTTATGAGTCAAGTAGGTTGTCTTCTACTAACGCACCTAGAGATTCCAAAATGTCCTTTATGTCTGCTATCAGGCAATCTAACTTGTAACTTTCTTTGTGAGAAGGAGCATCTGTTTCTCCATAACCTCTCAAATCCAGGGCCACCACTCGATATTCACTTTTAAATTCCCGCAATTGATGGCGCCAAGAATACCTAACAAAGAGGAAAAAAAGTTGGAGTTATAAGGTCAAGTAGTATGATACCAAAATGCACTCAGTGCTTTTGCACCCAAATAAGTGAGGGTAAATTAGCGTGGCTTTCTTTGCAATGATATTCCTTTTCCTTTCTACGCTCACGGTCCTTTGTGGCTGCAGTGGTTTTCTGTTCCCTTCTTGAATTCTCCAGTAAGGAAGTGCAGCTGCCAGAAAGGGGGCATGGCCAGAGCTGAGGTGTTTCAACAATTCCTGGAGTCTGGTCCAGTCCCTTTGTAGTGAAGGAAGCAGGCACAAACTAGAGCACAGAGAGGACTATTCTGTTTTATCCTTGGAGCTGCAGTATCATCAAAATGTAAGGTCTTAAAGGCTGTCTCTTCTCCCTGGCTTACTCACACATTTTGATGGAGCAGGGAAACATGCCTCAAGGCATGGTTGACTTTTTTCTTTATTCAGAAAAACACTGTCAGATAATTCAGACACTAAATAAACTGAAGAAAGAAACTCCATTAATAACAAACGAACTTGGTAAAGTTTGCAGAATTTATATTTTATCTGTGTCTCTTTACTACCAGAACTGTTCCAGAACAAGCTGTCTCAAAGTGTTGGTGCTACACAAAATATTTCATTCCTTGTGTTTCTATGGAAAAGAGTGAAAACATTACACACATCAAAAGACATACGAAATTAAGAACTTGGGCAAAGGCCTGAGCTGCTCCTCATTCTGTAACAGTATGTAGTGATTAGATGTGTGTTATGAAGCAAAAATAACAAGAAAATGGTGGGTCTCACCCTGCAAGAACTATTTGCCCTTCAGCTGTTATTGAAAGCAAATAAATTTCAGAATAGCTAGTACCAAGACACACATGGCCTTACATTACACTGTAATAGAAAGATATATGAATCCTTCTCAGCATATTTAATAGTGGCTGTATCCCTCTGTGACGGCTTTTACTTCTGCTTGTTTCAACAGTCTCAGATAAAGGATATATAACATTGGGATCATCAGTGATCGCAGCAGTGATGCACAGAATTCTGCCTTAATCTAAACGGTGTTTATATCAGACCATTGGCTTTTCTACTTGATCTTTGCCTCCAGCCTATTAGTAATATTAAGTAATATTACAGGAACACTCAATGATAGGAATGTGTATTCATATAATCAAAACAGTCAGAACATTTTCATTTCAGTGCCATATAATACTAAGACAAGGTTTAGCTGAGATCTCCAGGAATGAATTTTTTAAAGGCATTATATAATGACTTGGAAGCTGAATTTGCCATGGTAACTGTTGCAGCTATTCTATGTTCTTCAGTAAGAAGAAAGAACCAGGCCCATAAATAAATAAATTAACTATTTTTGTTTTCAGAAGATGTCTACAAGCTGTCCTCATCTTCTGTTTTCACAACAGTCCCTCAATCACCAAATATGTGACCTACCAAATGGGTAGGTTTTATATTTGAAGAAATCCTTTTACCACATATGATATGTAACTATTGGACAACTGCTTTGCAAACAGAATTTGGAAATGTTGTGAATGCTTCTGTGTTCTTAAGGTTGACTCATAGAAACTGTTCTGAGACTTTTTGATCACATTCTTTCTAAAAGGCAAGTTGTACAATATTTAACAGCTCACACACAAGTCTTGAAGGTACCCAGCTGTCTCAACACATTATGCCCAGTTTCAAATATTTTGTTATTGTCTTTCCACAACATTGGTATTGATTTTCAAGTTCTAATGCATCTAAAGCACTTAGTGGCTCTGGTGCATTATATTCTTAAGTGATCTTTCATGTTCAGACATTCTCTATCACTCACTAAGGTCTGTATTGTTTGGTTATATTTGTCCTATTTATAACCTTGAGACATTTGAAGGCTGAGGATTTGTTACAATTAAGAACTCTAACTGTGGATCATATCCTTTTCATTTTCCTAGACAAACAATACATATTTGATGCTGCTTTAAATCTCTCTTAAACTGTGGTTATTTTATCTTGTCCTCTCAGAACAATCTACTTCTCTGAAAATTTATCTTAACATAAATGTGACACTCTATCATCATCCTCAAGGCCGTTAGTATCTACGGGAATTTGCTGCTAAGGGCAGAGAACTGAATTATTTCACCCGGGTCAGTTTATCATGGTATGACCTTAGTCCAGGTTGAAAGGTCACAGTTTCAACAGTGAACCCTAGCTCCATGCCCCAGTTTAGAAAGGAAAAGGATCATTTAACTTGCTGAACTACTGGCATTAGCACTTCCTTTATTCCCTTATTGGTTTTTTGGTGCACCTTCTGTAAGCCAAGCTTCACTAGTTAAACCTGACAATGACAGCCTTTGGTGAAATCATTAGACACATGACTGCTTTTCAGTTATAAACAAACATTTAGGATTGTGTTTGATTCATCATTCATCTTGTGATGAACTAATAATAGAACCTTTTTCCCTGAGTAGCATTCTGAAATTAGGCTGCACAATAGCCTATAGAACTCATAGTTCTTCTTCACCTTCCCCAGTTAAAAATTAATGTATAGTATTTTTAATAAATGGAGCAATCTATATGGCTTATCCTTATTTTAACACCCTCTGCAATAATTTGTAAGTTTATCCATATAGTACACGTGCTATCCAAATAGCAAATGTATTAAAAATGAGCAGTTCCTCCCCAAAGCCTGAAGAAAGGGTACATACCTGGGGAAAAGTGAATTGACAATGCAAAAAAGATGGTTGGTTTGTGTTAGTCTGCAGGAATTTTTTGTGGATGCTGCAGTTAAAAAAAAAATGTTTCCGTGGTTTGTTGCCTACTAAAATGTCATGCCATTAGTTAGTACTCATAAACATATATAATGGATCACACTGGGGATATTTAGGTTGAGATGTTCACTCTTGGGTATCTTATGCAGCCTCTTTTATATAGGAAAAGTGTGTAGGGAGTTTTACCAGAATTCTGGAAAGCCATGAAGCAGTAGCATCAGTGGTTTACCCCTTTCTCCAGCAGCCACATAGTGGAATCGTAACCCTGAATCCTAAAAGGAGAGAAAAAGAAGTGTGATTTTATTGCTGCATAAACTGCTATTCTGGGATTTGAGAATGATGATGGTTTCAGACAATATTCTAAGAAACAATATATTGCACCTGAAAAAAAAATTGAATTATTAGTTTTGAAGCTGAAGCTTTCTGTGTTTCTGAGAGCCAATATGTGCTACATGCTGGCAGTGCTGAGTATCCCACACCCGGGCCACCACAGCTTTCCCCAGGAAGGACCATCTCTAGAACCTGCCAGGCTGTGTGAGGGTGTGCAGGTCCAGCCGTGAGCACAACGATGCTCCTGACACAGCCCTGGCTCCGTGAGTGGGAAATGCAGGTTACTGTCAAAGCAAGCACTTTGCTTTCACGTGGACGCCAATCATGTGCTTTACAGAAAGACTTTGAGACACAGGATACTTTAAATGCACTTTCAATCTTTCAGTTAGCTCGTAAGGTTATGCAACTATTTAAAACCATCACATTGCATTCTGGCACGATAAAGGACCGCATGGATTCTTTAGAACAAAAAGCCATCAAAATTAAGTAACTAGAAAGCAAGTAGATTTTGAAAGTTTTTACTATTCAAGCTTTCAGACTCACTCCAGAAAATTAAGCCTTACTGTTATAATGTTCTTTCTGCCCTGTTTATAGGCACTGTTTCTGATGCACCTTTTAAGAAAATGGGTCTTACGAGAATCACAAGCAGACAAGTTACTTATTGCAGAGGCTGAACACTGAAATGCTGTTGAAGGGAATGGATGTACACAAGCTTAGGCTGACTCAAGGTCAAATCCAGTAGAATTTAAACAAACTGAGATTATGACCTAGGGGTTTTTGCTGAATTCTGGCACAGAAGTAGATACAGAAGTTGGGAGTTAGCTCACAAAATACTGTTTAGAAGTCATGTGAAGGAAATGGCAGGAAGCAATGTTGTATAGCTCCTGAACAAATGTCAGAGCCTGCACTGTCTCTGCTATTTCAAACAGGAAAGAAAAACTCCATGCCTTTTGTTACACATCAAGAGCCAATATCAGGGCAAAGATCACAAATGCATACAAAATACGTTTTCTTGCCAAAGATGCTTCAAATATTCTCAGATATCTTAGCACTAATAAGTTACTAACCAGCTACAAAACAATTAACTGATTCTCAAAAGGGCTCCAAAGATGGAACTATTTAGATTTTTCATCCTTGCTATGGCTATAACAGAGACTTTTGCTTGGTTTTGCCCCAAATTACACTGATATTTCACCTTTGAGATGCCAATGGACTTGAAATCCTTAGAGGTAAAAGTAAATTCCTAGTAAATTTTAGAGCCATTACCTCATCCGTACAATTCTCCACATCATTCTGCCTTTGTTCCCTTGATATTTAAAAAAGTAGAAGTTTCTCAATTTCCTTCCACAGTTTCTCTTCTCAGTTTAATGAGCAGTGAGCAATCCCTCCTCCATGTTGCTTCTTTCAGTTAGTGTCCTCTAGGGATTTACCTTCAATGCCGTTATTTTAATCTATTTGTTGCTTTTAAGGACATCCCCTTTATTCATACAAATTCAATTACCACTTGTACAGCAGCAGTTTAAATGTTACATACCCCAAACTCTAACCATCCTCTACCTTTTCAGTTGCTGATTTCCGTCCCTTTTTTTCCACCCCCAAACAGACACAGGATGTTGTCATCTTTTTTGAAACTGTTTTCTGTGTTTTGAAACGAAATCTTTGTTGAAATCTGAACAGATCTGTAGGATATTTGTGTTTGGAAAATAATCCATTAGCCTGCTCTTATCCAAGAGCCAGAGTTTCTTATTTCCTGAAATGAGTGATTGACTGTCATACTGACAGCAATTTGATTTGCCCCTAAATGCTCTTCTACTACTGTCACACCCCTCTCACTTCCCCAGCAGCCCATTCATTTAACTGCTTTGGGCTACAAGAAAAGAACATGTCATACAAGTAAAAAAGTCCACACTGCTAGCAAAAGAAAACTAGCAAATCATAAGAAAGTGAGGCTCAGTAATTTATATTAGTACTGCCTGCATGAAACCATCTGCACAGAACCCTGAGAACAGCATATTAAAAATAGCATTTGACAAAATTTGCTGTGCATTCTTTGCTCACCTATAACTGCAAAAGAACTCTAGGTAATACAATTTCATTTAGAGCACTTGGTGAAGGAGCAAAACGCAGGTAGAGACCTGAGACAAACACCCAAATTGACTGGGGTGGCTTTAACTGTACAACCTGAGGGACAACGCTTAGTTTCTTTGTGTTTTTCATTGCGACTCTGGTGCGCGACTGGCCGAACCGCAAATCCCAGCGAGCGCAGAGGCGGCGCGGGGAGCGGCGGGGTGCGGGAGATCCAGGGCGGGCGAATCCCTCACCCGCCCACGCAGGGAGCTCCGCACCCCGGCCGGGCACCGCTTCCCCCCGGGGCGGGCGGGCCGGGCCCGGCTTGAGGCCCCTCCGCGAGTGCGGCCGGGACGGCCCCGCTCCGGGGGCAGCGCGGGAAGGCGCGGTGTGAGCGCAGGGGGGGAGCACGCACGGCGGGTACCGTGCACAGAGCATCCCAACAACAGCAGGGCGGGCGGGGGTGCCTTGCACAGAGCACCCCACGCACCGCAGGGCAGGCAGGGGTGCCATGCACAGCAGGGCAGGCAGCGGTGCCATGCACAGAGCACCCCACGCACCGCAGGGCAGGCAGGGGTGCCATGCACAGCAGGGCAGGCAGCGGTGCCATGCACAGAGCACCCCACGCACGGCAGGGCGGGTGGGGGTGCCATGCACGGGGGGTGCCATGCACAACGCGGGGGTGCGGCGCGCACAGCGGGGCCCGCGCCCCCTCCCGCGCCCTCACCTTGATGCGGACGTAGCAGTGGGTGCCCAGGGAAGGGTCGTTGAGGCAGGCGGGGGGGTTCTCCCGCACCACCCAGCGGAAGGTCTCGCCCGGCCGCCGGCCGATGCTCCAGAGCAGCCGCAGCCCGGCGATGCAGACGCACACCCCGCAGTAGCTGTACACCAGCGCCCAGAAGAGCAGCGCCCGGGCGGCCACCATCACCCGGCGGGCGGGCGGCGGGCACGCAGAGCCGGGTCTCGCCATCGGGCCCCGCCACCGCCGATCCCGCTGGCCGGGAGGGGCTGGAGCTCCGCCGCCGCCGCCAGGAGCCGCCCGAGCGGAGGCACCGGGAGCGGCGGCGGAGGCACGCCCGCCCCGCGGCCCTCGCCCCGCCGCCGGCGGGCACGGCACGGGCACGGCACGGACACAGCGCCGGCCGCCCGCCCCTCCCGGCTGCTCGGCCCGGGCACGCCGGGCCCCGGGCGGCGTCTCGGGGGCGGTGGCGCCGCGG